GAATCTGTAATAGATTTATCTATACATATTTATAGGTGTTGTATGTAAGCAATAAATTTCATGTATTTATTTATACAGTAACATTATATGTATAATTTATGCTAATTTATGAGAGGTAAAAAAAATTGGAGAAAAAACAGATTTACAATAACCCTCTCACATACGCCCCTTATGTAAGTCGACCGTAATAGTTCCGGTTGAGAACTTCACAAATTCAGTATAACGACCCCAGGCGCTTTTCAAATGAATTTTTTAAGACTGTACCCCGACGATGAAGAAAAGTCAATATACTAGATTTCTTTTTTTTAAAACATTCCGTCTTTAATTTAGAAAAGTAGAGTAACAATATTCATCTTATCTTATCTTTCTTCCCCTACTTGTCTATGTCTTTGTCTCTCTCTCTCTCTCTCTCTCTCTCTGTATTTCCATTCTTTCCCCTATCCCTTCGCAATTATTATCTCTTTTCTTTCACTACTATTTAATTATCATAACTGCTTATTACACACATAAAATAGTGATGGATTAGATTTTGAGAGAAAATCAGAGGGTGATTTTTTTCTCATTTCGTCACGCGATAAACAATAATGCGATGGTTACATAATAATCAATTGCCCTGATCACGAACACGTTCCTCATCATTAGGCCTATTCTTTATTATTTTATACATCTATTCAATTCTTAATAAACTGTGTAAAAGGTTCATTTTCTGAAGTGAAAGATTTTTTTTTATTAAAGAAAAGAGTTTAAAGATTACAGTTTATATGGGAAATTAATCAAAGTATAATTAGGCTCTTGACCTTTATTTCTTAACATTTAATGTTAAGACCTTTTGTTGAATTACTACAACTATTTCTAATACAAAAGATCTCTTGTTCCCCTTTGGTATTGCCTCGTTATTTAAACTTAATTAATTACTCAGTCTTTCGCTCTTGAATTTTATGATTTCTTACAACTTATTCTATCTTACAAAACCACAACAATATAAAGAAATCCTTCAGATCTTCGTGTTATTCCTCTACATTTCTTTTTCTTTTTTTTCAATCAATCTTTACCCTTGTTCTTTTACTTGATGATTTTCTCTGTCTCTCTTTTTCTCTCTTTCTTTATTTCTCCTTGTTTTCTCTGTCTCTACCTCTTTCTTCCTTCTCTCTCCTTCTTCTCTGTTTTTTATTTCCTGTCATGTTATGTTAAATTTATTTATTTTCATTAATAATCTTAATTGAGTAGCCACGTGACAAAGAAGAGTATGCTAATCATGAGTTTTCATTAGCCACTGTTAAACTCGAACTGAATATCATTCCATGTTTTAATGTCGTTTCTGTCATTACTGTTAGGGTAGCCGTCATCCCGTCTACGTTTATTTCCCTTATTTCTTGAGGGAAAGAGCAAGAGAATAACGCCTTTCGCGTAGAAACTAGAATTGACCTTATTTTTAATGGATTCGTAAATTTTTCAAATCTATATCTCTGTTGATTTTCCCGCCTCAATCAGTTTAGCAGAGTTCCTCTTTCGTTTATGTTAACAGAATTTATGACCTGTCTTATAGGTGGTAAATTTTTGGTAGACGTTGGGTGGGCTAATAAATCTGACTGAATGATAGAAAATTGGACCCTAACAATTAATTTCGGTCGAGTAGAGTGGGGTCAACATCGTTAATTTTGTTGTTGTTGTATTAAAGCAACCTTGAAATAAAAGATACTAATATAAAAAGAAGAATAATAAATATCCCATTGAGATAGACGCTTAATTAGTATATGAATATTTAATAAAATAAGACCAATATAGACTACTACTCTGATACGCGGTTCAAAGAGAATTTTTAATGCTATTATTAAAGCAAGAAGTAAGCTTAAACTAGTCCATTAGAGGCTGGAACAAAGAGCAGGTTTTCCCCAAAGCTTCTTATAAGATCTATCATCTCCATGTTTATATATGTTTAAACAACGGATGATAGGTATTAATCGCCTCTGATAAACGATGCACAAACTGGACAAACAGGGGGCAAAAAACATTGATTTCTGTTTAATTTTCATTAGAGATAAAACAAACGGATACAATTGTTTAATTAGATCGGTTCGATTTACCATCTCTACTATTATTCTTTCATTGCCCTGGTGTCATGTGGCAGCTTCGATACTAGATGTTTGTCAGGGACGGACAAATTACAAACATAAAGGATAAATACACTCGATACTCTCTTACTCTCTAACTCTCTTTATCTCTCTTCTATTCTTACAATTACTTTTTTTGTCTCCTAATTAATAAAACAACCAAGTTTTTATTTACAAACAAATAAACAAAAACTATACAATTACTTTTTTTTTACTTTAACACCTCTTTCCTTTAATTATGTACCTGATTCGTAACAATAAATTATAATCGCTTTATCTAGAGTTTGCTTTTACAAACTTTAACTATACAAACTGTCAAATTGAAACGTACTATATAGTCTATATAATTCATTTATTATATAAAAAGGAAATATACAACTGGATATATTACTAAAGTACTAAAAAACCAAACTTTTATTGCATCTTTTTTATAGTTTTCTTTTGTCAAAGTAAACTTTTTCACAGCGGAAAATAAAGAAATAATTCCTTTTTTATATATAAAAAGAATAATAATGCCAAAAATAAAATGAATGGTAAAGATAGAGAGAGAGAGAGAGAGAGAAAAGTATGCCTTTGGCAATTAGGAATGCAACTTAATACTTTTAACGAGCTTTATTGATTAGTTTGCCTTATTTTATTTTTCAGTATTGAAAGAAGAACAAAAGTTTGTACAATATACAATTTATTATAAAGTATATAAAGTGTTACAAAACTGTTTTAGTCGGAGTTTATAGCGTGAGAAATATTTTTTTTATTTAATTGATTATTTTAATAATAGTTGATTTAGTTAAATATTAATTTTTTATTACAGGTTTTATCAATAAGGAGGAAGATTCTAAATGTTTTCAAAGTTGGTAATAAAACGCTTGACGACGGTCCAAATCAGCCCTCGTACAGACGATTATCTCAAGTCTTTCGAGACTTTAAACGACTTGTTTGTCAAGCCGATTTATTAAGTCTCGACGATCGATAGGGGGCGTTATAATACGGTTTATATTTACTAGAACATTTACCGAATTTTGTATGATTATCGTTAACTACGTCTTTTAAAAAGCTAGGAAAAAAATTAAAAGCTCATTTTCCCATATGGGATATATCAATGTAATAGATATTCTTACCGATATTTTCAATTTGTTAGAACTTAACGAAAGGTGATATGAGGTTTGTCATTCACTTTTTGTTCTTAGCGAAATGAACGAAAGGCGATATAGTCGATGAAAGAGAAAAAAATCCGTACGAAATATCTTTCGTTCTTTTATTTTCTACATTTATTCGTTTCTTTCTCATTTTCCCTTTTCTCCTTTCAAACATTTGCTCGTTTAATATATTTAACTAAAGTCGACAATTCATGCAGATATGAATAAAACTTAGAGATAATTTGATAAATTGGATGTGTTTCATTCCCAAAAACGTGTTCTCTTGTATAGAAAGAAGATATTAGAATAGTAGAGATTAAGATAATATAAAGAAAGAAAGAGAGAGAGAGAGAGAGAGAGAGGGAGAGACAATTATCTTTCGACTGTCAAAATAAAAAGTTATTATGAGAGATAAGTAAAATGACTAATTAACAAATTGGAATTGAATCCAAAACAAACGGGAAAACAACTAATAAGACAAATGTATTATGTAATAGTATGTTTTTGAAAACATTATCTGTAACAATATGATAATACAACTTGTTTATTACGCGATCAAAAGAAAAAATATAGATTACGAATCAATGTATACATTTTAATCGCGTGATAGATCAGTCATTATTAAATGCTACAGCGAGGTTAAATGTTAACGTTGGCATGACAGCTTAGAATTCATTCTGATATAAGAAACATTTTGGCATCTGTTTGATAACGTTATAGTAAGAATGATTGATTTTATCAAACTTAATCAAAAGTATACACGGAAAAATTAATTAAAACTAGGTTAATTAATACATTAATTAATTAATAAATTAAGACAATATTTATAATCCAATATTAAACATAGAAAGAATAGGTAAATAGTAAGCAAATGGTTATAAATTCCCTGTAAAAATAGTTTGAATAAACAAGTAAACAATGTTGATTATTGTAGCCAGTTGTTTATCGTTCCCAATAAAACTGCTTAATTTGTTGACGCGCCAAAGGCGAAACAAATGTTAGATTAATTCTACAAGAGTGCAAATGGGATGTAAGGTAAGAGAGAAAGAATGTAAGAAAGAAAGAAAGAAAGGGAAAGAGAGAGGATAGAGGAGAGGCGAAGAAGGGAAGAAAAAGAGAAAGCGTTAGAAAAGAGGAGAGGTAGTGTTATGTTGCAGTAACGGGACGAAATGAGAAGTGCGGGGGGTGGGGAGGGATGAGGGGGGCAGTTGAAAGGATGAGGGGGTTTATTAGTGTAAAATAGCCTATATAAAGAAATAGGAAATACAAGGAATTGATAAGAAAGACAATTGAGAGAAATAATGACGGATCCATAGAATTGTAAATAGTTTAATTTAGAGTGCGTTGTTACTATACTTTTTATTTATAGACAATAGCGGCCATCTTTCTATTATATAATCAACTAATATAAGTAAAAGGGGTGTTTGATGAACCACAAATACGTAATAAGTACATACGAATTGTTGTTTACACTTAAGGTAATCAATGAATAGAAGAGAATAACGTAACGTATATAAATTTTTTACACGAAAGCTTCTATATATGAGATAAAGAGAGAGAAGGGATAAAATCAATTGGGGAAAAAAAAGACGTAAGAGAACGAAGGAAATCCTGTATTTCGACTATTTAGGGCCCATAATTATAAGTCTATATAAATATAGGCCCTGAAAATCCTCAACGCGCCTCATAGTCAGCCACGCAACTGCCTCTCAATTACCCTAAGCTATCAAGGGAATGCATAATCTTGGTTACCAATGTGTTGCGCAATGCTGAGAGTCATTGAACACGTCAACTCGTGTATACATACAAGCAACTGGGGCGTACACTCGATTGCATAATGCTCCTCAAGAATCCTTCATTAATTCAGTATACCATTTAGAGAGCGTTTCCCTCGCATGAGCAAAGCAATGGCACAAGGAGGGAAGGAGGTACCAAGCAGCGGCGGCGGCGGCGGTGGCGGTGGCGGTGGCGGTGATGGTGGTGGTGGTGTTGTGGTAGTTGTAATGTTGGTGGCAGTTGGAATGAATGAAATGAACGAGAGGGGGGCGAGAGAGAAAGCTCATGCGAACTAAACATTCCTCGCTGTCAGCGTCGATAAACGTCCTCTTTCATTAGGCGTCTATTCAATCAAAGTCCGATGAAGAGAAAAAGAAGCCAGAAATACCGTCGTACAAGAATAGTAAATATTTGTAGGATTAATTAGCATCTAATTAATGAGTGTAGACGGATTTTGTCTAATGTTTTTCACATCTTACTGGTGGTATCAGTTAATTTATTCATACAAATTGGAAACGGATAAAGATATAGGAGAGGGAAATGAGGAAAAGGGTAGGCGGGAGTACGTCAGCCCTACGGGGAAATTGAGTTGAATCATTGAATGTAGAAAGAAGAGTTCATGACCCCGTTTTCCGTTCTGTTTGTCGGCTGTAAACAACAAAACGCTTGAATGAATTGAAAGAAAAGAATCTAAACGTTTAGACGAGGGAAGGAGTGGAGAGAGAAAAAGGGTTAGAGTTTATTCGGAGGTTGCTGCAAGCTAAAAGAAATATTTCCGCCGAAAAGCGTTTATTTATTTTCAAGGGAGGTGGCGGAATTAATTCGCATCGATCAACCGATGCGTGCGGATAACGTTCTTCAACGGCCTCTTGGCGTAGAACGACTGGGAATTAATTAATCTACGATTCTGCTTAACGTTAATAATTTCTCCGCCGCTTAACTTCTGCTAACGCCATCTATGTTGCAAGATTCCTCTGTTTAAGAAAAGTAATCAATTGCCTTAACTAGGGGCTGGAATGAGATGATTTGTTAGTTTTACTTTCCAGAAGTATTCCACAAACCGCAACTCGATCAAAATCGCTTTACCGCAAATCTATATAAAGGATTGTTTGGTTTCCTTCTTGTTTTGTCTTAAAGACGGTGGGAAATGAACTCCCGTTAAAATAAACTTACTGCAATAATCCGATAACGAATCTTTAGGCTCCTACTTAGAATCATTACAAACTAGTACTTCGCTATTTCTCATTTCAGAATGAAGCTAATTTATTCATGTAAACGTTTTAATTATTTATCTTCTCCACTAAATGGGATTTTAATTTTCTTCTTAGTATAAAATTTCTCCAAATCACTTTCTTTTCCTCAGTTCTTTAAAATTATTGCTGGTGTTTGTCTTATTAGTTTACTTTTTATACATTTTATATAAAAGTTAGTCTATCTCTTTTGAATGTTAATATGCATAAAAGCTGACAAAAATTTTAAAAAAGAAGGAAAGAAAACGACGAATGAGAGTTGAAAAACTATAATTAACTTTGAATCACTTTAGTATAGAGAATCGACCAGATATTACACTTCCTCTTTGTCTTCCTCCATGATCAAATACGTCATTTCCTCCCCCTCTTCCCTACATTTCGAGTTCTTCTTCCGGTAATATATTGCCATAGCAACGTAAACAGCCATCATAACTATCATATTTAGTGACAAGTAATAACCGAAAACTGCAACCGTGAAATGAACATTTGCTTTGTCGTGCCTATCCCAATTCGGATTCGGATCGTTTCCTGAAATATTTTATTACTATTATTATTATTATATAATAAAAGATATATATATATAAATAGATATTGATTCGATATACTCTATGATTTATTCAGAGACGCATATAATAGAAATTCTACCAAAAAGGCTATATATTAGGGAATGAGATTATGAAAGTGGGAGGAGAGGGCAGGGGAGTGAGAGAGACAGACAGACAGACAGAAAGAGCGAACAAATTTGTTTTATTTTGCGCTCTCTCCATAGATGGCTCCACCTTATATAGCAGATAAAAAGCAGGGAAAACAATATAGGAAACCATAAATATATCAGAGAGATAGAGATATATTAGCAAATTGATGCATTTATAAATAGAATCAAGGATCTGGAAAATTACTCTTATAAAGAACATAAATAATTTTCTAATTGCAGTATAGAATTAATTGAAAATGAGGAAGTTTATTAATTAAAACTTGTAGGTTTTCTTGGTTTGTTATTTGTTTTTCCCACCTTAATAAATAGGAATTATAGAAATATTAAGAAATTCTTTCTATTCAAACTCCTTTTTTCACTTGTAAAGGATGTAACATGCTGAAATATTTGTTTTCCTTTATTTACAGAATCCTTTAGATAATATTTATCGTTTAAACGCTTGATTAAATAAGATAGAGTTGCATTTGGTGGGAAGGTCAAAGGTGAATGATTGACAAAGGTATTCATGGTGCCAAAATATATAGACAGAAAGAGAGACAGAGACAGATATAGAGAGAAAAATACTGTCCAAAAACTGGTAAAAAAACTATCTAGACTTTATTTCCTCTGTATTAAAGTTAACAGATAAGAATAGAATATTTATTTGACAATTTTTCTATCAATACATTTGGTCATCTTAAGCGTTAAATTTTATTGAATGTTATTTAAAACAAAACGGAAATTGCATACTTAGATAACTTTGATTACTTTTGAAGAATTCATAAATAAGTTATGAATATACTTGTCATCATATTTATGTTATATTAAAAAATAGCGAATGTCTTTTTAGGGAGGATATAACAACTATTTTTAGCACAAATATTTAGTATAAAATTCTTAAATATTATTAATCTTAAAGGCTAAAGTTTGCTTTAAACAGGCCATTTTGATGTTAAAACTAAGATAAGAATTTGCTTTGAAAATGACATACTACATAAAAAATGTATGATAAAATTTTGTCAAGTCTGTATTTTTTCTTACATGCTCCAATGACAAACTTGAAAATTCAAATAAAGAATCCTTAACCGATTTTTACAGCACTAATGATTAATAAATTAGACTTTTCATATCTAACTGTTTGATTAATAAATAAAAAACTTGTATCAGACAAGTGTTAGTCATAGATTTTCTCTGGTTCTTTCTCTCTCTTGCTCCCTCTCTCGCTCTTTAAGAGTTAAAAATATTATTTAATATTTTTATATGAGTATCTACTGACTCATCGACAGTATTTCAAGGAATTTTGTTATCTTGTATATGTGATGCTTGTGATTCATTCAATAACCTTGTAGTTCTAATTAACCCTCCTCTTTTGGAGGTCTTTTTTTAACTTTTTATTACTTTTTTGGAATAAAGGTATAAAGCTTACCTGGAAATTTTGCTGATGGATCGTACAAGACGAAAGCCATGTGGCCAAACCAAGTACCAAGATTCATCAATGTAAATATCCTAGCAACAGTAATCATAAAATTCTTAGGATTCCAATATTCTAGAATCGTAAAAATTGCACAAGCATAGATGATGTGAACTGGTAGATTGTGAATGATTGTTTCCAAGGGTGGCTTTCCTTCCATAGAGGCGTGATAGGAGAACGAAGTTCCATACCAAGAAAATGCTAGACCGGCACTAACATATGAGAAACTTTTCGGTATTTGTGTCTTTTTAAAGTAAGTGAGAAGGTCAATTAATGAGTGTATAGCAAAGATTAAGTAAATAGATATATGTTGAAGATGATTTAAGAAGCGGAAGTGGCCATCTTTAACAAAACGAAAACCATCACCAAATTCTGCCAATCCAGCTATTTAAAAGAAATGAAATTTATATAATAAATTAAAACTGTTTTTCTAAAATAAATATAAATATTTAGAGCGTTTAACCTAGTTTACGTGAGAAATTTTATTTATGACCTTATGTTTCTTATTCTATAATTCTATAATTTATAGCATATTTGTTGATATCGTTATCATAATCATAATTAAGTATTGCTATTAACGAAAGCAAATTTGCAAAGTTATTTGAAGGTTATGAATCGTTATCCTAACTATAACAATTCAATAAACGGTTCAAATATAAATGAATTTGAAATATACTTACCAGCAGTAAGAAAAAAGAACTTTAAACTGCTTTCAATTGGAATTTCTCTATTACAAACTGAACTTGAAAAGCTATATCCTGTTGAACGATAATTCTTTCCTTTCTATACATGAATATATGCAATTGTTGATTTTCTTTTTGCTATTATTATTGCTAATTCTTACTTGAAAATATTGAGGAAATGTCTTCCAAATCCACCAAAAAGATATAATTATAAAGAAAAAAGCCTCATCCAGATGTCCGAAGAAAGAACCCATATTCCTTTATTTATATTCCTTTTACTTGCTTCTGCTATAGTGAAGAAAGATAGTGGAGATTGTTGTTGGAGCTAGCTACGAATACAATTAAAAGTAGTTTTGTTTTATTAACTTGGGCTTTATTTATATGAATATTCATTATGTTAGATGCGATAAGACACAGTACTTATCATAAATTTTCCTTAAAAGTTTCTTTTTACCTTTATCAATCAGGTGATTAGAAAATCCCTCTCTGAAAATGACAATCAACTTATTTTCTCTTAAATTCTTTTGCTAATATATTAAATACTGCATTTTATTTAACTTTAATATATATATATATAACATACAAACTTATCTTTAGTTGATTAATCACACTTTGAAAAACTATGGTAGCTTGGACAGTACAGTATTGTAAGGCAATGACTAATAGTGAGACGTATCTATATATATATATGTTAGTATGCATGTGTGTATCGTTATCTGTGCTTTATCTTATCAAGCTTTTTTTGTTTCTCATCTCTTTCTCTTTCTCCAATCGGCATAGAGATATCAGGTAACAGAATGATTCATAGTATTGATCTTTACATAGAATGTTTTATAACTGTCATACGTCTTACAGATTTTAAATATCTTTGCCTCAGAAAGTGATTCAAGACAGTTTCTTGAAAAATTAACAATATCTTCTTTTAAATTCTCTATTTTTTTTCATATTTTGTTGAATGCGTGTTCATTTTATTCCCTTATTTCTTTTAGTATCATCTTTTTATGTATTTGTTATGTTACAGCTCAATGAAGTGCGAATGATAAATCAATTTATTTGCTATATAAAAGCTTAATATATATATATATAATAAGAAGAATAGTGTTGTTCTTGTAAGTTTTATGTCAAACATATAGGCATAGTTGTTCTTTAATAAACAGATGTTCTTATCGACAAAAAAAGTTATTAACGAATGAAATATTTTTTGGCAAAAAATTCAGATTTGCACCAGTTTAGCCTGAACAAATTGAAGCAGGTCTATTTAATGTCTTCAAGGAATATGTGATAGCTGTCACAATAACATATATTGGAAGAAGATAAAACTATATATACTCCAATATAAATATTTAACACCTTTCACTACATCAAAGAAAGAAAATGATCTTGACGGAAAAAAATGTTCTACTTTTGTATCGACTATGTCTAACTCTTTCTTTAGCACAAGGTAAGTAATACAAGTATTCTTTTATGTCGCGTATGCGGAACAAAGAAATTTATAATAGTTCTCTATTTATACTATTCTTTAATATAATCTAATAAGAAATAATATTGAGATTTACAGTATTTCCAGTTTTGATATCTAATCTGTATACATATCTTATAGCATTTCTTAATAATCGTTTAATATGTATTTTCAGTTGGCATAGGCGTCCACCGATATATAAAAGTTACTACAGTATTGGAACATCGTTTTGAAAACATCACGTTTTCTATAGTTGAAAGGATTGGATTTAACATTTCTTGCCATGCTAATGATGATATCTCTTCAAAGTTGTATAGGAATTCACCGACGCTAGTTAAAGTAGGATGTTCTTATGGAAGTGCATATATAGTAAGCAAAGACAACACATATGGTTCAAAATTGCCAAATATCTCCGTACCTGCATCATTCAATGAAGACACATTGATAACAACATTTTATATTAAAGAAGATAGTCTAGAAAAGATTGAACGGGAAGTTGAATTATTTAACTCAACGATATCAGAGTGTTGGCTTCAATGCGAATTTTTTGACAAAAACTTACAAACCTACGGAAATACAGTTCATATTTTACCAATTCGTATGTATAATTTGATTATACACTATGTGAATACTCTTCGTGTGCATTTGTCCTAATTCATTTGTACTTTTCCTATACATAGGCCAACCGGTAATTGAAGATTGTTTCATAGAAGATTTCCAGAGGTTGGTTTGCAAATGGAATTCTGGATTAGATAAGAAAGCACCGTATTTTAACCGTACTGAAATTGGATTTACTTACGGGTAACTATTTCTTTGTTTTTCTATATTTAGTTTATCTTCATAGATATGTATGCCACTAGTCCTGATCACTTACAAAAACAAGATAGGGGCTCAATTCGCAAAAATTTTTGCAAAGAAATAGAATGCTCAAAGTATAAAAAAGATACATATCTAAAAGGGAATGAACTGTGGTGGGGTAAAGCAGTATATTACGCAAGAAATTACTCGATATGCATCTGCATAAAGACAATCTACAACCAAGCGTTAATTTATATTATACCAACGGAATATCCTGGTTCGATAACGTTTTAACTTTTGTCTTTTGTTATTTTCTACTAATAAGATATTCATTTTTTTAAATTTTAATCCATCATCATATCAAAACACTAGACTATTTCGACTTACATACATAATTCTTTTTCTATATTTTACAAATCAGCTTAAGGTAGCAAAAAACACCAATTATTTTCAATACTATAAATAATCGTTTCTTTATTTTTTACTAATATTGAGTTTGAAATTAAATTAACAGTTTATACAGTAGTATCAAGTTTGATTGTGTCTTTTTTTTCTAGGCCATAAGATTGGAACATTTGATTTAACTAATGGTTTTTATACTTTATAACTCTTTCGCATTAACAGCTTTACAGAACCTTTTCCCGCTAAAATATTCGCATTCGACACCATTGAGAGTAAACTGTTCATTTGTGAATTGTTAAAGAACTCTCGCACTTGTATTGGTAATATAGTTGAGATGAATACCAGCGATTTAGGTAGTTTCTTCAAAATAATAGCAAAATATTTCCTCCTAGCAAAGCTATCTTCACTTAACGGCAAAATAAAACAAATATACATATATTTAATGCTGCTATATGTATATTTGCAAACAATAAATAATCTACTTAACAACTATTTAAGCTAATGTCCAATTTATAAACAATTGTATATATGCTATAAATTCTATCCTAATTTTTCAGCTACTCTTCCACTGTCAATCCACCATATGACATCAATTACTATAGAGATTCCTTTCTATCTGTATATTATTTCAAGGGTAGAAATATTTCGCAATCATTTGATTTACCCAGCCGATTTAAAAATCCGCAGTGGGCTAATTTCCCTGAAGGTAATAATAATCCCCGTTACAAAAACGTATTTTGCGAAAATTCTAATTGATTTTAATGCTGCTTCCAAATGTCGAAATTATTTTCTCAAGTCTTATTTCCCTTTTGAAATGTTATGTAGAATGATTTATATAATTATTATTTTTAATATATTGAAATTACTATAGAGAATTATACAAGTGCGGTTGCCAAATTGAAACTACAGAGATCCTTTATCAAGAAGGTCACTATTACTGTAAAGTTCCCTGTCAATATAAAAATCCAGGCAAAATGTGTCGGAACAACACACGTTTTCTCAACATATCTTTTAAAGAACGTGGTATACTTTTTTCTAGTTTGAATCAAGAAATGCATGCAGCCTTCCAATAAGTTTACTCTTTCAATTAAAGGATTTGTTATGTTTATTTATGCATCAAATTTTTAAAGACTATAAATAGCATGGGCTACGTGATCTTTTCCATATAGAATTACTGTTTCTCTTTCTAAATGGTTTAAACGATTCAAAAGTGTTCCTTATTTCAACGCTTAACAAACGCTTCTTTTAAAACAGCTAATTTGCATTTTCCAACATCTAAACAAGTTAACACTAACTATATATATAATATTCTTATACAAGCTAAAACTCTTTTTATATTTATCTCCATAAAGTTGTTCCTGGAAAACCACAAATGAATATCACTGAGGGACAAACAGATGTTTTGCTCATGGTAAATGGATCTAAAGGAATACATTATTATTGTGCAAATGACAATTGTACTGAAGAATACATGTACCCTAAAGTATATTTCAAAATAGTATGCGAACTAAGTCAAAATTCTGTTGTTTTGGTAAAAAAAAACAATCATTTATTATCTTCTTACATCATTCGTTTAATAATCATCTCTTTCGAACAGAAAAGAGAATCAAGGAATTATATTATAGGAGGCCAGCCTCAAAGAAGTTTTCGTTTCTCGAACTTGTTACCATATAGACAGTACAGTGTAAAATTGTATATGATACTTTATGATAAGGACTTCCGACAGAAAATAGGACAAAATGGTACAGCTCTTATTCAGAATTTTACAACAAGACAAGCAGGTGATACTTTTACTTTTCTATTTTTTATATTGCTTTCTCTTTTTTCAAAATGCTTTTTTTTAGTCTTTTTATACATTAATCCTATGTTTATAGAACCATCCGCATTACCTGAAATTCCTCCAGGAGCGTTCATTTTAGATTCTGATAGAAGGCATCTAACAATTTTGTGGAAACCTCTTCCCATTCCATTCCGAAATGGACCAATTGCACAATATTCTCTTCAAATTTCTTCTGAAAAATCTATGACCAATGTCTCTGGGGATGTAAACTATTACAAATTTAAAAATCTAACTACAACAAATCCTTCTATAAAAGTGATTGGGTTTACGAAAACACAACAAATATCTCCTCTTCTAAATAACTCTGATCATCAATTTAACCTCTCAAAAGGTAAAATATTTCTCTTTATATTTGCAATTCTTAATCTATAAAGATGATTATTTCATAATTTAGTTTCGTATGATAAAGAAAAAAGCTGCTTCTCTGTTAATAAAACTTCGAATGGAAATCGAAAAATTGATTGGAAAATACCAGGCATTAAAGTTTCCAGATATGTAATTTATTATTGTATTGTCGAAGGACCCGAAGCTTTAATATCAGAAGGCTGTATAGTAAGCAATGACAGCGATTGGTATGGTCTCAAAACAATAATTGTATCGAATACAACAAATTTTCTTGTAATGAATGAATCTCTATTCATGGAAGATAAGATATACGATTTTGGAGTTTCTGGGGATAAATTCCTTAACGATAAATGGCATAGTACTGGATTAATACCATCAACCTGCCTTAATAGAACTCAATCAGACTATAAAGGTAAGTCACGAAATTGTTAGAGAAGAATTTCCATTGTTATTTTACGTCGTTTGTTATTGTATGCTTTAACAGTGGAAACGGCAGACCAATCTTCATATCTTTGGATTCTTACAATTTTTTTTATTATACCGATTGTAGGATTTGTACAATTTATTAAAAGGTTTGTAAGCGTATTTCTTTTTTTATACAAGATATAGAATAAAAAACATGTATTTTCAATTTTGTAGGTTAACGAGAGAATTCAAGACAGATCCGATGATGAAGGAGAATTTGGGCAAGCTGTTAGATAAAAATTAAAACGCCATTTTTTTTTATATCATTCAATCAATCAACTATTAGCCTCATTCGAAATAATCTATATTCAAGCGAATTAAAGAAAAAATTGTAAATTTGTATTAGTATTGTAAAGACAATTGTTTATATGTACTATATTATATCTTGTTTATATGAGTTTACTCATTTTCTTAAATATTGTTTTGTTTTTCTATTGTTGATACTGTTTATAATGTTTTCTATTAGCGCAAAAGACGATTTCAAAATAGACCTTTGCGATTAATTGGAACAAATAAAGTTATCTATTTTAATTATTCTTATGAAAAGGTTTTTTATTATATGGACGAAATGAGAATTTCCAAGCAATCGTATCGAAATACATTCGGGTAGATACATTTTTATTTGCAATGTCCCTTAACGATTTCAGATTTTGTTTACGAGTTTCTATAGTATTATTTATTACAGCAGCTTGTTGTAAGCTTCGCAATACTTGAACAGATATTTTAATTGAATAGCTCTATTGAAAATGATTTTTGATAGAATACTTTCCAACTAAAGTTTACTTTATATATATATATATATATATATATATATATATATGTCTGTTCATACATTTGCCAAATCATAGTCTAAGGACAAACTTAATAGACAAGAAACAAAAATAGATAATTTCGAAATGATAACTTCATAATAAATGTGTAAAGATAAAGGCATATTTAACGGTTATGTAATAACCTGGACTGTTTTTAATATACTTCAATACGGTAAGTACTCAAGTTTCTTTCAAATTATAACAAAATGTATTTCTATGTTTGTTTATGTAATTTGCGTTTTGTTTTTATTTGACAAATTACATTTTATTACACGATGTTATTTTGTTCCTTTAGGATGTTATTTGCAATTATCGAAAGGTTCAAAAATTTCGACTACCTTTCCAAACATCTTCTATAATTCATCAAATACTGTTATTGTATTAAACGAATTCTTAGTATCCTGTTCAGAATACTCAACTGACAAACTAAACTTGAAATATTCAGTTGAAATTGTTATTGATTGTCCAACTAAATCTCTCTATCTACAAGGAAACGATAACCTATATCCATTGTTTAGAAATGAGAGCCTATATATACAAACCATTGACAAAGGTTACACATCAACATTCCATGTTTCTCCAACTAATTTAATTGCCATAAAATTACTATTAAATCAACAACTTGAATCGTTTCAATGTACAATTTATTGTCAAATGAATGATAGTAATGGATATTTATCAAAGGGAGAGATTTTTAAGATTCTACCTCTAGGTAAGTTGACAACACTGGTATATATATATTTCATTGAATTATTATATTGTCTTCCACGTCTTAATTAGGAATACCAAAATTAGAAAATTGTATATTAAACGATATGGTTTCAATTTATTGCTCTTGGAAATCAAATTTAGATAATACGTTAATACCAATGAAATTAAAGCAAGCTATAATCGATAAGATTACAAGAGAAATTACGTAAATATTTCAAATATATTCAATATTCAATCCTTTATATTGTAATTTTACATATTTTATTTATAGTTGCGATAGAGGTAATTTTGCATACGTACCTATTTTATCTACGCAAGATTTGCTCATTTGTAATTGGGAATATATGTCACAAATTGGCTATAATGCGATACGATGGAACCGAACACAAACTTTATTGATTGTTTACGATGGTAAAAAATTAATTACAACTCCAAGTTAGTTATCTAATATTCTTTTTATAGATAAAATGATTATTTAATTTTCCTTTTACAGTTCTTTTTCCACAACCTCAAATCGAATCTAACAAATATTGTATTAAAGAGTCAAGTAATAGTCTTACCCTATCAGTTGGTTTAGCTTTTAGTGAAGGAATAAACTTTATTTGCAAATTCTATCCAAAGATCGACCCACCGCAATTGGAATTTTATGCCATATCAATTCTAAAATCTCAATGGAATACAGAGGTATTTATGCCTTGACCGCTTTTTTCTTTAAAATTTACTAACCGCTAATTTTTCATTGAATTAATAGTTTTTTATTGTTTTTTCTTTTTGTTTTCTTTCCTTTTGCTAACAAAGATTCATAAATTTCTCATGGTTTGTCCTCAATTTTGCGGCAACGAATCTTCACGAAACACTGCTCTATACTTTGAACATAAAAATCTTCGCTATAATACGAATTATTCATCAATTATGTATTTCAAAACAAAATACTATCCAGGTGTCACTGAAAAATTCCTTACGAATTTGACAGCAAAGGAATTACACACAAGAATATCTGGTAATCATAATTCCTTTTATTCATACTTTTTTACATTAATCCTATGTTTATAGAACCATCCGCATTACCTGAAATTCCTCCAGGAGCGTTCATTTTAGATTCTGATAGAAGGCATCTAACAATTTTGTGGAAACCTCTTCCCATTCCATTCCGAAATGGACCAATTGCACAATATTCTCTTCAAATTTCTTCTGAAAAATCTATGACCAATGTCTCTGGGGATGTAAACTATTACAAATTTAAAAATCTAACTACAACAAATCCTTCTATAAAAGTGATTGGGTTTACGAAAACACAACAAATATCTCCTCTTCTAAATAACTCTGATCATCAATTTAACCTCTCAAAAGGTAAAATATTTCTCTTTATATTTGCAATTCTTAATCTATAAAGATGATTATTTCATAATTTAGTTTCGTATGATAAAGAAAAAAGCTGCTTCTCTGTTAATAAAACTTCGAATGGAAATCGAAAAATTGATTGGAAAATACCAGGCATTAAAGTTTCCAGATATGTAATTTATTATTGTATTGTCGAAGGACCCGAAGCTTTAACATCAAAAGGCTGTATAGTAAGCAATGACAGCGATTGGTATGGTCTCAAAACAATAATTGTATCGAATACAACAAATTTTCTTGTAATGAATGAATCGCTATTCATGGAAGATAAGATATACGATTTTGGAGTTTCTGGGGATAAATTCCTTAACGATAAATGGCATAGTACTGGATTAATACCATCAACCTGCCTTAATAGAACTCAATCAGACTATAAAGGTAAGTCACGAAATTGTTAGAGAAGAATTTCCATTGTTATTTTACGTCATTTGTTATTGTATGCTTTAACAGTGGAAACGGCAGACCAACCTCCATATCTTTGGATTCTTACAATTTTTTTTATTATACCGATTGTAGGATTTGTACAATTTATTAAAAGGTTTGTAAGCGTATTTCTTTTTTTATACAAGATATAGAATAAAAAACATGTATTTTCAATTTTGTAGGTTAACGAGAGAATACAAAACAGATCCGTTGATGCAGGAGAATTTGAGCAGGCTTGAAGAAAGAAATGCCTGTAGTATTCATAGTAAATATATATATATATACATATATTTATTTATATTAGATGTAAACCGCATGTGTTTACAGATCGACAGTCTGAGCATCTCATTGCAGAAAGTTGTGCACATGAAAATCATGTAAGTAATTAGAATTGCTATTGGAGGGTTGTATCTCTTTTTAGAGAATGTTGCCAAGAGTCTGGTTTCTCTAAAAAGAAAAACTCAAAGGGTTTAGAACGCCTGATAATTTTGATATATTCTATTTTGTGATGCTATTCTCGAAATCTTAATACTGATATAAAAGTCAACAATTTTTCTTTTATATTCCGTTCGGTTCAGTCTTTTGCTGTTTACTTTTTTAAAATAAATAGAATACCCAAAAATTGTATTACGTCCTTGAGAAAGATAATGAAAGTGGAAAAGAATAAGCAAAGATAAAAAACAAGTTACATTGAAAAAAATTTGAGATAGAAAATGCATAATAGATAGAGAGAAAGGGAGACAAAGATAGGAGGAAAAAAATATAGAAAAGAGATAGAAACAAAATACTATAGTAATTATAGAAGTTTTGACATACAAATAAATGCTACACATGAAAAAAAAAAAAGGAAAAATACTTTTGACGTTTTTTTACGTTAATAAAAATACTTCGATAACTTTAATTTTGTTTTCAAGTTATTCATTTTCAGTTTGTTCTGTGCTATTCTCTTTATTATCCTCCTCGGAAAATGAACGCAACAATTTAACTCTTTGACGCACCTCTTCAACTCTTTTGTCCTGTAAATTATTTACACATTTAATAATAATTTAATCCATGAAAAAATTAAAAATTTGCTTACATGATCACGTAGTTTATCCAACATTTGCTGAACCAAATTATTCTTATTCTGTAAAACTTCGTTCATCTTTAGAATCATCTTTTCTTTTTTTTCCTGTTCAACGGATTGACTCGTTTCCAATACTTCTTGAACATGTTTTTCCTATTTATTAAGAAATAAAAGTAAATTAAATACATCTGCTTATTATTCAAACATTTATTAAGCTTATACTAAATTACGTACATGTTCCTTTAATCTATCCAACATATTTTTCATTTGGCTCTTTCGATTTTCATCAGAAACTTCCAATTTCTTTTCAATACGCTCCGCCAATTCTTTTGTGTATTTTTCGGATGCTTGTCGCACATCCTCAACTTTCTTTATCTAAACAAAAGCAAATTGATACGGATTGCGTAATATTATCAGTAATTTTATCAATAAAGATAACAACTTACTCTCTCTCTTAGTTTGTTTTGTAGAGCTAATATTTGGGCATTTCTGTTTTCTTCCAGAGCGCCCATTTTTGCTTCCAATGTCCTTTGAGTTTCGGCTTGAAAAGAATTGTTCAACTCTTGAACCTTTTCTCTCGCCTCTTCTCCGCGTTCTTGTAATTTTTGAATTTTCTTCAATTTCTCAGCCTCAACGGATTTTCTTCTATCAGCAGCATCCAAAAGTTTCCTCTTGATCTCTTCCTGAGACAAAGGTCGCGGAGAAGACTTTGGCGTCTTTCTAGGTCCATTCGGCGTAGCCGGTTTTAAAATAACCTCAAAGGCAATATTCTCTCCATTTTGACCTAAAAGAAGGAGAGAAATTATTAAATATTGAATTAAAAAAAAACAAAAAAAAATTTGTGAACAAAACTTTCGAGAAAACTTAAAAAAAACACAATTTTTTTAAAAACTTGACTATATTATCGCTTTAAACTTACTAGTCATAAAGCTAGTTACACATTTTTCATAAGAGAATACATCTATTTTTCAGAGAATATTGTTTACAGGTCGAATAACGTTCATTTTTTTTTTTCAACGTCAGATCCTATTTCAAGTTTTTGAATATTTCCTACTTACCATTTTTTTCATTCAATACGTTGGCTGCCATTACTTCAGACTGTGGAGCAATTGAACTAAAAAATTCATTTATATTAGTTTAATATGATAAAAATCAACTTTTAATTAAGATTTAACTGAAATAAAAAAAACTTATGGCCTCGATCAGACATGATGGCTGATGGCGGTTAGGGGAAAAGTTACTTAAATATTAGTTTGCAACGACTTTTTATTACAATAATCGATAAGAACAAGTCCTACATAAATATTTATAAAGTATATTATAAAAAGGAGGATAATTATTAAGTTAATTCTGTACAAAACTAACCTTAATCGTTGAACAACGTTTATCTAGTCCAAAATGGGCGCGATCTAGTCACGTGATACAAGTTCAGCATCAAATTTTACTAAATTATTTATTTTTTGTTTAATTTTAACTAAACAGTAATTAAGAAAAGCATAATAAATAAAAGATTTTTTATTATATAATTCAAATATGTCTTGAACAAAGTTGTTGCAAAACTATTTCTATAAATTACAAAAATATCAGTTATTGAGAAATATATTTACATATTGAGTAATTCAAATTTATCTTTTATGTTTGTTATGTTCTTCTTATCTTTGCTGAAATTATCGACGATATCCTGTACTTTAAAAAGATAAACAACAATAAAAAATATGAAATACAAGTTTTAGATTTAATTTTTTGTGTCTTATTTATTGGCCAATAATTAACTTGTACATAATTTATTGAACAATAAGTATACGTTACACTTACATTTTAAAAGAATACTATCAAAACTTAAACGAATAGATCATATGATGAGATCAGCATACAAATTAAACAAGATTAATTGTTAAGTGCATAACTTTAGAACTATATTACACTTGTCTTCAATTAGATGATATACTTTATTGCGTACTTCAATAAAAAGTATTATTTGAACCACCGTCTTCTTGCGTCCGATTGGCTATTCCAACTTTCTTTCTTATCATTTCCACTTTCAAGACTTGTTGGTCCCCTCTTCAAGTTTCTCGTTAATGTCTTAACAGATCTAGATTTAGATGTACTTCTACTTTTTGATCCGTATTTGAAGCTATTATTCGTGAGAGTCACGGATCCCCTTTTTAGTTTACATGGAGATTTAGATTTGGATCTAGACCTGGATCTGGATCTACATTTTCTGCTCTTTGATCGATATTTGAAGCTTTCTCTCGAGTAAATAGAAGACCCATATCTTCGCTTATATTGAGAACTAGATTTGGACCTAGATCTAGATCTACTTCTACATTTTGAATCATATTTGGAACTATCTTTCACAGACTCCCTTTTTGGCTTGCGTTGAGATTTAGATCTGGACCTAGATTTGGACCTAGATCTGGATCTAGATCTGAATCTACTTCTACGTTTTGATTTATATTTGGAGCTATCTTTTGTGCATGTCACAGACTCCCTTTTGGGCTTGCGATGAGAACTAGATTTGGACCTAGATTTGGACCTAGATCTGGATCTACTTCTACGTTTTGATTTATATTTGGAACTGTCTTTTGTGCATGTCATAGACTCCCTTTTGGGCTTGCGATGAGAACTAGATTTGGACCTAGATTTGGACCTAGATCTGGATCTACTTCTACGTTTTGATTTATATTTGGAACTGTCTTTTGTGCATGTCATAGACTCCCTTTTGGGCTTGCGATGAGAACTAGATTTGGACCTAGATTTGGACCTAGATCTGGATCTACTTCTACGTTTTGATTTATATTTGAAGCTATCTTTCACAGACTCCCTTTTGGGCTTGCGTTGAGATTTAGATCTGGACCTAGAGTTGGATCTAGATTTGGCTCTAGATCTAGATTTGCTTCTACTTTTTAATTCATATTTAGAGCTATCTTTCGTGCAAGTAGCTGATCGGTACCTTCGATTATGTGGAGACCTAGATCTGGACCTAGATCTGGATCTACGTCTTCTACTTCTCGATCCATGTTTAAAGCTGTCTTCCATGCAAGTAGCAGATCCGTGCCTTTGCTTATATTGAGATCTAGATCTGGATTTACTCCGACATTTCGATTCATTATTTAAGCTGTCCTTCGTGCAAACCGCAGACTCTTTGGGTTGAGATTTAGATTTGGATCTAGATCTACTTCTGCTTTTTGGTTCACATCTGAAACTATCCTGCGGCTGTGCTGTACATCTTTGTTTTTTATTATCTTCAGACCTAGATCTAGATTTTGAACTAGAGCGAGATAAGAATCGAGATCTAGATTTTGACTCTTCGCTTAATCTCCAATGGGAAACTTGATTTGGTTCCTCGGCTGGAGATTTCAGCTGGGATTTGTTCAGCTCAAGAGATCTGTCTCCTGAACTAGAGGGGACCACGTCGAACACTTTCCAATCATCAATATCTGGTCTAAGACAACAAATAAACATAAGATTATCACTAAATAGATTAACAATATATGAAATTACGTTAAAGAATTTCTTTCTAGCCTTTTACAATCTTCTTTTCGGCTTGACCACGGCGTTATAGGACTCGAATTTTCGGCAGCTTTAACCAAAACTTGGTTGTTTGCAATCACCAATGAGAGAAACGCTTCGATTTCTTGATGAAAGAGAGATATATTTTCAGGTTGTTCAATCATTTTCCTGCTAGTATAACCAAAAAATAAACGACGACTTTCTTAGAAACAAAGATGAAACACACGACGGACGAGAGTGGCAAGGATTAGAAATGTATGCTACAGATAACTGTATACAAATTTTAAAAGTTCATATATAACAATGTGTAATAAAAACTGTTATACTAGAATTTTAAAAGCAAGCTATTTTTTTAGTAGTTTCAAAACAATGGTGGAAATTGACCTAATTAAATGAGAAACACGTGTAACTAAATATTGTATGTAGAATTTTATAATCTACTTCTTTATACTGCGTCTAAAAAAAGCAATAATTCATAATAATTTCAATATTGAATTTACATAGCAAAAACCGTCTAATAAATTTTTCAATTAATAATTTTGATAACAATTATTTACTCTTTAGAAGAAGTAATCTTTCTTATTAAACAATGCATTGAAAATGAGATATTTGCATATAAAAACCATGTTATATAAGTATATGTTTATAAGAAAAGTTATCCCTTACCTTTCGTATACATAAGAGTTGAATGTAAATGTCCAATCAGGAAATATCGTTTTCGCATTATTTAAAAATTTTGATAAAAACTTTCTCTTAATCTAATAATAAATTAAAAAAAATTTATTCCAATATAAGACAAATGTTTGAAAACATTTGCGAAAAAAACAAAAAAAAAACAATATTATATTTTATCTTTCGTAAATGGAGGGGTGTAAATGGGGAGGAGAGAAAATGAGTAGGGGCGGAGGTAGTGGGTTACCTAAAAAAAACTTAGTGATTAATTAAAATACTAAAAAGGATTTTAATAAATACGTTTAGTGTTTCAGTATCTTTCAAACTATTGAAAAGTTACTACTATACTGATTTATAGTGTTTAGAAGTCTTTTCTCAAGATCTTTTGCTCCTGTTTCTTCACTAATCTTTATTCCATTCTTGTAAAAGATTAGTGTTGGAAGATTAGAAATTCCATGATCAACTCCCAAATCACTTCTACCAACGTCTATTTTCCCAAAGACAACATTATTCATTTCCTGACTCAATTTATATATTACTTTTTCAATTTCTGAACAAGTTTTACACCAATCCGCGTAATAATCGATAACAACAAGTTTGTTTTCAGCATGTTTTAAGATATAATTAAATTCTTCCTGATTAAAAATAAATAAGGAAAATATATAGGAAAATAATATATTCTATTTGTTCAATTTACCTCTGTATCAATAAGCTTAATCGAACTCATTTTTTAGTCTTTTCACTAGAATTTAAATTATATTTATGACGAAATTTTTAACTAAACATAAAGAATGTATCTTTAATAATTTTTCATTACTGTTGTATTAAAGCAGGAGTAACACATTTTAGAAAAAAATGACATAGCTCTTATCTTACATATAAAGAGTTTCATATTCAGTATGCAGTTCGTCGTATTTTAAAGTTTCTTCATTCGGTTTATCCAATGCAACATCTTTAAACGGCGTTGAACTAAGAATGTCTTTAAACATTGATATTGTTTGTCTATCAACTTTTTTACTGTCCGTATAGCATACGTACATTACAGCGGCAACTTTGAAAACTTCACAATAGCTCATTATTTGAGCTGATAAACCCGTAACCATATTTGGTTGTTCTAAATAAGGACATGCCGGAGTACCTCTGAATTTAGTTGTTTTCAAAGCCCTAAGGAAGGGAGTTGGAACATCACCAGGTGGTAATTGACTTTTATAGTCAGTCACCGGATTTGTGCATAAGACCGCCGCGTAGACATTTGTAACATTCATTTTATCCATTAGATTGTGGGTCCATGAATACGACTGTTCGGGTGATACGTCGGTGTTACAAAGCGCAAGTATAACTTCCGGTCTAGAAGCTAAACGATAAATGTAGCAAGTTTTGTCAGTCACTGCATTCTGTGACAAGGAATTAATATCGTTTGATTTCAATCCAGTACAAATAACTCCAACTTTAGGCGACTTCGGCTCCAAAACATACGTACGTACAAAAGCTGTAAAGATATATTGAGATTGTAGGCAAAATCTTTTAAGCTGAGCTTATTCATATTCAACTAAAAGTTTATACAATACTTTTTCAACTTAGTATTTTATGGGAGTTTTGTTCATTGTATTGTAATATAAGTAGCTTAATTTAGTAAGAAACAAACGTAATGCAAAAGAGTTGAATTCTCTAACAAACTTGTTATAGGTTATTAGAAAAAAGTTTTAAACAAAAATTAAAACTTTAGACTTTCGATATTTTATCTTATTTTAGGAAAAAGTAAGAAATATACCTGTAGCCGCTGGTCCGATAGCTGCAATTAGAATAGAACACTGTAGACAATTTTGAGTATTATCTTCTATTTCTTGTCTAACTGCTGGTGACCATCTAATAACGGCTTCGAAGTTAGAAGCTGGCACTTCTTCTTCGTCGCTATCTTCATCATCGTCGTAGTCATAGTCAAAAGCTCGGGATTCAACCGGCAAAATCTCACCAAAGAATGTTGCCATGATTATGAGCGATAATGGGCAAATTTTAAGAAATACAATTGATTATTTTTCGTAAAATTAAGTAATATTGTTCACCATATTTCTAATATTTTAAATATAAAAATTGTTATAGAAACTTCTTTTTACGTAAATAAATTAGAATGTATCTCTTTGTAGCGCCCCCTGCTTCTTGTAGAGCTGAAGGTATAAGTATTTTCCTCAATATTATGTCTTATAACTGTGATCGTGGTTAAAATTTAGTAAACTTACAAATTGTGTAGTAACAAGAAACATTTAATCTCTATGTAAAACTATCTTTGATACTTAAACTACAGGTTGTCTGAGGAACAACAATGTCAACCAAATAATTTCCTGTGGAAACAGGGATGTCAACATCAACACTCGGAACATATTAGAACAACGACGGTAAAGCAACAAGGTAATGTCATTCATTATTAAATTTAGGTATTAAACTTACTAAATCATATTTTGATACATTAAAAATACTTTATTAGAGATGTTTAAAGATGTCAAAAAATCATTTTCTATACACTTGTAAACAAAACTCCTTAACGTATGTTTTACATTTTGACAAAAGACAAACGGCTATGTAAAAAAAAAAAGAAAGAAATTTTTATAAAAAATATATAATATGTTTAAAGGAGGAAAAAAAAAAGACTATTTTCTTTCGGTTAATAATAGTAATATTAATTTGCAGGCTATCCAAACAACATATACAGTATATACTGTATATATAATATATATAGACTTATAAATACTATAAATAAGTTTAAACTTTAAAACTAGCTTAGTATCTAGTCTTTCCTTTTTTTTATTTAAAGTAATTTAAAACTATTTGCTAATTGTAAAATAAACACTTTATCTTTTGTTTTTGGTATTATTTTCATCATTTACAAATTCTATGCATTCAATATAAAAAGGGAAAAAGTAGTTATTATTTATTTAATATACAATCTATTTTTCTTTGCAGGATGCCAATTTTTTTAAGACTACAAAATTTGTCATGGAATGCCACTGCTTTGGATATCAGAAAGTTTTTTCATGGTCTGTCTATACCAGAGGCTGGCGTTCATATTGTAGGCGGAAAAGACGCTGTCGCTTTCATAGGTATTTATATAACGAAATTTGCTCTTCTTTCACCTTCCCTTTATCTTATAAATATAACTCTCCGTCTTCGAGTTTTCTATGTTTCTTTCTGTTTATCTTTATGCTAATAGAATACTTTTTTAGTGTTGACATTATTGAAATCTTTTTCTTGCTTGAGATGATCTTTAAGATTCAGATCATTCCCTGACAATTAGATTATTTTACTCGAACTTCTTTATTATTAAAGCTTTCTCAACTGATGATGATGCCAGAATAGCCATGAAAAAGGATGGCTATATGATATGTGATTCTCGAATTAGACTTATGTTATCGTCAAAAGCTGAAATGCAAAAAGTTATTACTAGAGAACGAACACAAGTTGTTGCTGATGATCAAGAGACCATACCCGTAATGAGAAATACGGGAGATAAAAGAATACCCCAAATAATCTATGATCCTCCGAGACGAGTAGTTAATCAGAAAAAGTCTTCGTATCGAGAGAGTAACAGTAGCATTCCAAAGCATATCTCGAAAAATCGTTCATTCAAAACAGTATTTAATGGTATGTATTTTATTAATTAACTATTTTGCTTATGGATATTGGTACATACTAAACAAAATAATTAATAATAGGCATATTAAGTGATTGCAAACATTTCCCAGATTCTTGGGAGTCAAGACAGTTGGAAAAAAGTGCTTATTATAGCAAAGATCAAGACTCTCCAGTAGACAGGAGAAACGTTAGTCCAGTGGAACTTTCATATCAGACAGGTGAAGAGAGCTATTACTCACGTAAGAGACAGTCGCATTATTTACAAGATTACGAGACCAGCTCACAAAAAAATTATGCTTTTGATCATGATCCATCCAGGAAAAGGTGGAGGGAAACATCCGATTCATTATGGATGGATCCATATGATGATGTAGCCTCGTATGTCAGAATGAGTAGATTTATCCCCGAAGTGAATATTTTCGAAATTCAAAATTTTTTTATGGATATTGGTATACGTTTGCATAAAGAAAATATTAAAATGTTGAGCGATGAGTGGGGTAATCCGATAGGGGAATGTCTAATAGAGTTCCCAAATAAGAAGCTTAGCTTTAAAGCTGTTGAATATTCTGGCTGTTATTTTGGAAAGGATAAGGTGAAGATATCCTTTTCAGACTATTCATATTTTAAACATGCTGTAGAGTACGATACAAATTACTATTGTGGTGATAGGGGTAGTTCAGAATCGCAATTTGAAACTTACGAACAAGAGAAGGAAGAACACGAAGAAGTGGATGGTAGGTATGCAAAACATTGGCATTATCATGACGATTATGAAGAAGAAAAGAGCAGTGAGGATGTATTTGAGGAGATAAAAGATAAGATAATAATGATTAAAGATGCTCCTTATAAATGCCTTAATAGACCAGATATTTATAAGTTATTTCCGAAAGCAAGATTGAAACAAATCTATTTTGAATATGATGGATTCGGTAAAGTAAATGGAAATATATATGTTGAATTTGAAAATTACTATAATTATATAGATGCACTAAAGAGAAATAATTACTTGTTGAAAAATAAGCCTATTAAATTGATTTCAATTTCAAACGAAGAGATTGTATCACGTATCCAAACTCATCAAGAACTAATAAAGAAGCAAAAGAAAGCAAAATATGCAATTGGACCTTATAAGGAGTTTTGTAGAACCCCTACACGTATTGAGCATGTTGAACCAACATCCGACAATGTAACTCGTATAAAAGTAATAGATGTATCACAAGAAGCCTCTTTAAGAGATCTAATCAAATTTGCTATGTGTCATAGTCCAATAGAGCAATTTTCGACAATGATTGAAAAGAGAACATCGAATGATATATATCTAGCATTTGCAACAAAATCCGAAGCAGTGAACTTTATTCAAGATTTTAAAGGAAAGAAGTTATTTTTTGGAAAATTAATTGATTGCAATCTAGTTATAAATGACAATAAAGAAGACTGATAACGATAAAGAATAATTGTAAAGATATAAAGCAAAAATTGACATATCAGAAGAAAGAGAAACTTGAAGACAGAGTTTTTTTTTTTATATATTTTTATATATATTTGTTCATTGGAAGAAAGAAAACATAGATCATTTGAAGACAATTCATTTTTTTTCTCTTTAAATGTTCTATTACAAACAATAATTCTAAAATACTGAAGATGAACAATAGTAGAGTGAGGCAATATGCAGAATATATAACTGTATATAATACTATAGCTGACTGTTCAAGAATCTGAACATAAAAGATATGATTTGTCAGTTTTTTTTACATCTATAATATAGAATTTTAAAATTGAACGGGACAATTTTTTCCGTTCTTTAATCGTTAAATTGTGATTTTTATTATAAGCAGATAGTTCTTGAATAACAACTAGTAACTTCAATTTATATTATTCGTATTATTTCCAATATATAATATTACGTAAATACGATAAAATTAACAAACTGTTTTACATTTCACTCTTGTAGAACGAGAGATGAAATTTTATAATTTTGTTCTATTTATTCATTTAAAAGTTAACGTTATTTATATACTTTATTCTATAAATAAATAGAGTTAATGAGGAGGATATTCGAATGACATGCACGGAAATATTGTATTGTTAGTCCCTTTCTTTTGTTCCATACTTTTATAATTCTTAACTTTTGCACCGACAGATTTTAACAATAGATTATTATTATTAAAAATATAAGAGTTTTTGCCTTTTATTTCATTTATATTAAGAACATTTGGGTTTATTATTTGGATATGTTTTTCCATATTGTTTCTTACTTTTTCTTTTTATTCTTTTAATGGATAAAATCCATACAAACACTTTATACTAATTAGTAACCATTTCTATTACAGAAGTCAACCTTAGCTCTGTAAAACTTGCAGAGGGCGTTACCATAAGATCGGAAAAGAAGATCTGTTAAAACTTGGGAACAGCAATAGGTTATTGTGTGTTCAAAGCGTGGCATTAAAATCGAGTACGCCACTGCGTAATGCTGATGGAAAGTCACTTCTTATGGATTACGCTGCGCGTGGAACCCATGTTATGTTACTATTTTATGTTATGTGCTAATCCAGAAGCCCAGGCGAATTAAGAAGAAACACAATTCAGAAAAATTCAAAATATTGTATATGTACAAAACAAACTTACTATATGCGATTTTACCTTCATAAGTTTTCTTGTTAATGTAAGACAAACAATGTAAAAGATTTTGCGTCGTTACCTGCAATATACAATTAAAGGTAAATTAATTGTATATAAATAATGGCAGCTACAATCTAGTACGTCATTTATCCATAGCAGATAAAAACAGTAGTGATAAACGGTAATAATGCGGCAGATATTTTTCATTGAATAATCTAAAAACAAAACAAACACACAGCTAAAATGTAAACAAAATTTTTTGTCAGTACTGGAAGTCAACTTTATTGATTTTATGTAATTTTTATCAATATTATTTTGGTTTGTTTAATATGCTAATTGTTTTTTTTCTCATATTTTAAGTCCTTATTATTACTCTTAACTAGTACTACAGCGACAACTACTATTACTACTACTACAACCACTACTACTACTATTATTATTATAATTATTGATGATATTAAATTATTAAATTATCACTATTATTTGCATATTCAAATTATGTAAGACTATTACGCAAAAAAGGGCAAAAAAAGTGAAAATTTTACCTTAAAATATGAAAAAAAAGGAAACGAAAAATTCTTTTTCTTTCAATGTTGTTTGTAAATTACTTTTTAATTGAATATATACAGAATATATACTGTATATATTTTCGTTTTCCTGTTTTGTCAAGTTGGAAGTTTTACGTCGTAGTAACGTTTGTCATCCGTGTTTGCGAATATCATACGAATTACAAGTGTTTTAATCGTAATTTTAAAACAAATTCAATGTTTGATAAAACTTAAAAAATGTTTAATTATAAAAGAAATATGAAAGTAAATATTATAATAAATGTTGTGTTTTTCTTCATATATAAATCTATATATAAAGGGAAAATGCAATAAATACAAAGTCCTTTAAACTGACGTTATTCTTCAGTTTTAAGGAAACAAAAAAAAACTTATTTCTTCTTTCGCTTTTCGTCAAATATTTTACGAAGATATTCCAATCTTTACCCTGATTACGGGGAAAAAACAGTCATTTTATTGGAGATAAACAAATTGAAACCGAAGAAGGAGAAAGGATATAGATAATTTGTAAGTTGAAGAAAGCTTGTTCTAAACACTTTTAATTGTTATTTAAAGAAGGACGAAATCTTCAAAATGATTGTCCCGAGAATTTCGATTTATTGATAATGCCTGTGCTGGTGTTGATTCTTTATCAATTATTGAAAAAACGGGATATTTCATCGGCGGTGTTGAGTCATTCCGTCTTTCTTTAGTGATACAATACTAAAAGTATAAAAATTATTCATAATTAATAATAATAAACAAACATGAAGAATTTAAATTCTTTTACAAACCTTTTGAATATTCTCCCGTAACTCGCTTAGGTGCTGTCGACTTTTGCAGATAAAACATATTGTACAACTTGGATCTAGTTTTCCGAAAGACATTTTTCTGGGCTCCCGGCAATGAAAAGTTTCAATAGATGTCATTTCATCTTTTAAATTAACTGATTCTTGACATAAATGAGGATCCAAATATATAAATTCATCTTCTTGACTACCACAAACCCAAACGGAATGTCTAGGCTTTCCACCTAACACACCAGCACATCCGTCAAATGACAATATACCTTTTAAACATTCTGCATAGTCTCTATTTAATTTTTCACCCCCTAATCGAACAGGAATTAGAATTAAAACACTTTTCCAATTTCCCTCTCCATCCATTGCTAATTTCTCAACATCTTTCATAAAAACTGTTAAAATATAAAGTTGTTTATATTATATATTTAATGATTTACATAATAAACAACTGCAAAGCCTATTTTACTATATGCCAGAAAATATAAAACAAAGGTAAATATCGTCCGATGTTTAACCTATTAACCGTATCTATCAAACTTCATTCTCAGCGAACTCGGCCGCTTTCATTAGGCCTATTGGACTAACATAGCCATCAGAATTACAATTAATTTCCAACGGGAAATGTAACTTGAATAAAGACTAATCGTTATGCCTAAAACCATCATTTAGAAAGACCTTATAAATACACATTAACTGTTTTTAGTTCAATTGGTGGTCTAAATCAGTAGTTTACTTCTTTATATGTTATTTATAGTAATATATATAGTATATATATATGCGTGTGAAAACAAACCTGTACAGTTTTCAGCAATATACACACAAAATCTTGATAAAGGATTCACTGAAGAGTACTCCAAAATACATTTTTTCTTTTTTCTATTAGTATTCATATCTTCTATACAATCCTTAATAATGCAGGCCATAGTTGCTGGACCAAACCAATCTTTAGCTTTTTTACCATAATTCCTTGCAATTTCAATCATTGCGTGTATTGAAAGAGGACCTAACGGTTCCGAATAATCGTTAAATAGTTCAATTATTGATCTATGAGTTGATAGCTCGCAGGAATTTTGTTGTAATCTCCAACTTCTATTTAATAAATGTTGAGATATGGCAAAGCCTAACATCATTTGACCAACTCTTAACATACAACCCCAACCTAAGTCTGTTTTAAGATTGTCTGAATTTGGTAATGGATGCATATTTTGGCGGTAGGTAAAGCGTATTCGAGTGTATATATCCCTTTTAAATTCTTCCATTCCTAGTTTACCTTCTGCAATTAGACTTCTACGAAAATCATGAGGTATTGCTGCGGGAAAACAAAAATAAATAGATATGTAAGAATAACTTTGCTAAATTGTAGAATATTAAAAAATATCTATGTTTATTACTTAGAGGCATAGATGAAGACTTTCGATGATATAAATTTCCTAATAATATTATGGGATGATCGTAGCTAAATTGAGTTTTAGTTTTTAATATGAAACCATGTCTGAAATTATTCAACTTGGCGAATAGTTCAGTTTTTATGTCTCTTTTCTCTTCAGTTTTGTTCGATGAGTTATCCATATCCGGTAAATTATTTCGCACTGACAACGCTTTAAATCTATCATTCATATTCTCTTCAGGCGGGGCATTATACATACTGCTACACATGTCCCATGACGCTGGTCCATCAACATGAACTTCTGAGCAACTGTCAAGAAGATCATGTTCAACATGCTCAAACGACCTGCTTCTCCTTAGGCTGGATCTGATATCATCGATATCTGACCAGGATTGAAAAGATTCGATGTCATTCACGGGAGGATTGCATGCGTTTGCACCAGTGCAATTATTCATATTCTAAAAGAGATAATTAATCGAGATTTGTTATGTTTATGTCGCCATCTTGAAAGTTAGTTAGACTTCTTTAACTCCACACTAAAATGATCGAATAATTTTTGGAAGGCCTCAGGATACCAGACTACGAGACTGGTTACACCCGTACTTCCTGTGTACGAGAGTCTTATGAGTTTGTTTGAAGAGTTTTTTTGCCCTAACTTTGCTATAAATATTCTAGAAACGCTGTTAAACGACTAAAGAATATAAAGAGTAATTATTTAAATCAATGTAATAATTTATTTTTTATTTCTACTTTCTGTAGAGTTACCATCAAGATTCATCCTCTTCTGTTCGGTTCTTTTTAATTCGATATGGCCGACGACGCAGTCATTCCCGTGGATGTTGATTTTCTCTATAAAGAACGAGAGGCAGGAAAAAGAAGGGTAAAACCTGTAGCAGCAAAGTATACTCAACTGTTTGCGAATCTAGAGAATGATGAAAGTGATGTCGAATTTGAATGTCCCGATTCAAATTCAGCCTATACAGATAGTTCTGAGGACGGTAGACCAACAACTTCTGCTGAATCGAGTGACGAAGAAATAACGAATACACCTATTGAAAATAATGTCTCCTTAGAAAATGAAGAATTTTTCGATATGAATTTAACTCCAATTATGAATAGTTTAAAAATTTGTAGCGTTTGTTTAAAAACGGATAATTCAGATGAAAATGAAATCATACAATGCGATAATTGCGCTATTCAGGTTAGTTTCTCATAATATAGCGTTTTCTCTACTTATATACAGTATTGAATGAATAGTATCTAACTTATAACATGATTATGCCTGTTCCAGTTTTAGGACAGCCCTGTTGATTGATTAATTAAATTAAAAATAAAAAAAAACGTGATAATTTACTATCATTTGAACTATTTAGGAAAAGAGAGATGACTAAGAAAAGAATTAGTAATAACTAAATACGCATATAATCAAGTATATTTCTATAAATTATATATATATATATATATATATATATATATATATATATATATAATATGAAATCTTAGATTAGGATAGTTAATACGTGTACCTTAATTAATCATTCACTAATGGTTTTCTTTTCCAAATGGCTTATATTTAAAAATTATAAAGGAGATGTGAAAAAGACTTAAATGTAGACAGCTATTTCGTTATTCATAATTTCCTATTTTAAACTCTTATAAATGACAAAATAAGGCTAACAGAACATTCTTAACCAGACTTTTAGCGTTTAACAAAGTTCATATTAAAAATAATCTATATCTTTATTTTTATAATTAGGTTCACGAAATGTGCTATGGTGTTCCTGATACTTCTAGTTTAGACTCTGATGCTTCGTCAGCCTCTACTGAGCCTTGGTTTTGCGATGCTTGTAAGGCGGGGGTCGAACCGCATTGTGAACTATGTCCAAATGAATTTGGAATATTTAAGAAAGCAGAAAATGGAAAATTAGTACACTTAATATGTGCTTTTTACGTTAAAGGTGTACAATTTCGAAATACTGACACGTTCAGTCCAGTCGTTCTGAGTGGAGTACAAAATTCTAGATTTGGTGCCAGAAATTGCGGTTTATGCGAAGATAAAAGACTAGCTAGATCCGGTATTTGCGTAACTTGCGAAGCAGGTAAAAATATAACTATTTGTGTAAAGCATATACTTGAGCTTTCTTTTAAATCAAAAACCTCTTGCAAATTTTTCCTTTTAAGGTATGTGTAAGAGAAGCTATCACGTGACCTGTGCTCAAAGAGAGGGTCTGTTGTTGGAAGATAATTCCGTAAACGATTCAAAGCACGATCCATTTTACCTATACTGTTTTCAACACAATAAAAACGAAGATAGATACTCTCAAAAGAAGAACTTTACGTTATCGCTGACTTTGTTAAAATCAGATAAGAAAAAACTAATTGAAGTTGATGAAAATTCAAAACAGAGAATGATTAAGTACCTTCAAGCCCATCGCGAAAAATTTGATAGTGATGAAAAAATTCGTCTTGATTTAGACAGAGAAAGTTATAAATTAGAGAATAGTAAAAGCGCACCAAAGGGGAGTCGTTCTGTCACAACATGTCCTTACGCTGTAAAAATGTTACTCAAAAAGGCTAGGGCATCTGGATGGGAAACTTCAGGTAATGAATTGCGTGAAGCGAACGCTCCTAAACAACTTTCCGTAACGCCAGCCTTAACGGGACACTTTGCTTCTTACTTCTTCGATAGAGAAACGGTTATAGCTAATTTAAAGAGTGATAAAACAAAAAATGAGAAGAAATGTCTTCGCTTGGAGAAGGAGGTTACCCGTTTAGAAGGTGAAAGAGAGGAATTAAAACTTATTAAAGAGCAAATTATAAACGATTTAGTAAATATTAAAAACAATGGATATATGCTATACTCCTGCCTCCAGAAATTGCAACCGCAAATACATATACCCTACTACCTTCAGCCAACGATTGCCGCACCTAGGATTACAAATGGAAGTCCTTCAAAGAAGCTGGGTGTACATTCAAAAATATCTGCTTATGCTGACGAAGTTAGTCCAAAAAAAGGTAGACCTCAAAAGGATTCAAAGATCTCGTACGATGAGTGTCGAGTTTGCAAGAAGAAGGCAAACAAGCCCAGTAGTGTTAAATGCGATAGGTGTCTTTATATTTATCATTTAAAATGTTTAGATCCGCCATTGAAAAGATCTCCTAAACAACCTGGATACGGTTGGCATTGTACTCACTGCGATTCTTCTGATAGTGAAGAGGAAAATGAAAATTCCAGGAAAAAAAGAAAAGTAACAATGAGAGCTTCAAAATATCCTAGTGATGACTTTGTAACGTGTCTATGGGGAGAGGACGATTAGCTTTTTTAATTTTTACTCTCCTTATCGTTATTGTTTCTTCCTCAAAATAAAAGAAAGAACATTTCACGTATGTTCCAAACGGTGCTAGTAACAACTAGATATTCTCCTGTAAATTTTTTCTTTTACATTTAACATTGTTCTATCAACTGTCATCCATGTAAAACTGATAACACAAAAGTATATACGATAATACATGATAACTCATTATGTGTTCATGTTCATATGATTTATGGCAATAATCAGATGAATATATTGATAAGCATGTTATCGACAATAGACACATTAATAAAACCTTTATATATTATTATTAGATATGCTTTATTGTTTTTTTTTTGTTTTCCCGCCAAAGGCAAGGCATTTCTCTCTTTATTGCACTAATTAAGTTTTGACACATGAGTACTTAAACTTGAATTTTTTTTGTTTTAATAATCACTTTAGCAATTTGCCTAACTTTTAGTGTATGTTACCTTTTTTAAAAGCTTTCTTTAAGCTTCAAACACGTTGGGAAAGCCTGTTTTATTAAAAAACAAATTATACCTTTCGGTGCTTTCTGATTTTAGAAGATATACAATATCTCACAAATACGTCTGTTTTTTTCAAGTTATGCATTTGCATTAAAAATCTTAGTTTTATACTATAACCGGTAAAATCAATGACCTCTTTAACACACGTAACCGTTCGAACGTAGTAAGTATTAATAATATGTAAAGCCGCGTAAAAAAATCTTTAAAATTAACGCGCCAAGGTCGTTATTAGAGCGGCGCACATTTCGAAGAATTCGAGTGTCTGATGTGAATTTCCTCCAGCTAAGCTTTCCGCTGGATAAAGTAAGAATGTTTTGAAAATTGATGAATTTTTTAAATAAATTATTGATTCTCACCATCTTCAGGTGCAAGGTGCATACTTTGCCGAGTCATTGAAGTTACCTTCTGTTGATCTGGATGATCTTGCGTATTCAAACTTTTAAAGTCTAAAAGATAACTACGCTGATCGACCTGATAAAGCTGCAGGCTCATCTTAAAATATTTTCCATTGACTGGATTCTTTCGGCGAACAAATATATTCCAATTATTCATAATCTTCCACTCAAATCCCAGACTTTTCATAGCCCTGAATACTTCGTGCATAATATCCAATGGCTTACTCTGCGATCGTATTCCAAGATGCCATTTGGCTTTCTTCATTCCGGATGTAGAGGTGCGACGTTCCATAGTCGCAAGGAGAGGGTCTAATGTAGCGCTGGTATTTTGCATTTCTATAAATGTATAAATAATTAATAACTATCGATTAATATTCGACAAACGAAATACAAACCAGGCATTCTCTCCGGATGTGGCCTGAGCGGACTATTCTCCGCATGATGTTTCTAAGTAAATAAAGAATAAAATCAAATATACTTTCTGACAATTAATTCTGACAATTTACGAATCGACAATCAATCAATTGAACGTTTAAATCATTGATACAAATAATTATAATTAATATATGTGTATATAAATATCTATCCTTTGTCAAAGAGTACCTAGATAATAATCATCATTGTGATTTATTAGAATCTAAATTATTTCATCTCAAAGCTCCTGAATTAGCTACATTAATGATTATAAAAACAATACATTTCAATATACCTTCTTTGCGCGCTAGAATTAAGTTGTTTCATGAAGAAATAGAACGTTTATTTAATTATATTTATAAAATATAATACCTTAAATAATTTGACTATTACAAAGGAACTAATTGCAGTTAAACAGATAGTAAATGCAACTGTTTGACCGATAAATTCCATGTTTTAGTACAAAAGGCGAATTGACTTATTCCACTTTTGTCACAGTTAAAGACCAAGATAACTGTGGCAAGGCGTATCTAACCAGGTTTAGAGGTGCAAAAAGTTAATTAATATTGAAAATCTAACCCCGTTTGAATACGCCACTAAAAACAAAATGACAAAAAAATCTAAATACATATACGCACATATAATGTATGTCGTATATTACTCTATAGTGTTACTCTACAGTGTTACTGTGTAAGTGAAGGAAAGGCTTACCAATAGAAAATCATTTGGAGGTGGACTCGATGCGAAATAGAAATCTCGAATTTGTAGTTTTGCCGCTGTTATATATTTTTGTTATTAAGTCAGAGTCTAATGTAATAATAACAATAATAATAATATTAAGGTTCTTATTTAACTTACCTTCGTCCGCAATACGTTTATTATCAACCACCAAATTATAAGCTATCACCAATTGGTCCTGTGGGTCACCCGATAGGAGAGCTCTATGAACTTCATCTTCAGTAACGTGACATTTCTAAGAAAAGAAATAATTTATATCGAACTGTAACAGTAAATGCTAAAAGTAATAAATTTGATGCATACTTCACAAACTTCTCTAACAGCATCCGTATCAACGATTGAAGCATCCAAATCTTCTTCAGGCGGGAATAAATACTCTGGTAACTCTACTTTAAACCACTCATGCTCCCTAGTAAAAGAAAAAAATTATAATGATCAGTTTCATACTGTGTTTTTACACTCATAAATTACTTATAGTGTACAAACTAACAATAAGAACTGTAATATGATAAACGAGGGTGTAATTGACATAATTAAATATTTCTTTTGTTTTTTTTCGACCTTTTTAAGGTCATAAATCTATTAATTTATGCAATAGAAAATAAAAAATACATTACCTAATGGCCTTTATTGTAATTCGCTGCACAGCATCAACCTGAAGGCACTTTGTTATCAAAGACACAACAGAAGAATTTAGATGATCAGGAATTGGAAAAATTCCGGCTATATATTGTATATAAAACAAAAAAATAATAGTTATGTACTTAATAAGTGAGAAAAACTTACATTTAATCTTTCGAAAAAGAGTTGGTACATGTTCATCATCAAAAGGTAGCTATAAAAGAATTAATCAATTAATTTGCTTCGTATTACAATTTGATCAGTTTTTTTTCTTTCTTCCTATAATACTATATTAACTTACTGTGCCACATAATAAAGCATATAATATAACACCACAACTCCATATATCAACTTCAGGTCCAGCGTATAATCTTTTTAAATTTAGAAAATTTGTTTTTTTACATCAAGCGTTAATTAAATCAATTAAAGAGAAAACCTACTTTCCAGAAATAACCTCTGGTGCAGCATAGTTAGGACTTCCACAGCTAGTTCGTAAGAATTCACCATCCGTCATCATATTACTAAGGCCTATTAGTTAAAACACAAAATAGGGGAGTGAAGTAGAAGATTTAATATTATCTGTCCAATTTTTAGGTCAAATGCTTACCAAAGTCGGCTATTTTCACATTTTTATTATTATCTAGGAGTAAATTTTCCGGTTTTAAATCTCTGTGGACTATCATATGTCTATGACAATATTCTACGCCGGATATGATTTGCTGAAAGAATCTTCTAGCCTCGGCTTCCTTAAGCTAAAAAATATAATGTATAAATTAACAGAAATCAACAATATTAATAGTAAAAACAATAACAAAAATAAAAAAAAACTATTGAATAAAACTATAAAAAAAAAAAATCTAATTTTTATTTCCGTTCGTCGAACATATTTTTTTGTTAAAGAATAATCTATTTATAGAAAACATTCTAAGAATTCATCTCATTCCGAAAAAGTGCGACGTTCTCTAAACTTGGAATATAGGCTGAATAAAATCAGCTTAATCGCTCAAGTACACTTATCATATCAAAAAATCCGCAGAACTTATTGTTATTTATCCACCTTTTTTGATAAATTGAATAGAACAAAAAAAAAAGAATTGGATTGTCTTTAAGAGTGAACTTTTTTTTTTTCCTCATCATCACGTATTCCCCGCACGTAGACCATTTTAGTTCCTTTTCGGTTGCTTTTAATAGACAATTATATAAGTTCAAGGAAAGGTGCATATTGTCGAAAAACTTTCCAAATAACTGTCTAGGTAAGAGAGAAAAGACGCATAGGAGGACAAAAGTTCATTCCATACTTAAACAAACAAGATCGCGCTCTTAAGTCAACTCTAAAATATGAGAGATCCATAGAAAAAAAAACCGCAGCAATAATAAAAATGGAGCTGAGAGTTTATTCCTCGATGTTCATTGATAATCTTTTTTATTATTATTAGGTGTTTTTATATTATTTTTTTTTTTTTTTTTGGATATCGATTAAAGAAAAGTATATTGATTTAATATACCGAAGCTATTCTATGTCTTTCCATCACTTACAGTGTCCATGTCCATTTTCTTCTATTTCGTTTACTTATCTACCTCTCTCATTCCTTTCTTTGTACAAAGCTTTCATCTTCCCTATTTACTCTTTTAAATTATGTGCTAATACAATGATCTTTATCTTTTGAAATATTTATGATTAAGTAAACTTATAAATTATTATCTTTCATCAATTATAAACTCAATGGTCCCTTTTGCCGATCTTTCTCTTCATTCATACAAATAAAGCCTATTTAATAAATTATCGAATATAAACATTGTTATAAGGAGTAAGACGTATAAATGAAAAAGACAGGTTATTGTTTTGATTAAGAGGAGAAACAAAAAAATAACAATAGAAACCTTTCCGCATTTGACGATGTACTCAAAAAGCTCGCCACCAGACACATATTCCATTATCATAAAAATATCCGTCGGTGTACTGATGACCTGGTATCTGTATAAAAGATTTCTTCATTATATTCTATACACATTATATTTTATATAACTCACAGCTTAATGATATGAGGATGCCGAAAAAGCTTAAGATTCTGTATTTCTCTTCTGATTTTTCCAACGACATCGAGTGTTTTTATTTTATTCCTATTCAGTATTTTAACTGCAACTTTGTGATTTGTCAATTGATGAATGCCGACTGTAAATGAAATCAAATTTTCATTAGCCTCAACACGTGGTTAAAAAAGTGGTTTTATTGCTGTAAACTTGACGGACTACAATTAGAAAAAAGCTAATCCAATGCATCATTTGATTATACGTACTTTTAACTTTTCCAAACGTTCCGACGCCCAATGTTTCACCCAAAATATAGTGGCCTATTTTCACTTCAGGGTTCTGAGCTGATTTTTCAGCCGCCATGTTGTTTTGATCTGTCCTTATGAATATGTACAAGGTGAAGGTTATCATTTTTATAGCTTATAGCGCCACCTATAATAGCGCGGGAAATAGTTAATAGAAGCTTTTTTTAGAAATGTATAATTCTATTTAAAGAAAAATTTGAATATTTTAAAACACTATAAAGTAAATATTACACTTAAAGACAAATGTTTTTGTAAGGAATAAACATTTAAAGAGCGAAAATAGGATATATTTATACGATAGAACTATAAAGAAACATCTGACAAATTCTATTTATAACTAATACATCATTATCATTATTATTACAGAGATAAAAATATTTAATCTCCTAATGGAACACCTTACTATATAAACTCTTTTGATTGGACAAAGTGACAATAACAAGAAAAACGTTTATGATAAATCTACTATTTTCCGCTAGCTCGCAATATTTTAACAACTAGTAGTTGATAGATTAAGTAAGAGACTAAGAAAGAGCAAAAAAAGAGAGATCAACAAAGCTTAATTCCCTTAACAATTTATCGCTTTAAATCAAAACTTTTTAACAAGATATTGATTAGTGCCAAATAGTTTTTATACGCTTCAAAAAAATCGAATTTTCTTAAGTAAATGAAGACAATTTGATATTATATTGTATATATATATAAGAGAAAAAATGATTTATTACTATTACATTGCCAACTCTTGGAATCATTGTATTCATATATTAAAATTATATAAATATTCGTAATCATTACGCCTGGATTAATTATCATTTTATATTTTTCCTTTTTAATTTCTTTTTCTAATCGGATACATTATTACAAAATAAATAATTGGAATAAGTAGTATATAAATGTTTATATGATCATTTATTTATTCAATTATTAACAGCAATTACAGGTGTAAACTTTGAAAAGGATAACGTCAGCATAGTTGTTTTTTTTTTGTTTTTTATGAAAATAATAAATAGTAAACAAAATCTATCAAGCAGTAAATATTAACAAGAATCGATTATCACGTAAGATCTATGACCAATCACTTTATTGAAATCGCCAACCGTTCAGGCCATTAGTCAATAATCTCTCAAGCAAAGGCCCCTTTCTTCTGTCTCTCTCTCTCTCTCTTCCTGTGTATTACCCCCTTCCTCTCCCCCCACCCCCCGTCGGATACCCCCTTACTCTGTCTTTCTTTCTCAATTTTCATATCTTTGTCTGAAGGATTTGTAGACACTTATACGTGTATGAAGAAGAGTTACAAGAAGAATAAGATACTCTTAGTGTAGTGTGGAGAGTAGAGAACAGGAAAAATTTGGAAAAAGAAAAGTTTATCGATCTGTTTGATATTTATTTAAGGATAATATCGGAATTATTGAAGATTATATAACGTTTTTATAATGGAACGCTTATTGGCTAGTGTAGCCATATCTATAGGAACTGTTGTTCAACCGAGAAATGATGATGATATAATGGCACGTTTAAGTCACCGATATACGACATTTTTACTCGCTCTCTGCTCAATTGTGGTAACAACCAAACACTACGTTGGTGAGCCTATTAACTGTTGGGTACCAGCTCAATTCACAGATAACCATGAAGATTACGCAAACAAAGTATGTTGGGTATCAAATACTTATTACATTCCTTTTAAGCAAAGAATACCAAACGTCGATGCTCCGAGAGAAATGATTGGGTATTATCAATGGGTTCCTTTAATAATGTTGTTGCAAGCTGCAGCCTACTATTTGCCAGTTATGATATGGAGATGGCTTAGTTTTGGTTCAGGAATTGACTGCCATGACATCATTTATACAGCAAAATCTTTACAGAATGTTTGCTATGAACAGGATAGAGAAAAAACCATGAGATATCTAACAGGGCAAATTGGGAGGTAAAAATAAGACATTTGTTTATGTTTATAATGACCAATATTGCCATAGTATCTCTCTTTGTACTCAAGTTATACCTTTTACTTGCGGTTAGTCGCTGGTGGTAGTTTTGACAACATTAAAGCATTTCTTTTGCTTATTTAATTATATTTTTCATTCTTCTCTCTGCTTCTGACGTCTATCAACCGTTTTTATTTCATATTTCATTCATTTAAATTTTCTTCAATTACTCTTAATAATTCTCTTAGGAGTATATATAACCCTAAGGCTATAGGCAGGTATTCACAGAAGATCAATATCCTCGAATTTCAGATCCAAGTTAGAAATTGATCCATATAGAGAAATTTTTTTGATTCCTTTTCTTATAGGGGGAATGAAGGGGGGGGGGATTAAATCTGTGTATTTTCACTAATTATTTATACTTCTTCTTAAATATTCTTTAAAATATCGATTAAATAGAGACAGTTAACATTTTTTATATATGATTATGAAAATAAATATATATTACTTTTTCAAGAATTTCCCTCTCATATTTCATATGCGAAGGAGGGGAATTTTGTATACATAAACTCTACAGTGTTTTCATATGATTCATTAAATAAATCTCCCTTATATTCTTTAATGATTACTGAAATTCTAGTAGTCGTAGACATAATAATAATATGTAGGCCTGTTTTTTCTATATATTTACACTGTAGTAGTAAATAAATCTTTCCATTTGATACAAATAGATACTCAATTTGTTAATTAAAGCATTTAATTTTACTAATTAGTTTTTACTTGGCAGATTTTTACAACAGCACCGAATAATACACTACTATAATCGAAAACCGGAGAATATATGTATAAGATTGCGTAATTTCCTATCAAGAAGGTTGTTTTGTGGAAAGGCTTATGGCAATTATTTAGTATTCTGTTATATTCTTGTTAAGTTCTTTTACGGCTTAAATGCCTGTGCCCAGTTATTCATATTGGATATATTTATAGGCAATGATTATTATCTATACGGTTTTCAAGTAATTAAAGGTCTCCTTAAAAATGAAAATTGGGAGAGTTCACCAAAATTTCCAAGGGTTACTCTATGCGATTTTGAAGTAAGACACCTTGGTGGAAACTTACATAGACATACCGTTCAATGTGTATTACCTATAAATCTGTTTCATGAGAAAATTTACATTTTAATATGGTTCTGGTTTACTTTACTTGCCCTAATTAGCGTACTATCTATGATTACTTGGACATGGAGATGCTTTAGCCTTTGGGATGGTACGGAATACATTCACACAAAATTAGTCAACTTTCAAAAGGTCTCCAAAAAAGATAAGGAAAGAGTAAGCAATTTTGTGACGAGATATTTAAGGCACGATGGAATTTTTGTTATAAGACTTATAGAGATAAACGTAAATAGTCTAACGGCTGGAGAAATAACAAGTGGTATGTGGGAAATTTTCACAATAAGTCCGAAAGCTGCTTACTATTATAACAAGAACAGAAGTTCTACTGCATTAGATGTTTAAGTTGTATTGTATCATTTGACAGAACATTAGACTTTCACTTTATCTATTGGTGTGGGAAGTTCTTTTCAATAAACTTCAAATATTCATTCCCTTTTAGATTATATATGGTAATAACTCTCTTTTTTCACTCTTCGCCCTTTTCCCTCTTCCTAGGATCATCGTTCTTGATTTTATTAACAATTAGGTCCACTATAATCTTAGCTTGGAATTCTTGGTCGTAAAATAATTCATCTTTTTCAACAAACTTTACTATTTATTCTTCAAGTATTTGATTGCGGTATTTTCTTAATTCTCTGATAAAATACAAATATATTACATTGTACAATATAAATGACATACGATGTAAAAATTACCTTTTATGTTCTTACGAATTAAAAGACGCAGTTGAAACGTTTACTCTTTTCATTATTTTATTAAGATAATTATTTCATTTATCGTCAAAATGTTCAACATTTCTATTTGCATTTACTTTTAAAAAGTACCAAATAGTCAACATAATACCAAAAATAACGCAAATATTCCAAATTAGATAGAAATTTATTCTCATGTTTTAGCCGACAATATTGCAGCTCTTCAAGAGCGCCATCTAGCATTTTAAAGAGTCATAGTAATGTAGGCCTATGGATTTCCAAAAAACTTGTTTACAGCAACTAGGCCATTGGAATACAGTACCAATAACTGCAAAGTGTAGTTACCGCCTTGTGGAAAAAAGAATGGTTTTTATGGATTGTTGTAGTTATTTATTTGACCTAAGAACGTTAACATGGGGATTTGGTGTTTTGGTAACTTATTATCTATTTAAAAAGAGATCAGGAAAGGAAGATAAGTCAGGAAAAGTTTGTTGGCGTATGAGTAAGGGTCTTGTAGCGTGCGTTGCCTATCAAGGTCAACGTCAAACTATGGAAGATCGTATGAATATAATAAGATCAGGAAAAGTAGGAGATATTTATTCGGTTTTTGATGGACATGGTGGTGAATTTGCTGTTGAATTTGTTGAAAAAATGCTCATTTCAAGACTTTTAACAAGACTTTATAAACCATTTTCGAATGGTTTAAAAGGGTAAGAAACAATCTCTTTCCATCACTGACGTAAACTAAATTCGAAGAAAACAACCGATTAGAAACAGGTGCTAAGGAAGAAAAAAAAAGTTTACAAAAACAAAAGAGAGAGAGAGAGAGAGAGAAAGAAAAAGAACGAATTCTATTCATTGTTGATTAATAGTTTTAGAATAAGATAATTTTGAGTTACCCATTTTCTGACCTCTCCATATCAATAATTTTCCATATAATAATCTCTTTATTAAATTTTCTACAGACGTTATTTACAGTCTATGATACGTCAAGAGATTGCTTACGTTGCTAATCTTCTTAATAAGATTGAAGATGAAAGTGGTGAAAAATCTGGCACTACAGTGTGTGTAACACTAAAAAAGAATGATAAAATATACATTGCGAATGTTGGAGATAGCAGGGCATTGGTTTGTACAAATGATAACAAAATTATTCAGATAACCAGGGACCATAAACCAAATGATAAACTTGAGAGAAAACGTATTGAAAAATCTGGAAGTTATGTTAAATTTGTTCAAACAATCTGTAGGTTAGAAGGTATTCTTAGCGTCTCAAGAACTTTGGGTGATAGGCAAGTTGGTGGAGTATCAAACGAACCTGATATATTTGTTAGGAATACCCAAGATTGTAAATTTCTACTCATGGCAACTGATGGTTTCTGGGATGCTTTTACAAATGAAGAAGCAGTTGAAACAATATTACAAAGAAGGAAACAATTCTCATTAAAAAACACTTGCGAATTTTTAACAAAAATGGCCGAAGTTTACGGAAGTATGGATAATATAACCGTTTTAATAGCAGAATTTTAATTTATAGAATTATATTACGCGATTTAACTTTCTTATTTGTTTTATTCTTCTTTTCTCATTAATATTCATTAATTTCTTTTATGTAATTGTGTTTATACTTAATTTTATTTAAATAATACTTAAAAACTGTTACAAATAAAATAAGAAACTGCAACCTAGATAATGCCACTTTTGATGTTTGATTTTTCCTCCGCAATTTGTACGAGACGATATTATAATCACTTGAATCAATCAGAAAATATCACTTAATGAGATGGTGACTAAGTTAGTAATTAGCTATTATAAACTCTGGTTTTAAAATAGGACAGATCTAGAATTGATAAAAATAGAAAATATCTTATAAAACAATTAATATTCTTTTCAGATAAAGAGATGCTTCTTTATTCCTCACTCTCTCTCTCTCTTTCTCTCTTTCTCTTCTTCAATAGATTATCTAGCTTCACTAAATAATGCGCCGTTAAAGATCATTCTATCCCATTTATAATTACGTAATGGAAAGTCTTTACTTAAGATATAGAACGGGTAATCTTGTTTAAATATTTGTATAATGGTAACTAAGGTAACAAAAATATAGAGATAAGGATAAAAGCTTCTCGCTTTCATTCAGCCGTCATGGATGTATTCTATTACAATTTTGATTCAGTTTATTACGGAGGAACACTAATTGTTGGAATAGTACTAAACATTTGGGTAAGTTTATATTATATAGGTATATCTATTAATTATACTTAATACTTGCAATTTTGCGTTATATATCGGATTGTTTTTTAGATATTAATAGTAACTTTTGGAACGAAACGGCGGCGAAGGGATCCCCTCTTACTATACCAACTAATTATAATGTGTTATATGTCTATAATTCATATATATTGCTTAATAAGATGGGTTTACTTTTTAAGAGGTGACGATGGAACAAAGTGGTCAGAAAGTAGAGATTGCCATATTTCTGGAATGTTGTTCACAGCTTCATTAATAGGATTGAATGTTTCTTATACTGTTGATCTTACATTGTTATATTTTATCTTAAAAAATTCCTTAAAAACGCAATTAAATATTACAAATTATAAACTTCTGATAATTTTTGTGGTCGTATCGTCTCTATCAGTAGGAATAGCCCTGGTTGGATTTATTCCAGGGTTATATTCGAAAAATCCAATTTGTCTACCATTCAATTATCCTGAAAATAATTATAAAACTTTTCAAATTGTCTTTACCTTAACTGTTGTTTTGCTTACTTTTATATGTTTTATAGTAACGATGGTTGAGATTATTCATACGAAAGTGGTTATATTAAAAGGACCTTCAAATGATTCAAGACATCCTCCGAAGATATCATTGAAGACTAGCCTCTTTTATTGCTGTTTAAATTTTACATTCTATACATCACAAATAGTAATTTTAATGATTACATTATTGTCAAAAAGTCAAAAATCAGCTTTGGAATGGAAAATTCGAATACTATTACCAATATTAGTAATATCAGCATTTTGTAGAGGAAGAATGCATAGAAAACAATTCCATAGAGAAACACGTGAAATAGTTCATTCAGTATTTAAAAAGTCAACAAAAGTTAGCGTCATAACTGAATCAATCACTTAATTTAAAAATAAAAAACTGCTGAAATAAATATTCTGTTGCTTTTAATGTTGTTATTATACAAAGTAATTAAAAGTAATTTACTAAGAAAAGTCGAATTACATGAATCGAATAATTTTCATATCTTTCTTTCTATTTTTGTGTTGAACTATTTCTGTTGGTATTGTATTAAAATGTAGCAAGTATATAATGGCAAATCAAGTGTTAAAGCATATTAGATATTACTAATATATATTAATATTTGTATATACTGTATATATACATATGTAGTCAGGTATATAGTGTATTCTATATCACAGAAGAATGTTTTTTGAAAAGACCTTTACTTTGCATAACTATATATATATATATATACTGTATATATACTAATATATGTAAAATATCTTCTTGAATGAATGCAATAGCTTTTGTTCTGGAAGTGCTACCATTCAATTGTCTCGTTGTTTTCAGTAGTTTTAAACGCGAATACGGAATGAGCTGTTAATATTAATAGAACGTTATTTTCAATATTAAAAACACTTAAAAATTTGTTTATATATTTACTTGACGAAATCTGGTGCCTTGGATATAACATGTTCAAATTCGGCAAAGGATAAAGCTCCATCGTTGTCAAGATCGGCTTCTTCTAGTATCTATAGATAAAAAAAAATATTTGCATAGTTACAAAATAGTAATAAATATTTGATATATTATAATAGGTAGATATAGTAGAAAACAGGCTTTAATCCTAAATAGATCGATTCTGTTTAGAATAAGCTTTTAATATTCGCAAAATAGAAGAAAAAACACAATTAATGGACAGATATTCGTCGCAATTCAAACTTTAGTTCTTAAACACGATCAGGTTATTTATAAACAAAAATTTATAGTTGCTCCTATCTTTAAGTGTACATAAAATTTGATAAGACTTTAAAAGTACTAACGTTGGAAATTAATTGTTCTAGGTCGTCTGCTTCCAATACCTCATTACCAGTTAGGTGATTCACGACGTTTTTCAAATCACCTCTAGAAAGTACATCGTCATCATCAAAATCTGTTTGTTTTGGATAAAGAGAATAAGATGTTAAATAGGGTCTCTTTAAAAGTTAATTTTTCGTTTTAAGAATATAATTTAATTACCGTAAATGCGAAATGCGTATTCAACTTTGACATGCTTTGGTGCAGCTTCTGAAAAAACGCTCATCATATCTAGGAAGTCTTCGAACGACATATCTCCACTTGATGTCGAGGAAAACACTTTACAGATCCTTTCATTAAAAGGATTAGCCTTTAATTCTGGCAAACTCATGATAACATCCATATCGAGGCGTCCGTCTCGATTCGCATCAACGAATGACGGATTAAGTTGTCGAAACTTCTTATAGACACTAAACAAAAGTTTGATTTTAAAAATAATTTATTTATATCCAATATACAATAATAAATTGATGAACTTACTGTAAAATTTCTTTTTTCGTGAAATATGTCAATTCCTGTTATCAATAAAGTACGTCAAATCGTGACTTAGATTACGGAACTAATTTAACGCGAAATTGAGAATAAGTGAAAATTGGTCACTTTAACTCATTTCTTAGAGATACAAATTTTTAATTTTAATGATAGTAGAATGAAAATGTTACTAACTTGGTATTCTTCAAGTTGTCTGTCATCAAACACACTGCCTTGGTTTCCCATTGTATAAATTCTGGAGATAAATAAATGCTGTTTACAAAAACGTTCGATGAAAAGCAACAAAAGCAACCGGTCACTCACTCCTATTCACCGGTTATTGATATGTACACTAAAATGGTGGATATAGGAGGCGCGCTATGACGTGTGGTTTTTCTTTTTCCAATATTACCGAAAACTCTTATTAAAATGAGAATCAAAAAGCCTAAAAGGCTATTAAATAGTCTGAACCCTTTCAACATATTTAAGAAACACGGAAATGGTGGGAGTAAGGATACAAACTCTGTAAGTATTGATGAAATCTTCAATATTAATATTCAGAATTTTACTCACTATTTCTTAAAATTATTTTAATTTTATGTTACAGTCGTCCGACGCTATACCTGCAAGTGTCTACCATGCTCTAGTTATAATTTTCTTGGAATTTTTTAGTTGGGGTCTTCTTACCTTGCCGATTATTACAGTAAGGGTAGAGTTGATTCTTTCCAGAGCTACTAACAACATGTTAATTTTTGCTTTAGGTGCTTAAAAAAACATTTGACACCCATACACTGTTGATGAACGGTATTATTCAAGGCATAAAGGTTTGTTTATAAGATGGTCAAGAGCGTCGTAATTAATAATATTTATTTGTTTCAGGGCTTTTTATCCTTTTTATCAGCTCCACTAATAGGTGCCTTATCCGATATATGGGGAAGAAAACCTTTTTTATTATTAACTGTTACTTTTACTTGTGCTCCTATACCTCTTATGAAATTTAGTCCATGGTGAGTAACAACAAAACTGTTTCCCATCTTCAAACAGGGTCTAAGATGAATAATACATGGAAAAGAGCATTAACAATCTCAAACGTTCTTTATGTTAACTACCTATTTTAGAATATTATAAATCATTTACCCTATTTAATTATTTATAATATCTGTACAAATTTTTTTCTTTTATAGGTGGTATTTCGCCGTTATTTCCATTTCCGGTATATTCACAGTAACTTTCAGCGTTGTTTTTGCTTACGTCTCTGATGTAACAACTGGGGAAGAAAGAAATTTTGCCTATGGTTTAGTTTCAGCCACTTTTGCTGGTAAGAGGCTTATTTAAATAACTATTATTTCTATAAAGGTGTAATTAGAAGGTATTAATGTATCGTTATATTCAAGTGTAAAATAGAAAACTCCTGCCTTTCCTTTTCTTAATTTATTAGAATTTTAGGAGAGTATATTTTTTTTGATAAATCCCATAAAGAAATAATATATTCATCTTAGCAGATAAATAAATATTTAAGAAACGTCAATAATGTAGTATTCTACAAATGTTATCTCTATTTTTTTTCTTATTGATTTTAATAGATTAAAGAAAAAAAAATAGATGACAATTACTTATATTATAAAAAAAGAAGTATATTATTAAAACTATATAGGAACAGCATATTTATGGAATAAGACAATTTTTCATTTCAAGCTGTTGTTCAATTAGATATTGTTTCAATTTTATCACGTCATTTTGCTATAATTATGTATATAAATTATAATGGGAAAAAAAACATGAGCTTTACGTCATTAGATTTTACATGTATGAGAATTAAATAATGGAATATCTATCCTTTTTAAGATTAAGTTAATGAATATCTTATACTTAAGGCTATAGTAGAGATATATACATAATCTATGTATCAATTTGTTTATTCTTGTTTTATTTGTTACAGCTAGTTTAGTAACGTCTCCAGCAATAGGTGCTCACTTGTCTCGGGTTTACAGCGATAATTTTGTTGTGGCCTTGGCGACATCTATAGCAATACTGGATATAATTTTTATTCTAGTCTTTGTTCCGGAATCCTTACCGGAGAAATTGAGACCCAGTTCATGGGGTTCGCAAATCTCTTGGGAGAAGGCTGATCCTTTCGGTGCTCTACGGAAAATTGGTCATGACCCACTGATATTGATATTGTGCATAACAGTTTTCCTATCATATCTACCGGAAGCCGGCGAATATTCTTCATTCTTTGTCTATTTAAAGTTAGTTATGGGCTTTGATGAGGAGAGCGTTGCATTATATATGGCAGTTGTAGGAGTTTTAAGTGTCATAGCTCAAACAGCTGTATTATCCATGCTTATGCATCATTTTGGGGCCAAGCATTCGATTATTATAGGCCTGACTTTTGAGATGCTTCAGTTAGCCATATTTGGTTTTGGGAGTCAAACTTGGCTAATGTGGATGGCTGGTGGCGTTGCGGCGCTTGGTTCTATAACCTATCCAGCCATATCAGCCTTTGTTAGTTCGCATGCCGAAGCTGATCAACAAGGCGTCGCTCAGGGTATGATAACTGGTATTAGGGGCTTATGTAACGGCTTAGGTCCAGCCGTTTTCGGGTTAATTTTCTATTTGTTCGACGTCAACTTGAATGAAACAAATAATAATGAAGATGACAACTCTGTGCCTAACGCCACAACATCAACAACACCTCGATCTAGAAATGTAAGAATTGAATTACTTTTTTAACCTCTCCCTTTTCCTCAAATAAATTTTTTTCGGAAATTTAATTTTAGCTCTCAATAATTTCTTTTTTTTTCACAGGGAATACTAACTGGGCCACCATTTGCCTTTGGTGCCATTCTTGTAATTTTGGCTATTATTGTTGCAATGTATATAAATAAATCTTCATCTCCTCAATCCAGTAGTAGAAGAGTTTCTGGTTCAGGAGAGAGTGGATCTAGTAAGTCTAATTCTTGTTTAAATTTAGAAACAACGTAATAAATTGAATTTTTCTTTTATTCAGAACCGTATAGTTATGAAATCCAGCCTCTAATTTCTGAAGAAGAGGTGTTATAAACTAAATATTTAAGAAAAACAAAAAAGGACAAGAGAAAAAAGTTTCTTTTCAAAAAGATTTCAAATACTCTCCTATTCCATTAAAAAAAGACTATATATATATTTACGTGCATACATACATACATACATACATACAAACAAAAAAACTGCTTGATTTTAAGTTGAATACGGCAAAAGAAATTGAAATTTAAGCTTCGTCGCTTGATATTTTTTTTTAATCTAATGAAGAGCGGTGTTGGAAAAAGCTGCCTGTAGCTGTCTTATAAATTATAGTTCGTAACTTTGTAGAAAGGATAAATACAAACAGCAACAAAAACTAAAAAATAAACTAATAAATAAATAAATACAAATTTTCTCACTCAAATTCATAAAATGAATCTTTTATATAGGTAATGTTTCTTATGTGGAAATTCATATGTAAGTATATATACAATATTGGCTTGTATATATACTGTATATATAAATATTCTTTCCTATTTCAAAAAAATACGAATATTACAATTATGAATAAATGTTACTAATGTGAATGATGTATTATTGTACTACTAAATTTATTAACTAACATTTTAATGAGCAATTAGAGGAAGATGCTCGACTTCGAAGAGTCAGTCGTTCTTTCAACTTATTAAATTAAAAAAGAGAATTTAGTGTTTCATTACTTCAACATGACAAATTAACAGACAAATTGACTGATAGATTCTTTTACAGTTACGCTACAATGAAAATAGGGAAAGTGAAGAAGATAACTAATTAATTTTAATGATAAGACTATTTATTTAGATTTATGCTGTTTAGAAAAATATAATCACCAGATTTTTTAGGCCATATGTTTCATTTGTTTTATTTAAATATATAAATATATATAATTATATAATTATTGTATATTAAATATTATTAATTAATCTTTGGCTGAGAAATAATCAATAGATGGATTGGAGAAATACTTTTCTCAAATATGATTATAGATATTGAATAGTATTTATATGTCTATTAATATATATATATATATAGATATATACAGTATTTACTGCATGTAAAAAATCAATAGTAAACTTATGCACTTTATTTTTGTTGCAATAGAACAAATGACTTATATTTTTATCTCTCTCTATACATTTAATGCTGAATATATCGTATTTATCTAACTTACAGTCATTTCATTAAACTTACTATGTTGGTAATACTTTACTTTTTCTTCTCTCTTACTTTATACAACATTATTATAATAGTTGAAGAGGAACGTTAAATTTACCTTAATATCTTAAATTAAATTTACATAGTAAAAAAATCAGGTTCTTTTTAAGCTACTTGATTTTTTTTTTTTAAAAAAACAACATTAACTTTTTTTTCTAAATTTCTATATAGTTTTACTCTGATGAATATTTCTTTATTATTTAAATTTGTTTAGGCCTAGTTTAAAAAAATATATATAATCATGGAAATTTCTTTTTTATCTGCATGCATATAATACAATTGTATATTGTATATTATATTTATGATACTATATTTAATATCTATTTAAAAGTTAAGAGATTTATTATACTCTAAATTTTAGATTATGTTACTCAAGGTATTAATATATCATATATCTTTTAAGATATTTAATTTCTTCATAGATCACGCAATTTATATTCCACATTCGTTAATCTATTGATCATCCACTTTTATAAATTTTTGACTTTCTTATTGTCAGATTTATAAGCTTAATGGCCCTAAAATAGGCCCTTTTATTTTCTCTTCTTCTTTTTGGCATTAAATCTGTACCGAAAAGTATAGGACTATAAGAGGAAAAAAACCTCAAAACTCTATAAAACCTTCACTTTTCTCTTACTCTATCTAATGCCAGAGTTTTCTCCTAACTTACTGCAAACCAAATTAAGGTAGGCCTAAACACGTGACCAATTCTTATAAATATACGTTACAGCTTTGGCAATACGCCAGTTTCATGTATAACGCAGAATCGTTTTTTTCTCTATGCGATATCGTGAATTTTATATTGTTGATTTCAGTCGAATAAATTCATAATTTTTTGAAAATTAACTGGTAAAAAGTAGAATAGTTTGTGAATTTGAACTGAAATTGAAACAACAAATCAGTAAGATGAGCTTCTTTTCTTATTTTATCTTTTATAATCGTTACATTAACAGATTAGTATAGAACGAAGTCTAAAATTTTTCAAAGGAACATATGATAAATACTGAATCAATAATTTACTATCAGACTATCGAAAGAGTTTAAAAACGATTGATTTAGGAAGAAAACTCCATAGACAAGATTTTACTATTGAATTCAATATCTCATCATTATAAAACAACTTGTATATCTTTTTTCTTATTTTTTTTCTCTTTTACTCTCTCTCTCTCTCTCTCACTCACTCTCCTTTCTCTCTCGCTCTCTCTCTCTCTCACTCTTCACTATCTCTTTATATACAATAAATTTTTTTTATAGATATACAGAACATTAAAGACTTTATTGAACCTGGTAAGGATAAACAATTTATAAGGTTAAATACTAAAAATCCAACAATTAAGGCTTTTATATAAACTATGGGTAAGAGTTTTAACAGTTTTTTTCACCTTTTTTAGAAGAGGGAATACAAAGTTTTTGACAACATCTAGAAAATCAGAGATAAATTGTTAACATGAAGAAATTTATTGCTTTAGCCGTTCTTGTATACGCTATTTATTCTTTTTGGGAACCTTTTGACCCTGAAAATGTTAATGGAAAGAATGTTGTTCTGACTGGGGCAACTAGTGGCATAGGAGAGCAGATGGCTTATGAATTCGCTAAATTAGGGGCTAATCTAATCATTACTGCTAGAAGGGAGAACAGATTACGTGAGGTTATTGCAAAATGTAAAGAGCTTAATCCAAATGCCCAGTATCACTATTTTCCTGCCGATATGAGTAACATGGAAGATATAAATGGCCTTATAAAGGTAAGTGTATTTCCTTTATATATTAATATATATTAGTATATACATATATATATATACAGTATATATCAGTATATATATAAATAGAAGAATCTTTCCTATGTAAATAAATTCGCCGCAGATGCATACATACATACGAATACATATTAGTATATACATTTACTGTACATCTATATATATTTATGCATAGAGATGTTCATAAATTCGTCTATCTTTTCATCACTACCATAGTTAATCATTGGATTTGACAAGATTTATAGTGTTTCGCCCCCTTTCCCCCACGCCTCGTTCCCTTCCCCCTTATCCCCTTAACGTAGGCATGTAAAATTGTCTATATTATGCCCTAAACTATTGTTTCTCTCTATTTTTTTTATGTAGGATAAATAATAAAGTATTATTTATTTCTATGGAAACATAAGAGTATCAGATATTGTTTTTATTAAAAAAAGTCATATGTACCATATGTTTAAATTGTGCATGCTCGGAAAATGTACTCTTGGATAACTCTTTAATTATTAAAAGTAGTCCATCGCATCAATAGTATGTCTCTCTTTCTATACAATAAAAAGTAAATTAACATATATATACAGTATATACTTTCGCACTCTCACTCTTTCTCTCTCTCTCTCTCTCTCTCTCTCTCTCTTTCTGCTCTTCCATCTCAATCTTTTAGCTAATATTCACTCACGATTACATATTTACAACCTTCTTCCACCTTTCACCTCTTCTCTTTATCATCTTTCAACCTCTCCTCCTCCTTTTCCTCTTTCTCTACATCTAGCTACCCCAATTCTACTATTCTTATATTAGGTTAACTACGCTCGTCTCTTTTTCCTTTTTTCTCTTTTTTACGTCGTCTTTTTTATTGATTGTTTTTATTGAAATTATTTAAAGATAACTTTAAGCCTATATTTCCACATCGAACGATGGGAAACTGTCCTACTTTAACGCTATTTTGATGTTTATAGGCTTTTCTAATTGTATTATTATAGAAAATATGCACCGTTTAACTTTAATATCTAATGTCTTCCCTTACTCATCATGCTCTTCATATGCTTAGAATTGATTCACTTAAACTCTTCTTATTCTCTTAAGACCATATAGAGTAGATTTTAAGTAATTTTTTATTATTCGTGTAAGCCTATATGACCTATAAGTTACTACTTGTTTTAGAGGATAAGAAATGAGGGAAAAGAGAGAGCTAGTGTGTGTGTTTGAGCGTGTGTGAAGAGGGGGAAGGGGAGGGGGAAGGGGAGAGTATATATATAAAAAGTGTAAGCTTTTGTTCACAACATAGTTTTTATAAAATAAACGAAATTCGTATTGAATGATATTTTAAACGTCAATGTGATTATAATCTCGTTCGGTTTATCAAGCATCCCATCCAGCAACTTTTATTAATATAAAAGAGGCTAATTTATTGACCCTAATTATCAATACAAGCAAATGTAACGAGATTTTGATGAGTCTAAGTGGTTAATATTCGTATTTGAATGTGCATATTTTGTTTGCCTTAATACCGAATACGACTAATTTATAGAATTATAAGCAAGTTTATACCACTCATGTATTTGAAACCTTAATGAATAAATATGATTTTCATTCAAATAGTAATAATAATAATAATAATAATGAGCAAAACAACAGTTATTTCTTTAATGAAACAATTATGATCATAAATCATTCATAGTCATTTTGTTTTTTTTTTAGTTTACAAAGACCCAATGGGAAAGCCTTGATTATCTTGTGTTAAATCACATTCTTGTGCACAATCTTGGCTGGTGGATTGGATCGAATACCAATGCTACTCTTCTAAATACGATTATGGATACAAATTTCAAGGCCTATGTTACCTTGTCATCTGGGCTTATGTCTTTAGTGGAGAAAGCCAGTGGAAGATTAGTTGTTATGAACTCCGTTGCTGGCAAGATAGGCCAACCCTATTTAGCGGCCTACAGCGCTTCTAAATTTGCTTTGAACGGTTTCTTTCAAGCTCTAGGAGCTGAACTAAAGTTGAAAGAAGCAAAAGCAACCATTACCAATTGTATAATTGGTTTAATTAATACCGAAAATGCTGTAAATAATTTAAAAAATTTTGGTCTGGGAAAAATAGTGAAGGCTTTTTCTCCGGCGACACCGCAAGATTGTGCGTACCACGTGATTAAAGGAGCATCGAATAAAAGAGAGACTGTTTATTTCCCCCTAACTACACCTTTTCTTCTTCATTTTGATTACTTTTTTCATTCATTATCGGAGAAGCTCCTCTTTTATTTTTATCAACTATGAAATTGATAATAATCGTTCTACTAATAACGACATCTTCTTATTGTTGTTGTCAAGCTCATAGATGCTTGAAAGGGTACGCTCGATGGCCTGGAACATCGCTTTGCAGTTGGTATTTTAAATTTTATATTCAAGTAAATAAATATTGAATTAAAAAAAATCGTATTTTTCGTTTTCTCTCATTTAGTTTGTCATTAATAATAAATTTCTTTAAGTAATAAGTTAGAGCAGAGTGAAAATTTTCAGGAATGTAGAATAGAATTTATCGTATCTTTCTTTTATTTGTTTCGCAACTCGTAAAATAAAATTCGAAAATAAATACAAATAAAAAAAGATACTAACATATGATATAGGCCTATGGTTATCGTAACTGTCTTTTAGTATTCTTTCATACACCTCCTCCTTTAAATAATAACATATCAAGTACATGTAATAATATGTCTATGTACACTATATGCAATTATGAAATTGTGTTTCATATACATTTTATATTTTGTAAAAGGGCCGTGCTATCCTGGAACATACGCCGATACTAACGAGCATGATGAAGGTTTTTGTCGACCTTGCCCTAGAGGATTTTATCAACCCTATTACACTAGAGACTACTGCCTCCCCTGCTATTATAATATGTTTCAACTCGGAGCTAAATATTGCGCATCTCCTCCTGCAAAGAAGTTCTTTTAGTAAGCGAAAAACAAAGGATGATATTATTACATACAATAAACATACCTTCTCTTATATCTCGAAGTCTTTATCTCAATATTTGTTTTCTTTTAAGATATAAAAGTATAAATAAGAGACTGAGAAATGTTACGCCCAATTTAGCATCCTTTAGAAATGTTCCTCTAACCTCCAAAAAAAACATACGTACAAACAAAAGGTCAAAGAGAAAGTATAAAATACGATAATGACGCTTTTCTAACAAAATAAGAGATAAGATATTGACAGGAATGTCGGTGGTCTTAGGCTTAGCTTTTTTGTTTTTTCATCCTATTCACTTATTGCATTAAAAATAAACAAGGAATAAATATTTAAATATATTTAAATTATTGCAAAATATGGAAATTAAGAGAAAGAAACCTCTATTTATTTATTCGTTTTGGATATTATTTAATAAAAATGGTAAACATCACCTTAGACAGCCATACCTTTATACACTACTACAAATCTTTCTACCTATAATCTTAGCATTAATTATTGGATTGTCTAAAGTTTAAATACTACTTTTGCATTGAATTATATATATTTTAACCTTTAACCTTTACGTTATGACTAAATATAGCTTATGGATAAAAATTACGGAAGCTTATATCATTTTGAATACAGTGATGAATACAATGTTAATATTGATAATAATAATAGCAATGTCGATTGGATAAATGGAAGGATTAGTTATTATTTGATTGATTATAAGTAAGAGTAATTTGATTATCTATTGAAGATTCTTCTTGTTCTTTACATTTAAAAGGAAAAAAACAATACCAATAGACCTAAGAATTCACTCACTAAGAAATTAATGAATATTTACATTGACGAATTGAATATGACTCAAGGTTAATATTAATGATAATATAGCTAATTGATTGACAATTAATAAGGATCTGTAAATATATAGATTCCAAAAATATCACAAAGTACGAAAATCATAATTATATTACACTATTATTCCATTTTAATGAAAGGTTTAATAAGCCATTGAATATTTCATATACAATTAAGTATATTTACTGATATTAATACAAGAATTTCAATTTAAATGTGTACATTTATATATACATTTATACGTAATTGAATTTAGCATAGAAAGCAAAGTTAAAGAACCTTCTAATTGGCTATTTGGTCAGATTTTCAGTAATAATAAAATTATAGAATTATTAAATTTTCAAGATGACAAAAGTCAATTGAAAAAGGTCTATAAAGAATTCAAGAAACAGTTAATTGAGAAATAATTTAATTACTTATTCAATAGATGGAAGATAAAGAATACTTTGTCCTTCAACTTCAATCATTCGTTGATAAAGCTATAATAAAGCATGTCTTTAACGGTTCTAAAGATTCTAGATCTATTGTCTTAAAGCCTATACCAACTTTAATAAGTCAATCAACATCCTTAGAAAATATTAAATATATTCTTCCCATGATTTTTATTATAACGGTTCTACCTTTTCTATCTTCTTTTATTCGCTTTCCAAATATGGATAAGAAAGTTTTAAAAAGGTAAAAATAAGCAAACTAACCGTATTTTTACTAGTAAAAGTGTATAATCTTCTTATAAAATCACAGTTTTAGATCGAATCAGATTGTCTATCCGTATTGGACGTCTTGGTTTGCGTACATGTTTTTCGTGCTGATGGTAGTACTTGTTACAGTACTATTGTTTTTCTTTTTGGATTTCGGATACGGTGCAATAATAAGTAAATCTTCTCCAACTATAGTTTTTTGTCTATTGACAATTTATGTGTGTGATGTTGTTCTTTTTTGCTCTGTTATGTCTTCGTTAATTACTTCGCCGAATATTGCTGTAGCAGTAGCCGATATACTTTTCATTTTGTCTGCTCTTCCTTATTTTTACTTAAAGAGAGCATATAGGGGATTTATTTCAACTTATTTACCTTGTCTCTTACTTTTTAACGTTGCTTTATTTGATGGATTTTACGATATTCTTAGTTGGGAAGAAAAAGGCGGTTCTTCATGGTCTAATATACATCTAGCAGCTCACTCTAATAGTTTGATATCAGTGAAAATTTGCTTAATTTGCCTTTCGGCATGGTTTCTTATCTTTCTAGTAGTTGCTTTTATCGTTAAACTACTCTATTCTGTACTTAAAGGAGATATGTCTTCACTAAAGGCTGTTATAACTCTTCTTAGCTGTCAGCACCATATTAACGAATTGAACAGAAGGTATCATCGGATAAATTTCGCCTTAAACTATTCCCTTATGCTCGTTGTTCACTTTTCAATTTATACAACACAGATACGCTTCATTTTTAATGATGGAAACGGTTGATACTAGCGAAGTTAGCTCCGTAACATCAGTTATGGGCGAAAGAAATATACCAGAACGCGATGTAATTTATTTTAAAAATGTCTTTAAAGAGAAGTTTTACAACGGTGTACCGTCCGGTTTAATTCTTCATGGGATTAATTTGAAATGCTACCGTGGAGAATTAACATCCCTAATCGGTTTAGGAGATAATTCTGGACTCGAAGAAATCTTGGAACTGATCGCTGGCTCCTCGAAACCGTTAGAAGGAACAATCAGCGTTCTAGGTGTGAGAGCCGATTTACCCCTTTGTAGTTGGAATGTTTTTCATTGCCCTTCGAGAAATATTCTTTTTCAGAGATTGACTGTAAAAGAAAATATTATAAATTTCGCCAAGTTGAAGGGTATTACTAAAGATTCGATGGAAAAATATATAAAACTGGTGTTTGATACCACGCAATTAATAGAATTTCAGCATCATTTATTATGCTTGATACCCTACTCATTACAACGGAGATTATTTATTTGTATGATAATCTATACACCTATTCCAGTTGTTAGCATTACCTAATATTTTTGTAATTATTATCAATAATCTTTATTTTTTTTCTTGTCAATTAATTAATAAGATACTTTTAGAGGAACCAATGAAAGGGCTAGACTATAATGAATCGTTAATAATATGGGAAGTTCTAAAGGAAGCCAAATTTAATAGATCAATAATAATTACCTGTAAAAATTTTGATGAAATTGAAGGAAATGCTGATAGAGTTATTGTTTTAGAAGCTGGCGTGGTTAGATGTTGCGAAGATGTTTCTGATTTAACTTTTAAAAATGGTATTGGTTATGAAATTACTATTTATGGTAACGACGACTTTTCATTAAGAATAGATAAAATAGACGAACTCTTTAGTAAAAACTATCCTGATGCAATCATTGTCAATAAGAAGTAATTGATAACATTTAATAAGTTTTCACTTTTAAATTATATAGATACTTGTAAAAATAAATAGCTATCTTGAACATCGTATAGTCGTTCCAAACTTAAATGGTCTAGAGATGGCGAATATTTGTAAAACCTTGGAAAAAACTCCTGAATATAATATAAAATCTTTTGACATATCGTTCAAAGGTATTGAAGAAGTTATTAAAGAGCGTAAAGAATCTTTAAGTGAATATAGGGGTTCATTGTCCTTAGAGCGTTTCCAATTGAACAACAATTTTCAAAGTATTTTTATAGCGTTATAATTTTTTTAATACGAAATTAAATATTCTATTAAATATGTCTAAATATACATTTTATTGAAGTCAGTTTATTGTTCATATTTACTCTGATAGGCGAAGAAAAATATCAGAAGAGTTTTCGAGTTATTAAAGGATTTATTCTTAAAGAATGGATAGAACTAAAACGTCATTTTTTATATTACCTGTTTTTGTTAATAACCTGTTATATACTATTACTGGCTCCTATTTTCGAAACTGACTTTATCAAAGAAAAAAACTTTAATGCGACTATTGATAAAACAATTAAATCTTTAAAATCAAATAGGATATTGATTGTACCTACCTACTTAAACAATAACTCTGTAATTCATCAATCTTCATTAGCGTTTGAACAATTTCAAAGTAAAAAGTTAAAAAAAGAAATAAGGAAAACGTTTCAAAAAGAACGCTTACCTACTTATTCATATGCATTTGTTTTTACAGAAAATACGCAAAATGGTATTAAAACTATATTATTTTCTTTACAAAACTTAAATTTACCTCTTATTTTTCTAACCTTTAAGGTTATTATAATACCTATCAACCTTACGCTTCCTCAGTTTGCCTTAATATTATAAATGAAGGCTATTTAAAGAATTTTTGCCCTAATTGTAGTCTAAGTACATTTATTTCGGAGGAAAAGCTTCTGCGGACGAACTACTATTACTTATCCTTTTCAATAACATTTGTTCTCTCATTTGGAATTGTAATGATTACTACACGAGTTGTTAGTCAAAATCAAAAATCAATTAAACATATCCAGGTTGCTTTTTATGTTGATATTAATATATTGCATAATTAATACTTTTGTTGTAGGTACTATCCTGTAGAAATCCAATTTTGTATTGGTTAAGTAATTTTATTAAGGACTTTGCTTACATTGCATTATTGAGTATTATTACAACATTTACATTGGCTTTTTCAAAAACCTTAGATGGAGATACATCAAAAACTTCGATCATATGGTCAAAATTAATAATTATTATGCTTACCTTTAGTTGCGCAGCTATTTTACATAGTTATGCTTGGAGTTTCACATTTAAAAAGTCATTAATCTATGCCTCTTTCTATTTCATAAGAATAATGTCTAATTTCTTGCTGTGCGCAATTGGGACGGCTTTATTAAAACCTGAAAAATATGATTCAATCAATCAACTATTTTTGTTATTAAGTCTTGAATTTTCATGCATATCTGCAATTATGGTAAACATAAATAGATAAAATATATATAAAACATGTAAGCAACACAAACTATGTTCTTTTTAGGAGTTATTCAATGAACAACAAATGCATTCACAAAATATGAATAAATTTGGTATTGGATATATTTTCTTATGGATTTCAATAATTATATCTATATCTTTAATATGTATATTTGAATTTTATGGTTCAAAAATTATAAGAAGATTTGTGAGATATTCGTATAAAATACCAATAAATACATCAAACAATATAAATAAAAATACGAATAAACATGAGAAAGAGTTATTAATTATAAATAATGTATCTAAAATTTTTTATCCATCTACAAAGAAAATTCTAAATTGTATTAATATCAAAATAAAAAAGGGAGATTGCATTGGAATATTATGTAAACCTGGTGCTGGTGTGACAACACTTTTCAGAATGTTGACTGGTAAATACTGTATTACTCATGGTGACATTACTTTAGGTAATTTTAAAACTACTATTTATTCATGATTAGTACTCGTAATAAGATTTTATAATGTTAAATTAGGAAATTATAATATTACAAATGAAATTATCAAAGCTAGAGAATTAATTGGGTACTGTCCTCAAGGAAACTGCCTATTTTCCTTTTTAACCGTTGAAGAGCATTTAACTATGTATTATACTTTAAGAGGTTTGTGCCACGACCATACGGTTACTGAAGTTAAGGGTATACTTCACGGGCTTGGATTAGAGTTATTAAAAAAAGAAAGAATTGGCTATTTAAATGAGGAGGATAAAAGAAAAATATCCGTTGCTATATCAGTCATCGGAAAGCCAGCTCTCTTATTATTAGATGATCCATTTCAAAACATGTCCAATTTAAGTAAAAGAAAGGTTATGGAGTATCTTCGAGCACTTAGAAAATCTGGGATGGCCATTCTTATGTCGACAAAAAGGTGAGTTTTCTAACATTATTTCTAATCAGTTTAGTAAAAATGACACGGATTTCTTTCGAAATCTTACAATAAAAGCTTTGAAGAGTATGAATTTTTATGTACAAAACTAGCAATACTAGTAAATGGTTCTTTCAAGATTATCGACTCAACTGAAGATGCTAAAAAAATGTTTGGGAAAGGATATCATATTGAGATTGATATGGCTAATAATGAGAATTTATCATCTCCCCCCTTAGACGTTAGAACCCACAGTCTTTTGACAGAGTTAAGGACAATATATCCACATTGTGTCTCTAGAGAGATAGGCAAAGGTTATATTCATTATCATATTGGAAATGATCCAATAAAATCCAAGCTTTTTTTAAATATGGATTCTTTTACGAAGCAATTTCATATTCATAAATATAAAATCTATAAATCCTCTTTTAAGAAAATCCTCCGAGGTTTGTTTTTACAAATTACTAGGTCTAATATAAAATTGTACTGTATAATAATATTCTACAAAAATAATGTCTTAGGTATAACTAAGGCTCAGCAGCATTACAAGACTTCTAAACCTAAAATATTTAATCTCATAAAACATGTATTGAGTTATATTTTAAGCATTTATAAAAAAGAGACTAACTTTGATAATACATACCAATCATCTCCATATAATATCTCTTTTATAAAAGACACTAATTCTACATCAAGTGAATCAAATGGCGAAGAATTCTCCGAAGGGGAAAATTCTCAGAACTATAGCTCTACTAATCTCTATACGTTAAAAGATACTATAACCTTTAATCATTCAGTAGACCCTTCTAATTATTACGAAACTACTCTACCTTTTCTCACTCATGATGTTTGAAAGGAAAACAAAAACAACAATAAAAAAGGAATGTTTAGTTTTTTAAAATAGTAAAAAAAAACGTTCTATTCTTTTTTTGGATAGAGTATCATGTGATTCATAAATGGAATGTATCCTTTTGTAAACTTTTTATAAATACCAACATATTTTAAGCTTTTTCTTCTTATTATTATGATTTGACAATAAATTACCAAAGTAATGTTGTTTGATTTTAGTGTCAAAAGGTGTAGAGTTCGATTGTATGACATTCGAACATATGAAGCGCCATCTAGCGTTTGCGTAATATGTCTAGGTGTAGGATGTAGTATTTTTAAGTTTTTTATTTTTTTAACGTTATACACGGAATACTATTCGATTGTAGAATTTCCAATATGTATCGTATATTGTATTATGCTAAATAAATACTGATACAAAGTAGTTTATATGTCTTATTCTAAGTAGATTACCAAAATGAAATTGTATTTATTATTTTTGGCGCTAGAGGAAGTGACGTTAATCCTTGACCGAGGTATTTCATCAGTGCTGTGCAAGTGATTCTCTTTAGAATTCCTGAACGCCAATCGCTTATTTTAAACAATAACTCTTCGTTTTTATCTCTGAGAGTAGAACTATCAATCTTGGCTGAAAATGGGTACTACAGTTAATGAAACTAAAGACACAAATACAGAGATGAAAAGTAAACCAGATGACATCTTGTAAGTAGGTCGAATTATTTAAAATGTAATTTTATCCCATTTTACTGTTACTTTTCTCCGAAATTTTACGACACAAGCTCCTCTTTTGAATAATAAACAATAAATCCAAGCGTATTTGGGAATACAACTATCGTTTTAGCATTTATGGTATATTGCAACCTGATTTTGCAATATCTTAACATTAGAATCGTAAACAAACAAATTCATATGTGTATTTAACTAATTAACAAATTCGTTTATAAAATAGTGTTATGGAGGATAATGAAGTAAATTCTACTGAAATTGATGCTACACAAATCAAAAAAAAGTCAAAAGGGAAAAGGTATGTCCCACAACGCCATCTTGAGCCATCAAGAAGACAGAAAGCTGGCGTTCGAAAAATGAGAAGAAATGAAAATAGTATGTTAAAAACAAAATAATAATACTTTAAAGCAAGTTCAATAGATATCATTTTCCCTTTTCACCTTTCCTAGCTAACTTTTTGCTTAATGGGGGTAGCAATGGCGAATTAGATTCAGACATAGATGTTATGGACAACTTGATTGAGCCAGGCACATCACCATTGGACTGCCTAATGCTGGACAAAGATAAAATGCAGGTTACGATAAATGTCCTAAATAGTTACGAAAGAGATTTATTAAGTAGCTTTAGAAGACACCTAGTAAATACAAGTTACGTAACGAGATAGCTTTAGGATGATAATGAACAAGTGCTAAAGTTCCCAAAAAAAGAAGAATTAGAGATAATGTTTTTTCTTCTTAGAGTACTAAAACTATTTTATAAAATCAAGGATACGCGGCCTATACAAAGTATTCATTTTTCTATTGAATTCCATATACAGTATAGACAAATATGTGTAAAAATAGAAACATAAAGTTCACGCCTTTTTCAAACCAGGCAACTGTTCAACTATTGAATATGATACATTATTTTGCCCCTACAATAGGTAAATCATGAAAATATACTAGGATAAAAATGATTTGGTTAGATGTTGTTTCAAATAAATTTCATTAAAGCTTATTAAATTTCAACATTTTTTTCTCACAGAAATATTAAAAAATTTGCAGTGTAGGCTTATTTACAGAAGTGCACCTCTGAAGAAAATTTTAGTATATCTTCAAGTGCTTCTTGTACATTAAACTCTTAGCCACGTCTGCAATTGGGGTCGGGAAGATGTGGATTCTTTAAAAAAAAAACTCTTCGAGTCTTGTTTTAAAACATGATTTTACAGGCATGGAACGATTTTATTAATTGTTCAGAGGAGGATCAACAACAATTCCTTGAAGAGAATTTTGAAAAGAGTTCAGACGACGCTGATTGGGAGTTTGTTGAATCTGAAGCCGATCAAAGAGAAGGTTATATATTTTAAAAGATAATTGAAAAATCTGTCCAACTCTCATATTATTTGTTATCAGTTCATCCTGCTTATACTTCGGAAGAATGTTTTAATAGAATTGATAAGAGATTGAAAAATTTTTTGAGACGTCGTCATGTACCGCTCGGAAGATTGGATTATTTGGAGCGATACATAATAGACTACTTTAAAATTTGTCCTATATCCGTTCTCGTTATGCAACTAGATAACGGATTCGAGAGAATGTTGTGCCACGCTTTGTGCCAGTATCACCTCCTACACTGCTACAGTAAGTTACTTGTAAACTTGCTTGTCTTGAAGGTAGATTTATGTAGTACTTGAACATAATCAGTGCGACATATGTAGACATAATATCTACACTAGGCAAAAAAGTATTGATTAAATCTAAATTCCGATAAACAGTGTTTATCAAAAAAGGTCTAGAGTGAACAGCCTATGAAATTTTAAATTTAGATCTTGAAAGCATAGTCCTACTGAAAAGACCAGGACACTGACACTATTAAATTTCCAAATTTTGACCTTGATTTTGAAGAGAACCTGAATTGTTCTTGTTGTTCATAAAATTCTGTAAATAGACAATTGAGTGATGACACGTTGCAAACAATTGTACTTTTAATGAAATTTGAACGTATAAGTCATAATGGCAAATTTCCACTCCTTCTGTCTTATCAAATGATAAATATTCTTATTGTTTATTTTTTTTACACAGGTATGGATGATGATCGGGGTTGCAGAAATACGCATGTTGAAAACAAACGAGAAAAGTTTATTGGAGCTCCGAGTTCTCTTTATGAATTTATTGTGTCAGCATAGAAGACAAGAAAGAAAATAATATTGTTGAAGATGTTGTGAGCTTATTGTCTTATTTTTCTGTTGTTTATTACTCATTTAATTAGGATTTTTCGTCTAGTTAGATTAATTTATATAATTATATTTATTGCTGAATTAAAAAGCAAACAGGTTAAGCAATTAATTAATTATATTTTCTAACTGATGAATATATTAAAAATAAACAAATAGAAGAAATATTGAAATATATATAATAAAACTCATAACTCATAGAACGCTCTACGCATAGCACGTAAACGGTAGCATTAAAAAACAAATAATTATTTTTTATGTAAAGTTTCAAGCCCAATAACTTTTTATTGTCCAAGCAAGTCCAAACACTCGAGCATTTGAGAGCTTATATTGAAAATTTTTTGAGAAATCCTATCTCTTCAAGATACTTTCTCTTTTAATGCAATATCAATTATTTTCAGCTTGGTGATAACAAGCCAATTGTGATCCGTTACTTTCGCATCCCTATAATTTTTATGTATTATATTAGTTTTAATGATTATAATTTGAGAAAAAAAAACTTTTATTCAATTAGCCTACCTGTTCGCTAAATTTGGTCCTCTGTCCGTATTTACTCCAAAACGTTACTTTTACTTTGTTTTGTCTTCCGCTTCTCTGGTCAAAAGTTTTGCACATTTCAAAAGCTGGAATGTACAAATGTAATGAAACACATGTATCGGAGTGAGATGGATTTTCCATTCGATGTAGGCCCATAGAATCTGAATTGGGAGATAATAAAATATATCAAGTATTACATAAGAAGGATAAAAAACACACAGACATACAGGCACAAAAAAACGTAATTAATGGTATTTCTATAAATACTATTATCAATAGGTTCTGATTGAATTATTGATGGTTCCAGTTTCCAGCCACCCTCTTAAACAACAACAAGTACTAACCATTTATGTAAGTAACACCATCTTTTTCATAAGTAACAGAGCTTCTTTCAACCATTGGTTCACCTTCCTTCTCTGGCCAATTGTACATGGTTTCTTTTAAACATCCATCCAATATTTTAACAAAACAGTGTGCATCACTATTGTAAGGGAAACGAAAAAGGCAAAATAGTTATTCATCTTTTTTTTTAAAAAAAAAATATATATATATATTTTATAGTATTCAGTCAAAAGACCTAAATTATAACTCTTCTTCTTGAACATAAAAAAATATTAAGAGAGATAGATTGATAAAGAAGATATTGTTTATCAGTCAAAGTTAATTGAAGTTTTGTTTTTTCACTTTATCCATTATATGAGATTGCTAACCTTAGTTTTTTTTATTCGATATTTTCAAGATCAAAACGTGACGTGAGAGTTTTACTAGGCCTATATACCTTTCGTGTGCATAATATTCACAAGTCATAATTGTTATAGAATTTCGTTGTTGTTCGTGAATGCTCATTAATCTAGGAAAATTGTATATAATATATATACTATATACTATACAATACTGTATGTATAAAAACCTCTATGGTAAAAATCAATAGAATGATTTATAAATGACAGATTGTGTTTATCTAACATATAAAAATGTAACTATTTATATGCATATATGTACATATTTAAACAATCTATCAATTCTACAATATCCTTATCTAATAAGGTTTTTTAGAACTTTATATATATATATTTGTGGTACACACAGTCGTATAATCAACGAAAATCTTATCGATGTAATAAAAATATCAGAACATTTTAATAATATTTAATAGTTTTTTTTCGAATACTTTTGGTCAATAAGTAACACATTTTGATTACAAAAAAATGGACTTCTTGAAAAATATTGATCTACTTTTTTTTTAATAAAAACAAAATGTTCTAAAAAGATAATTTTAAACTATTTTCATATACTTATTACTGTCTATGAGAATAATATTTGGCTCAGGCTCAATCAAGCAGCACCTTATTTCTTTATACTTTTTACAATAGGAATAAAAATAGTACTAAATATATTTTATAAAGACGCATAGTACAACAATGTTGCAATAGATCCGCTTTAACCAAAGTAACATAAGTCGGTCAACAAATAGTAGACCTAGAGAAAGTGAAACAATAATCTATGACTGTTCAACCTACCTATGATCGTGAATGGACGAACCATGACCTTCTCCCCAGCATAGGGCAATTAGGTTAAATTTTCCATTACCTCCATCAATAAGATTTCTTGTATATCTTTTAAATAGAATTAAAAAACAATGAGTTATTGATCAGTTAGGGACAAATTTTTTAATCGAAGGTCAAAAATTCGGTAATTTCGTACCTGTGTTGATCAAACTTTGCGTATTTTTTCCAATCTTTAGGATTACTTTTATATGATGCAAGAACAGCTTTGACATATTCGACATTCACAGTGTCTTCAGCAAAAACGTCGTAAAGTTTACGAATCATGTCGTCCAAAGTCGTGATTTCACCAATTTCCTTTTCATCCCAGTATTTACTATCATAGTTATTAAAAGTTAAAACATTCTCCATGTTTAAAAGTCTGTTAGAGATAAACAGTTCTTGAGCTGATGGCCGGTCTTCAGTACAATATCGAATGATCCACGAGGTTCATCTACGTATTTCCGCCTTTCGACCTTCACCTTGTTTACCAATCACTAGGGAAGTTGTGAGCAAGCGCTATTAAGCTTAGAATTCATAAAGCACAGAACTAATCATTACGAGAATGGAACCTAAATTCCCAGCGGAAATAATCAGAGTTGGTGCTGGAGCTCAACAACACGTTGATGCGTATCTGGAATATCACAGGTGGAATATATTAATCATTAACTAGTATTAACATAATTGCGCAATTTTCTTACAGAATTGTTAGAGATGATGATGGCGGAACACCGTTTAGCGAAGCTGATTTTGAAAGATACAAGAGAAGAGTTGGTCCAATGGTATAATTAATTAATTAACTTAATAAATTCATTAAGTTAAAGCATTGAGCACGTGATAATATTCTTTCATAGAGAATTAAAAATCGTATATACCTAAGTTGGGCAAATAGTAAAGGCATGGAATGTAAGCAAATTGGACCAGAAACCAAATGCTTTTGCGGCCATCTGTATGTTCATTTACTATTAACACTATTCCAGATATAAGAAAATATTTTTAAAGAAAATGAATAATCTCTCTACAGATATCATCAACATCAAGTTGATTTTAGAACTCTTCCCTCCGAAAGGCCTATTCAGCAGCCGTGTGAAATACGGGGTTGTGGATGTTTGACCTACACTTATTGTCCAACTGCTATGGGAGGTTCCCACCCTAAATGCACTTGTAAGCATTCCGGAGAACAACATAGTACCAGAAAACCGTTTAAATGCAAGCAAGGTTTTAAAGATCATTTACCTTCTTTTACTTCAATACTGTATGTACCTTTTTTAATAGTAAGCTGCAAATGTTTCGGCTATAAATCAGCTTATAATTGTGGATGCGGCGAACCTATGTATAATCATTCTATGCAGTCTGAAAGTAAGGAGGAAAGAATCGCCAAAGGAAAACCTATTGGTCAAGAAGTGATATACAAAGCTATGGGTGGTTTAACTGGATTTTCCTCGCTTATGGATGGATACATGAGATATGATAATACGGGAATAGGAGCTCTTCCAGAAGAAGTACTCAATAGTCCAATTACAATGAATGATCATCCATTTTTGCGGGGAAATTTAGCTTCTGTTGTAGCTCATAGAAGGGCTAATAAAAGTTTGTATTCTCTTTTTATATTTTTCAGCTTAAAAATGTATATATAAGCTGTTTCTCCAGTCGAATGTTATTTTTGTCTGTAGTGCCTATTGATGAAAGGGAAATCAGAGAACTTGAATCTCAACAACGTCGTCCAGGAGAAAGTGAATTGGACTACTACGAAAGACGCTATCAGGAACGGGTACGAACATAATTCATAATTGTACTAAAATAAAATTTAAACAAAATGTTTTACAGCAAAAACAATCGAAAATTTACAAAGGACCAAAGAAACCTGCTATATCAAATGAACGTTCAAATTTCTCAATAACTGGTTCTTCTGTAAAACGTCGCTGATCTCGCTTTACAATGCTTGAAATATAACTCAAAATAAATTCCTAGCTTTAGTCATCAGCATTCCTTGAATTATAAGAAAATATTTTTAGGGTATTATCTGATGATCCACTAGCAATAGTTGTCTCAACATTCCAATCAACGCACAAAACTTTATCTTCGTGACCTTCCAAATTAAACAATTCTAGTTTTGGGCTGAAATTTAAAAGAAAATTATTGTAACTTTTATTCTACTATCCTTTATCTCATATCACTTAAGAATAGACTAATCTCTAACTATTCGAAAATAAATAGTCAATAGATTAGTGTTTCGATACTTTGTAGTATTGTGTTTCATAACAACAATAAAAATTACCTACCTTCTCATGTCCCACATTTTTATCAAATTATCATACGAGCCAGAAACAAAAAGATATTCATTATTCGAGCACCATGATATTGACGATACCCAACCAGTGTGAGAAGAATAAGAGTTTTGAACTTTAGTACCATCTGCTTTCCATTAGAACACATTTAATTGTAAACATTACAAAGCAAAGCAGAAAATTACTTACCTTCTGCCCTTATATCATAAAGTCGTATATGTCTATCGGCAGATGCTGTTAATATTTGCCACTGATTAATTTTAGATATAGAAAAATCAAAAATGGCTTTCGTTGAGTTTAAATTTCTTTTTTCGGACGCTTTCTCAAGATCCCAAAACTTTAGCATATGATCCCATGAAGAAGTGATAATTTGGGAATCCTCGTTCCAAGTACAACGAGAAATGCCTTCCGCATGTCCTGCTAATGTCATCATTGGTAACTGGAATAAAAAAAATGTGTGCTAAAAATAAATTTGACCTCTGAGATTTAAGAAAAGCAAACCCTAGTTGGTAGTTTATTTTCTACTTTCTTTTTTTTTGAAGGCTCATCATCTTCGTCGTTTGTACTTTCGATTTCTTTAACTGCTGACCAAATTTTGAGCAAATTGTCCCACGAACCTGAACAAAACTGTAAGAAAAATAAAATACTTGCAATTATCAAACACAAATACTCCTGTCAAAAAAGTAAATAATCTGTAAATGTAAAGCCTATATGTACAAAATATTGAAAATTATTAGTCATATATAATTCTACAGTTATGCAAATGCGTCAGTAGCAAAAAATTACTTTATCTCCAGTTGGGTTACTGTCAACAGTGTCTACGCTAGCAGCGTGTCCCTTACAAACGCCTAAACAAGCTAGGGTTTTATCTTCTATCCGCCATAGTAAAGCAGTCTCATCATGTGAACCACTAACAAACAATTTGTCGTTTATCCAACTTATACTCTTAACAGGAGCTATATGTCTCGAAGAGGAGAATAATCGTTTTTTTGTATCAATATCCCAAACATGGACTGAATTGTCGTAACAACCGCTAACAATCCTGTTTTGAAAAAAATTTACAACTTATTTTTATCAAGTAATTAAAAATAAATAATACGTAACAGTTTAAAGATAAGATCAATTAAAATGTATATCTATTTAATTTATAATTTTTGCTTATAATTAGAAAAAAACATTCGGGTTTAAGTTGTTTTTTTATGGCTTCTAACGCGGTCTCGTTTCTAATTATAGCTGGCCAGGTATTATTCATCTCGTCTTTAACATTAAGAACTTAATATTTTAATAATATTAATAATTACAAGTTATTTCGGCAATTAATACAGGATACCCAATCATTATGTTGTAAACTATCCTCTGGAGATGGAGCAGCTGTACTTTCAATGTACTCGATTTCAATTACACCTTCCTAAAGTGGAATAAACAAAAGATATATATAGAATGGTTTAATTTATTTATACTTACACGAGAAAGACCTCGGGTTTGAATAACCGTGGCTAAATTTGATCGAAATATTTCTCCATTGATTAAAAAATCAAAGTTGACGGAACTTTTAGCTTCTGATTTCACATAGAAAAAAGATGTATAAATATATCGTCAGTTACACAAAATGAAAACATTATTTTAGCTAATTAGCAAATTATTACCAAGTAAATTTCTAACTAATTCATTTAATTCGTCCTCTCCAAACTTATCAGGTAAGGAAACTGATGAATCTGGTACAGAATATCTGCAATTATGGAATAAATTTGAAGGTACTATATTATCGTTCAAACCATTAGTAAATCTTAGTCTTATTTCACAAAAGTATGAAAAATTGCTAAGATATTATATTCAAAAAGTCAAAATCAGCTTAAATCCTTAGATTGAAAACAAATTACTCACTGTAGCTGCTTTGTAAACAGTTTTATTTCCACGTGACTATCGTCCGCCATTTCAGCTTCTTTGGATAAACTGGTAATGCATGAATTTGCTTTAAGGAAGCATTGACCTTGAACTTAGGAAAAGCAACGAGGATCGCCGATACTATATACTGTATATACATCTAATTGACGATATATTTTCTTTAGAATATGGCACATTACCGTGTCCAAGTAAGAACGCTTCGCTCTATCTTTAATTCTTTCAATCGTACTATTTTTAGAAATATTTGTAAACTTTTTTTAATTATCACTCACTTAACAGCAATGGTCAACCTTTGCTAGAACTTGGTGGCTATTTGACGCTAGATGGCAATGCCCTTGGATATCAGCCCGCACCATTATACCATATTTGCAAGGCACGAAAAAACCGATTTATCATCCATTAAGTTAGTATCCTTGGACATAGTCCTATATCTACTACGAAAAGCATGTGCTTAATTTAGAACTTGTCCTTGTATTTAGATTTTCAGTGCAATAATTAAGCTGTTTTGCATTTTACTTTCTAGGTGATACAGGAGATCATGTAATTGTTATTAATACACGTTTAATTGCGATGAAGAACGAAAGATGGATAACTTTTAAGCATATACACGATTCAAGGTAGAGAAGTTAAATTTCTATGTGTAAATTTACCTTAGTACGTTTTTTCAAGGTATCGACCAAAGGGAGTCATTGAAAAACGTGCTTGGCAAATACACGCAGAAGAACCAACTAAAATTTTCGAAAAAGCTGTATATTATTCAATGGATAAAAATTTATTACGAAGAAACCTTATGGCAAGACTACATTTATTCCCGGATGAAAGTGTTCCAGAAGATTTATTAAAAAATGTTAGCGATTGCATCAGACAGCCTATGTTAGCACCAAAGAGATTGGATGAATATACAGAAGAAGATAGGCGAAACTTTCCCAAACTGTTCGATTGGCCGAAGGATTTTGTTTTGGATGATGGTTTTAGGACAAAAAAACAAATTGAATTTCAAGAACCTTAATAGTTCATATATTTGTATAATTTCATTAAAGACAACAAACTAAGCAATACATTAAATTTATTACTAATAATGTATTAAGCACTTTTGAAGTGATCTTTTTTATTAACAGTACATCTTCTCCCTCTCAATTTATCTTAAGTGCCTTTCTCGGTAATTTTTATGATATACTCATTATCGTTCCTGAATGATTTTATTTTCTATTATATGGAAGGAATTTAGTAATTAGGTGGGCAGCTGGTCTCCTGAAAGGGTTTTATATCCAGATTTAGCTACTCTTTCTTAAAGTAACAAGCAGATTCGTTTAACTACCATACTTTTAGGCTTATTACTTTATAATGCATTTAGATTATTACATATTGATTCACTAATTGAATTCTAAATCTCGGACTGTTTAATGTACTTAAGAACTGTCATCGCTACCCTTTTAAGAGTTAGACTAAATGCTTGATAATTTCAATTGTAGTTAATAGTTTCAGTAGCTAAGCCTAAAACTATGTGTTTGTTATAAAGTGAAAAGATTAGAAGATAGAAAGAATTTAGATTGTTTGATGATTAATTCTAACAACATTAGTCATAGAATATTACTTTTTTTTGGTTTTATAAAAGCTACTCTTAAGGGAATCTTTCCATAGACAAATAAAACTCGAAGGATCTTTTCTATTTTTAACACTTCGATGATAAATTCTTTACAATAGCTTTATTAATAATAGTTTAATATACGTCATTTGGAAGCTTTTACCTTTTGCTTTTAGCACTTTATCGCCGGAATTCCGTTTAGTTTATTCTTTATGGAGTGTTGTCAAAAATTTAGATGAGTTTCAATAATGTTTTTTTTAGATAAAATAGAGAATAATTGCATATTCTCAATTATAAAACGTCTGTTTTAAACAAAATCGAGTTTAATATTACCAAGTTTATTAAGGTATATTCCATACCGACTAATTTGGCCTATATAAGCAATATTGAATGTTAATTGAAAGAAGGAATTATTTTGTACTTTTTTTTAATAGTTATAAAAAGTACATATCTATTCTAAGTTCATACTATTTTCTCCTTTGATGATGATGTCATATACTTAATAGAAGACATTCTTTGGATAGTATTCTCTTTTAAAAATCTGGGAGTATTTTCAATGCCAAGGATCCTATACTTTACAGGGCATCCATTTTAGATTTTTAAAAGAATAACAAAGAGCTTATCTTCGTTCGAAAAGATTTAAATAAGCCACAGACTATTCTTATATATAACCCATATATTAAAAGTTTTTAAAGAAGATGTAAGAAAATTTTTAAATTGCTAGTTCAAATAACGTTTCTTTAAAAAATTCAGTTCTGATGTTTTAAAGAAATATCAACGCTTGTGTCTTCTTTTTGAAGAATAAAATTTCGAAATGTATACCAGTTTTTATTAGCGCGAAATTTGGCAAACGTATCCCGCGAATGGCATAATAGGAAGAGGTGAAATACACTTTAAGGTTAGTAAATCTTAGTAATCAATTATTTTCCATATCCGTCTTACAGTAAATTATTATGTAAATTAATTGCGACCATCTTCATGTTGTTAAAATCACCATAATAGTTGTTTTTAGTTACATTTCATTATAACTCTTTTTTCTGAATTTTTAGTATATTATCGCTCAATATGAATCTTCACAATTTCTACTCCGCTTGCTTCATTTTTTAAAATTTTGTTAACGATATATCAAACTATTGTGAAGAGTTGCACTAATAGGGCTCAAGTTTTTTTTTACAAAGTCAGGTTTTACTCAAATATTTTCCCACTTTCCAGCTAATCATTGATTTGTACTTATTTGAGTAGTATTTAATAGAGTAGTGCATAAAAACATCCAATACTAGTCTTATAACAAATCAGTTATCTGTTTACTTCAGTTTATATTGGAAAACCGTCGATAATCAAATTCAGAGGGTACATTCGAGGTTTTCAAATATGGATGCAATGGTAGTTTCTTAAACTATCCGTTGATTCGTTTTAAACACTAAATATCGGAAACCGTCAATTCTAGTTTTAAATTTTTTGATTCGATCCTTAGATGCCTAAAAGACAGCGTGTAGAAGTGGATTCGTCTTCCGATGCTGAAGAAAGACCCAAGAGACATCGACTAGAGGTAAAGATAAATTAAACTGATATTTTTTTAATACAGCATAACTGCACATGTTTTTTATCAGAGTACTTCTAAAGCTACCCGTAGTGGGATTATTAATTCGATTGCGATTAAGAACTTCATGTGCCATGACAATTTCGCCATTAACAACTTCAGTGATAGTGTCAATTTTATAGTTGGAAGAAACGGTAGTGGTAAATCTGCTATCATTACGGCGTTAGTAGTTGGATTGGGCGGTAAAGCTAATGCTACTAATAGGGGAAACAGTGTTAAATCTTTAGTTAAAACAGGAAAACAGTTAGTTGCAATTTTCTTATTTTTTGAGAGTGAATGTTAAATTTCTTGAACGTTTAACAGACAAGCCAAAGTTGAAATATCGCTAGCAAATTGTGGTCCTAATGCGTATTGCCCTGACACTTACGGGGAAGAAATTATTGTTGAACGGATAATTTCGTGTAAAGGTGGTGGAAGCTACAAACTAATGAATAGTGATCGTTAGTATTATATTCTCTCATTTAATGTAATGCCACATTTTTCATTCAAATTACAGGTCAGTTAGTATCGAAGAAAAGAGATGAACTAGAAAAAATATTATTTAAATTTAGGGTCCTTGTAGAAAATCCTCTAGTGGTCTTGAATCAAGATGCATCTCGAAATTTTTTGCATTCAAGTCATCCTGCAGATCGTTATAGGGTAGATCTTGTACTCTAAAATTACTCTAATAATTACACTGTTCATGATATAGTTATTCTACAAAGCCTCCTTACTTGAATCAATTGAAGAGCACTATGAAAAAGCTGAGGAGTGGATACGAAAATCCAGAAAAACTCAAGATGAGAAAACTGAAGTAGATATTTACTCTTTTTTTATTTTATATCCTGCAATCTTTGTAATTCCGGTTATTAGTTTTTTCAAGAGCTTGCAAAAAAATTAGATGTGGCAACCACGAAATGGGAAGCTGTTAGTTCAATTGATAGTAAGTTCTTTTTTCTGTGAAGATATATTTTAAATGAAAAAATTTTGTTAGATTTGAAGGCTACAGAATTTGAATTAAAGAGAAAACTTGCTTGGTCACATGTTCACTCAAGAGCACAAGTAAGAAATTTAATTTGTTTTAAATGAATTTAATTATATAAATTTATTAATAAATTATTTAAGGAAACTAATCCATGGAGGAAGCAAATTGAGAAAGACGAAATTGCTTTGGAAAAGTTAGAAAAAAGAGAAAAGAGCTCAAAGGTAAATATGTCAACATATTTATCATCTCTATTTTTTATGAACATATGTTCCAGAAAGTAATAGCGGATGCTCTAGCCAAAAGAAATAATATAATGAAGGAAATGGAGGACCATTCTCGACAGATGACAAGCTGTCGACAAGAAAGAGATTTACAACGAAATAAGGTAATGGAAAAACGAAGAGAAGCGAAACAAGTAGAAAGAGAACTGAGAGAAGCTGAAAAGCTGGAAAATGAAGCAAAGTTAGAATATCGAGCTTTCAGGGGACAGAAGGAGAAAATTATGCAAGAGTTTGTTTTTAAAATAATTTAGGTTCTCGTTTAATAATTTCTCTTCCTAGGAGCGAAAGAAATGTTGAAGGAGAGAAAAAGGCTCGAATGGATAAAATTGCTGAGTTGGAAGAGCAAAAAGAAAAACTTAATAGTGAGTTAAAGATAAGACAAAATGACAATGAACAGTTTAGAAATGCTGTTGAAAAATGCCGTGAATTAGTTGCTCAACGGAGAATGGATGAGAATGCTGTAAAGTCTGAAATAACAACCCTGCATAATCGAATGAAAGATTTAAAATCCTCTGGTTCAAATTCAATTCAAAGATACGGATCGAATATTAGAGATCTTGTTATTGAAATTGATCGTTTGAATAATCTGGGAAAATTCACTCGAAAGCCACTTGGCCCTTTAGGTTCTTATATTTCATTGCCAGATATGAAGTATGCACTTGCCATTGAAAATTGCCTTGGAGGATTGTTGAGAGCTTTCGTTTGTAATAGTCATCAAGATGAGGTTTTAGTCCACAGACTGATGAAAAAGCATAATGTTAAAACAATGGTGATCACTGGAAAATTTCTGGTATTTGTTTTGGTTGTTATTTTTTTTCGACGAAAATTAATAATTTTCTTTTTTTGTTGTAGAGCCAAGTTCATGATGTCAGTAGAAATGTAAGTATTCTTTTAATGTTGAACATTAGACATTAAAGAGTTATTTGTTCTTAAATTTTAGAAACCTTCTTCGCCTTATCCAACCGTTTATGACGTTATCGAGTGCAAAGAACCCGTAGTCATGAATTGTTTCATCGATCAGAGTCGTATTGAGTCAGTTATCTTGATTGAAACAAATGAGGAAGCTAGAAATTACATGAAGAGACCCAATCGGGGTGTACTTGTGGGATATTCTTGCCAAAGTGGGGATCAACTGTATCCTTCTCCTAACTATAAATATTATGCAAATAGAAATGAAAATGTCCATTTTCTTGTAAAGGATGTTTCAACTCTAATTCAACAAACTGAACAAGATATAAATCGATTTACCAGGAAATACGAACAAATAAGAAGAGAGCGGATTATGAAGGATGAGGAACTCAAAAAACAGCAATCAGAACTGGAAAAAGCAAGAAAGCAGCAGGATGAAACTCAAAAATATTTGAGACGTTGTCAAAATTCCCTGAACGAACTAAACATGACTGAAGAGCAAGACATTCCTAATATTGATGAAATTGAAGCAGCTCTTACCGAAGCAGCAAAAGCTTTAGAACATTCCGCCCGAGAGAAGTCACGTAAGCAAGAGATTTTTGACGAATTAGTTCGTCAAGAAGAGAGACTATCGAAAGTTCTTCTTGCCATGGAAGAAAAATTAAAATCTGATGGAGTCCATTCAAAACAGGTAAATATGTTGGAAAAGCTATCTCCAAAGTATTATAATTTGATATTGTTTTATTGTTCATTAGAGAATACTGCAAGAACTGAGTGAGACATACGAAAATAATGAAGATCAAGTTAAAAAAATTCAGGGACTTTTAAAGGAGAAGAAAAAGGATATTGACAATTGTAAAAAGCAGATCAAGAATATAGAAAATGAAGTGGACGTAAGTTGAACTTTTTTTAAACTGTTCCTTGTTTGATTATTTGTAATTAAAAAAGAATATAAGTTGGTCTTTTTTTAGCAAATGAGGCGACAAACCTTAGAAGTTTTTGAAGGAGAAGAAATTGAAACCAGAAGGAAGCCGTCAGACATAGAGGAAGAGATAAAAAAAACAGCAAAGAAAATTGACTTGATTGAAAAGGAGCACGGGAATAGAAATATGGTTGAAAAAGAATATTTTAGACTTAAGAAAAAGTATGAGAAAATTAAAACAGAGCTTTCAGAATTGGACTTAACCCTTAAATCACTCAGTAATGGAGTAGAAATTGGGAAAATAGCAATAAATAATGGACAATTGAGAGCGTCAACAGTCTGCAAGAATGCATTTTTAGAGATGTCTCACAAACGTTTCAAAGACCCGAATATCACAATTGACCATTCGAATAAAACTATTGAAATATTTGTGGATGGTAAACCAGTTCGAAGTATGTCCGGAGGAGAAAGATCTTTTACAACTGTCTGCTTTGCGATAGGTCTGTGGGAAATAGTTCAATCTCCATTTCGTTGTTTAGACGAATTTGATGTATTTATGGATATGATAAACAGAAAGACATCATTACAACTGCTTTTAGATGCTTATAAAAGAAAACCGTGCCAGTATATATTTTTAACACCATTAGCCGTTCAGGAGATTTTGCCCAATGGCTTTCAGCCTAAAGTATATGAGATGAAAGCACCCGAAAGGGGTCATGACGATGACGATAAAGAAAATCGAGAAAATTAAAAAGAAAACCAATATACAAAGCAGCAGTTTAAAGTTGATGATTGCATGCGTTCATTCATATGTAAACAGTACATATCATTCTTTTCATTAGGATATTTGTTTATTGATTGATGCGATGTTACACATTTTTCATTTCCAAATTTGTTATATTAGTTAATTATTTTTTTAAGATCGACGTTTTGAGAATCTGATAAAGGCTAGATAATTGATAACTCCCAAATAAATTATTAGTTTGATTGACAAATGGAGGAAAAAGGAATAAATGACCAACTTGAATTGTTTTTTATATAAATATTAATATCAATATGCCAACAACTGTATAAATCATAAGTGGGTATTGGATATTGATGGAATGCTCTCATTCCAGTATTGGCATGTCAAATGATTAGTGCCATTTTTATCAATTTCTTTCTTACATCTTGCTGAGTGGTTTATTTTTCGCTTTTTTTCTCTTAATCCTCTAGATGGACAAAAAAAATATAACCATGTATTATAAAGCTTTCAGGAAGAAAGAGTCGTAAGTACCTTAAATAAAAGTCTATTCCTAAGGGAATTCACTTCTTCTTCAATTCTCTTGTTCCCTAAATCGTCTTCATCCGGGAGGGATATTGTTGCATTCACATTGGGTATACCTTTAAGTAGGTTTAATCTTTCCGTCTCCGCCTTTTCAAACGCAATTTTTGACGCTAAGTCAAATAAACGATTCTTAAATGCCGAAAAATCGGACGTTTCCGTGTCAGAAACGGCCATAGACGTAACAGACTTCCAATTAAGCTTATTTTTTGTCTGATTTATAGCAGAGTTCTCATTGATGAAACTATGATTTTTCTCGAAGAAATTATCATTATCATACAGATATTTAACTAACATTTTATTGGTCAATATCTCAAAATATTATAGGTTATTCTAATTATTTAAATAGATATGACGTCAGTCCCTTTACTATAATAGAACATTGAGTTAGAGAGTGTATTGAAATTTAAGAAATAGAGAGAGAAGATAGATTTCCTTTAAATTGTTACAGCTAATTTTATTTCAACGCTTCAGCTTGGCTTTCGTGTTGTTCTTGTCTCGTTCTTCTAGATCTTCTAGCTCGAAGTTTTTCCTCGAGACCTGACTGCATTCTAGCTTTATTTATGTCCTGGGCTTGCTGTAATTCTTTCATTTCTCTTTCGTGCTGTTCTTTAAGGCGTTCAACATCACCAAACAATAATTCCATATTTGGCGCTGGAGCTAAATCTTTGGTAGACATTTCTTTTGGATCGTTTGACTTGTCGTCAACTGATGGTGCTAAATTATCAGCGTCAATTGTTCCACCAGGTAGGTCGACAACAGACACATTATCAGCTTCAGCCGAATGCGCATTAATCTCTTTCTTATCCTCATCTATAAAGTCGTCATCTGCAATGATTTAAAAGAGAAATATTATATTCCATTAAAGTTATGAATATGAAAAACAGTAAAGTTAATTTATCTAGTTCTGACGGCAGAGAATTTGGTATGTTAATCAAAGAAGAATTTGTCAAAAGATAGTTAACATTGAAAATAAAAGCCCAGAAGCTATTAGTCAAAAAGTTTGTCAATTATAGTTTGTTAACGCTACTTACTATTTGAACCTGAAAAATACAGGGATTGTATAATGTGCTTCCTAGGAAATATCTTGCCATAAGGCCTATATTTATATCTTATATTTATATATGAGGAAATACTGACCATCAAAATCAAAATCATCGTCAACGTCTTCTCCTGCTACTTCCTTAACTTTCAGTTTAATAAGAAAAATTCTCTCCTTTCTTAACGCTCTCTGTCTATCATTGAAATATTCGGTTTGTCTTGTTAAATCCTTACAGATGATATTATCAATGACGTGGTTAAACCATTGTAGTAATGCAGCCGCCTTATTATGAGTATTACTATAACACTGCAATGCTGCTAGATGTCTTTGAGGATTATATGCATCATAGTATACATTATTAGCAACACCGGTCAATTCAGACATCTCTTTTTCAGTACAATAGGGAAATTTAATAGTTTGCAAATAGTTTCTTGCATTTGTGATATTTTGATTAGCAGCAATAACATGGTTTCTAACTTCTGTTACCATATTAAACTTAACGTTGTGTGGTAAATTATATAATTGTTGCCATCTACTAACGGCATGACCTAATTGAGGAACAGCGTGTTTCAATAATTCCCTTGCATTTTTCCACTTGTATAGTGCAATTGATATTCTTTGCTTCTGCTCCATAGCCAGGTCTACTTGCGTTTCCAATTCGTATTCCCTATCCGAACCGTACTTTCCGTTGAATATTCCAGCCAATAGTTCATCCATTTCTGTATAGATAAGCTGAAGTCTTTCAGCTTCGACTTTTATTTCTGATAGTTCCTCTTCAATAATTTCTTGTTGTTTATTTGCATTGTTTAAATCTTTTCTAGCGATTTCTTGTTTATTTAATGCTTCGAGATATTCTCCTTCCTCCTTCGATAATTGATTTTCAAAGTGATCTTGATTTTGGAAGAACGAACGAACAGATGGATTTTGCATTTTTTCCACATCAGCCTTTTCTTTAGCCCTATCGTATAAATATTCACAATTATATCTCCTTAAATGAATAATGGGAGATAGATTTGACGTAATCCATAAGGATTTTACATTGATGAATTTCGAGGAAAATGCATGATAAAAGTAATTAAAAGTAACTTACGTATTCCTAATGGATTTATCATATTCGGCTCTTAAGGCTTTAATTTCCTCTTGTTTTCTTTGATATTCGCTGTTCTTTTCCTATAAGACAAAATATTAACTTGTAGTAATACAATCTATCTGTTTATTATCTATTAAGGCGATCAGTTAAGTCTCTAGCTTTACCTGGTAAGATTTGAGTACATTCCTGGCCTCCAGTTTTGTGCACTCCTTATCTAGAGCGGCGTATCTTTCTAAAATGTTTCTATTTATGGCAACGGGTTTAATCTGCATATTAAAAACAATATATATTATATTATTAGGAGATTATGAATCATAAGCAGGAAACTGTATTTTATAGTATCAATAGGTTTTGTAAGGAATAGAGAAGAGGATAACAAATCGTACAATCTAGTTATAATGTGAATAGTTGTCATAATCTTTAGGTATTCATAAAAAGAACAAAATATAAATATCACTTACCTCTATATCTGTTTGCTCTTCCGAATAGTTTGTCCTTGATTGGTGTGAGTTGTTTGCCTAAGTTTTAGAGAAAATAATTAATATATTTAGTATATTAATATATTTGAAGCAGACGCTAACGTATTGTAATATCATACATGATGAATAATTATAGGCCAAATACAAATAATAGACATAGGTATGAACGGAGTTTAAACTAAGTTTACTTTATAAGTAATGCTTCTATATGGAAGAAAGTCACCTTATGCTCAAAAGGTACTAATATATTTTAAGATGAAAAGATAACAATTGCGTTACTATGCTTCTCTTCAAGATGAATTTAACAAAATTATGAATATATAGAAATAGTATAAGCAATTTTATTGCATGCATGCATCATAGCATGTTATTCTTCTGTATGATAAGAGATAGAGCGCTATTCAACACCCATATAATCTTTGTATATAATTGCGATGTTTAGGATATTAGATCATAACGATTGGTGAAAAATGAATATTTACCGCTGGTTTAGTGGAATGGTAGGTTGTTGTTCCTGTATCTGTACTTGATCCGCAACCCATATCGTTCAATTTCAATTTCAAGGTGCTATTTTAAAATATAAAAAGATAAATGCCAAATAAACCTGGTTGGTTTCTGTTTACTAGGTTTTCAACCGACGTCAACACAGGTTGCTAAGTGACGCTTCAACAAACAATACACTAGGCTTAATTCTCTTTACAAGATCCAGCTATTTTATTATTCGTACTTTTTAGTAACCTAATAGACAAACTGAATAAATTATTACGAGTGTGATGTTTGTTTAGATAAAAAATTTATTGTTGAGGTAACCGTTAACATTAGCATATTATCTCATGTACTAATTTCCTTAGTAAACTGGACTAAGGGGAGTAATAGCAACAAAACAGATATTAAACTTCCGGTTAATACCTGAAAAGGGGAATTTTGCAATTACGATATGTAATATAATCATAATTGTATAAAAAATATAACTCTATCGTCATATGGCTAAAATGACTAAAAAGGGAATATATTAATATATAGATCCTCTTTACCATTTTTATCTCAAGCTAAAGAAGGTGACGTTTTAATATCAATCAGTTTTAACAACATTACATTTTATTAATGTTATGAAAGGATAAAATTGGAAACATTTCTTTAAATAGCTTCTATATATACGGAATAAAAGTATGAAAATAGACTATCTCTAGAATATTATTGTAATATAGTTTGTTAATAAACGACAAACCTTCTTTTCTTTTTCAATCATTGTTAATGAAATATAGGCTATATATATATATATATTGTTTGTTTATAGTTTTGTCAGTTTTGCCAAAGAAATAGAATTTTTATCTCGTAAATAATAATTATATTTACTATAATATGACATTGGATGATTGTTTCTTGAAAAAAGTCACTATTTTCCAATCAATCAAATGATATTTTATACTCGGAGGAAATTTTTTTCTCTAATTAAATCAATTGGTGGGAAGAGGACAAGATAGAGAAAGAGAGAGAGGGAGAGAGAGAGAGAGGCGAACTTTTCTTTTTATTTTATTAGTTTGAACTCATAATGAATGGTTTATTTATAAGAAGATTATGCTCTTTTTTCATCATAAAAGTACACTTGTCTCTATTTATCTACATATATATATATATATATATATATATATATTTATAACATTTAATCTACTTTCTATTTGCCTTGATTCAAAGTAAGAGTAATGTACTCGTTAAAAAATACTTCACTCTCTTGACTCCTTTAACATTGCCAAAAAAAACACTACTATTTTCCGATAGAATGAATAATTGAATGACTTTCTTTCATTTACGCATCTTAAATTTGGGAAAATAGTTAAGATATTGCGTAAATAGTGCAAAAAGAAGAAAAAATAGACAAAACTTAAGCCTATAAAATAATTCTATTAGTTTTGATTTCTAACGTTATTCCATTCCCACTTAACATTCAGTCATACTCTCTCATTACGTATATTGCAATATAAAACTTTTTCTAAGAAATTACTTTTTTATTTCAAGCACGATAGATGGCAGTAGTTTTTTTTTCAAAACTGATAAGTTCTAAGTAATAGATACAACTTTTTCCTAGTTTGTATATGTATATATATATATATATATATAGATAAGAAAACAAAAATAAGAGAGATTTTCTATATTTATACTAGTACTCTACTACGAAATTAAATGAATGAATATTTTTCTAAGAGATAAAACAGTTGTGACAAAACCTTAGCTGATATAGAAATTTTCTATTCATAAAAAAATAAAATTTTTATCAGAGAGAGAGAGAAGTGGAGACGAACAGACAGAGAAAGAAAAAAAGAAAGAAAGGCAAGAGAATTGGCAACCATTCAATGAATTTTTTAACTACATTTGAATTGTATTGTAGTAAATTTTTCAACATATTTTACAAGGAATATTAATTAGGTTAAAAAAAAATAAAGATTCTAGTAATTTAATTAAAAAACTAAGAAAATATTAAATCTAACCATTTGTAGGTGAACTATTAAAAAATATGGAATAATGAATATGCAAATACTTTCTTTTTATCTCTTTTTGAAAGTTTTATTGCCAAGAGTAGAATGATCTCCTGTAATAAATCAATATACTGTATATAAGTTAAGTATTTTTATACTTTATAAAGACATTAAAATTCATTATTCCGCTTATGGGAAAAGAGACTAAAGAAATGTATATATCTACTTTAAAACAAAATTAATTTGACAGAAAGCTTATGTATACATTTAAAGAGAGAAAATAAAAGTTTGTTACTTTTTCCCGCCTTCCCCCTCTTCCATCCCCTCGCTCCCAAAAGAGTCCAATATTTCATCGTATTTATTAAACTTTCGACAGATTCATAAAAAGAAAAGGAGAGAAAAAAAAACAGTATGGCAAAAGAGTCTTAGTCGGAGCCTAAATATGTCTCTTGAGAATAAAGGAAAACATTGATTAATTATGTCGTCTAATAGCATTCCTCCATCTTAAACAATCGAAGTTTTATTGATGAATATATACATATATAAACAGTACAAATTTATGTATATACATCTTTACTGAATACACCAATATATAGAATATTCACTGTGTAGCTATACATAAGTAAATGAAAAAAGCAAATATACTATTCCATATATTAAGAATAAACTAATACTTAGTATATATAATCTACTGTAATCTCTCCCGACTATAATATAGTCTCTTCTCAGCTCCTCAACCTAAATATAGATAAGAGGAGGAATATTAGTTTTTCCTGAGTAAAACGTCAATTAAACGATTCTTATTCATGAATTAATTAACTTTTGATAAAATTGCAATTAATTAAAGCAATTATTTAAACAACTAGGGAAAAGTTGTTAATTCCTATTCATAGATTTACAACTTGAAGGTCAAATTCACTAAACTAAAAGTCAATAAACGCTGATACTATACGATAGATTATTACATTGGGCTAAAAGATGAAGAATATCAGTCTACTCGAGAATTTGTTACCTAGCAAAAGGAATAGTCAGATAAGGAAAGTCACTTTTTCTAATGAATTGGAATAAGAATTGCTTTTAAATGAGGGATAAGCTAGTTTAAAGAATTCGTGTTGGGCAGGGAGGAAAGAGAATAAGGTAAAATGAAGCGCCCCCTATTGACTTCGTTGTATCGTATTTTTAAGGTTATTAAATTAAGGAACTAGGAACTTGTCTTACTGTTAATTCAAACGTGACTGTAATAAGAAGAAAAATAACGAGATAATAAAATTACAATCTGCATGTATTATTGAACATGTTGTTTCTCTTTTTTTTTGTTATTTGTTTCTTGAAAATACAATTGGAATTAATTTACGTTTTTAATGCTCTGTAATAGGATATTACACCGACAATAATTAACAAGGATATTAAGCATCCGATTATCACTAAGATTACGTAGATTGGTATAGTGGAACTGTAGGAAAGTCTAACGTCTGTATGAACGTGTAAAACTGTTTTCTTTTGAGTATCTTTTGATGTAGACGTTCTCCATAGATCTTTCCCTTCTAAGTTCAGCTTCTTTCCAGGACATTTCCAATCTTCAATTATGGGTAGTGATTTCTTATTTGCTATTTTAATGAAAAACGAAATTAAGGAATTAGTTTGTAACAAAGTGGAAAAAGAAAAGAATGTTTATTATTCATTTACCAAAAACTGCAACATAGGAATAGTGTCGGCAAGCGTGGCGACCTCTAGCTGTATGAAATTTAAATGATCTCCCAAGTCTTAGCTGCTTCTTATCCTTGATCCTTAAATATTTGTACTTTTGTTCTTCCGTTGCGCATGGTACGGAATCCCATCCAATGGGATTTCCACCTGAGAAGAATAATCCTAGTATATCGCCTTTCACTATAGTATCATTTTGTCTGACGTCAATGGTTTGTAATCTCAAGTCCAGACGGTCGAAAGGCACAAAAGTATCGGAAACTAATTTATATATTCCGGCCTTTTGGGGCCGCCATATTTGAAGATGGAGGGACTGTTGACTGGATGTTGTCTTCACGTAAATCTTCCACGAATCTAGTTGAGAAGATTCCGCTAATGATTCCTGCGAGGGATCAGTTAGTAAAATAGTCTTTTGCGATTCCTCGTCGGCATGCGCCCTTAAACGGGCTTCATATCCCAATTGTGGAAGATCTGAAAAGGAGGAAATTAGCGCGTTTTCAACACAATCCTCGTCTTGACGGCTATAAATATTTGCAATATAGATTGGTTATTTAGATGTTTCATTCCTCCAATTCCGGTGGGATCTTAGGAGATAAAATAGACGTACCTTCCTCTTTCGTTTTTTTTTTTAAAGCTACACAAATGACTTTTAGTCTGTTTGTATTCAATTTGTGGTCTATAAACAAAATTCCTTCTAGAAAAATCACGATAAGAGCTATGAAGTCATTAACTAGACAAATAGGGGGACAGTATTTCTTCCTATTTTTTCCAGAATTCTTTTTAAATAGCCTAATCCTACAGGATATTATTAAGTATGGGTCTAAATTAATTTCTATTATTATCTTACCTTTGGGCTTCTTACATTCACCTATTCTTATATAGGCGTGGTAATAGTCTCCTAGGAAAGTTATCGAACTTGGTATTGGAGCAGGATTACATTTATCGTGATCGTTGCTAATATCGATACCAATCGTTTTTACAAAACTTCTTCTGGATTGATTGAAGTGAGGTAGACCAGCAGAATTGCAGCTATTTTTACGAACTCGACCAGTACAATAGATATTCTGCTTATCGTCAGATAATTTTACAACTGTAACTTTACTAGGTAAGCAATTTCGATAGGGTCGAAAAAATATAGAATCATCCGTCTGAAAAAGAAACAAATTACAGTATAATTTATAGGTGAAACATCAATGGACGTCGTTACTTCTTTTTCCTCTACTGACTGTGTATCAGAGGGAATAGGAAGAAAGGGTCGGGTGTTAGGGGTCAAATAAATTTTTGACACTTGCCTTACTTATGACATCTATCACTTTAATGTAGCTCTTTATCTTGGAAACAGTAAAAATAAGTGAAAATTGGATATCACTGATAACACAAGAATCCGAAAAATTCGTCGTAAGAATCGCATTTGTCTGGTCATTGCTAATCATTTGAAGTAGTCGTTTTCCATGAGTTAGATTATGTAAGGAGTAGTCACCATGACCTTCACTTCCAGTACGAAGCCATAATCCACCATCTCGAGTTCTCGAGATATAGAATGGGACATCGTTATATTTAAGAGGCCCACTTCCCCTTTCGCACCATTCTGCGTCTGGAAAACGTATTAATTGCTGATTAGGTTTATTGATCAAATTTCTTTTCGGGTTCTACTCGTTTTTATTGAATTTTATTCTTATTAGATTCTTTGCGGGTCATCTGGGGAGGTTTGCGTTTAAATTGGAGAAATTTATCGTTCTTTATTATATATAAACTAGAGATTTAGTGATTGTCCTTGAATTCAATAGAATAAGAAGCAAACTACTGAAGAGAAAGAGAATATCTCCATACATTTTCTTATAGTAATATACTTATATTAAAGGGGGAGAGTGAAAGAAAGAAAGAGAAGAAGAGAGAGAGAAAGAGAGATGGATAGAAAGATTTTTTTTCTATAGTAAATGAATAAAATAGTTTATTTACTTTAAAACATAAAAAAAGAAATTAAAATGATTGGTTTGAAATTAAACAATCAAACATTTATAGGATTTTATTATACATGTCAAATATAAAATGGAACTTTCTTATTGCTTAGTTTTCACCATAATAAATAAGAAACTTTTAATTAAAGAGAGAATAGTATAAAAAAAACTTTGGCTCTATTCTCTGTTTTTGTCTTTTTTATCTTCTTTATAAATGTAAATTATATTGATAGAGCAGAAAAGATGAGGTAGTGGAAGATACTTAAGTTTCATTTGGACTATGGTTGGCCAGCTTGTGAAATATACAATTTAATATCTTTTAACAAAACTAATAATAACTATAAAGTTTATTTTATTTTAGGAATATCTCTCTCTCTCTCTCTCATTCCCTCTTTCATTCTCTCTTGCTATATATAAAGATACAATTGAAAGGAAAAAGCTATGCATAGCTAGGGCAACTACTATATGATTATCACATAGGCGTACAAATAGTATTCATTCCACGGTAATAATAACTATGGATAATTCTGTTTTTAGTCCGTATATACTAAAGGAACGCGACGATCCGCGAATAAAAGGTCTAATGGGATATGGAAAGTTGTTATATTTTTCCTTTTATTTCCCCCTTAACCAATTATTCTTTTCGATATTTATACAGGAATACAGTAATTATCTTGACTATCAAGCTTATGAATGACAACCAGGCTAATAGAGTATTAAGATTTATTTATTTATTTTTTTGATTCCTATTCTAAAGTAGAATATACTGTAAATTGCATAAATGTCTATATACTATATATATATATATATATATATATATATATATATGTATATTGCATGTATACCTTTCCTCTTTTTCAACACAAAACCTGCATATTAATGTGAGTGGAATTATCGGAATTCGGTTGAATAACTTTTGATCAGCGAAAGCAGAAACATGCTAAAGTTTGTCTTTAAATATTCATAATAAACTATCGTAATAATTTATTATCGACCTAAAACATGACTTTCATATTGGGAGACTTTCTTTTTTGCTTTTGTTAAAAATATACAAAGGAAGATAATTATTTGATCTCATCTATTTCTATGCAAGATATAGTTTATACACAATATACGTAGATATGTTTAATATACAGAATATATACATTTATATACGGTATACGTACATGTAAAAAACTAATACTCTGGAATAGAACGATTAAGTCTAACAAAGCCTTGAGGAACGTGACGGTCAACGAAATGAAATTTTTCCTTCGACTGCTGTTTATCAAAGGGAAAGGAAGGGAAGGATTTATTATAGAACGTCAGTTTCTTCTTCTTTATCTTTACTCCTAGTTTTTTGCTTTTTTCCTCTATATTTATCTATGTTACAATGCAGTAAATTCGTTTAAGCGTTAACTGCGAAATTTACTGTATAGATATAAAGGGAGAAGATAAAGAGTGAAAGAAGAAATTAAGTGATGAATGAAGAAAAAAAGAAGTTTTCAATCATCAATCTTTTTTCCATTCTTTCTTGTTCTTTCTCTTTAGTTTCCCTTTCTCTTTGACAATTGTCCCTTTTAGGATTCCCTTTTTATAGCATTTAATAATTAAAAAAACTTGCAATTATAAATAAAACTATTGATTATGTTTGTTTTGGTCTATTCATTAATGTAGAAAAAAGTGATTACATGTGCGTAGAATCTCTCTCTCTCTCTCTCTCTATCATATGTATATTATTCTCTCTTTCGGTGTTTGTTGGACAGAGGATTACCAATTTTTAATTAAAAGAAAAGACCAAAGTCGGAAAGAGACTAAATTATAGACATCTACAGCAAAAATAGAAGTCAGGGAAGTAGATTAAAAAATAGAGAGATAGAGAGAGAGAGAGAGATTATTTTATATTTTGTTGAAAGTTTTTTTTTATAAAAAAAAAGAAATGGAATAAATAGAATTATTAAAAGTTGTGTTGTACGTATAATATTTGTAAACTACTTGACAGGAACAGGACCAAAACTAGTTTATTATGTATGAGGATTCTATCGTAGTATTTTTAGAACTATTTTTTTTATCTATCTCTCTCTCTCCCCTCTCCCACTGTCTGTCTCTTCCTCTATGTCCAAACTATATATTCATCTATCCTTCCATCAACTGATTTTCTCTCTTTCCCAATTTTTTTATTTCACTTTTTTATTTTGCTAAATCGATCTAACTAGGAGATTTTGTAGCTTATTCAAGGTATATTACTAGTTATATAATAAAGCTTGGATTGACCCATTCATTAATAATATTTACATAGTACTAAAGAAACGGATTGGACAAACTTGGCCTCGATTCTAGACAGAAGTGAGCCATATCTGATTAGGGGTTGGTCTTTGAAGGGTTGACGACGTTTATATGTTACCCTCGATGGTTATTCAATAGATACAAAGGTGAGGGTCAAAATGGGAATTACACTTAGATATATACAAATCTAAGAATTCAAAGATACTTAGACTAAAACTCTACAATCAAGAGTAAAAAAAAAGAGCACAATCATAAATCAAAATTTTTATCAACCTATAGGTAATATTTAAAAAGAATTTTCATCATTGTTAAATTGAATAAGCTTAATATACGTTTTTTAAGTCCTATTCCATACTTAGTCGTGACATGGTTCGATCTTTTTTCTACGTCATTTCTTTGGATCCCAACTTGATTTAAGTTTGCATTATCTAGGGATTTTTTTTATTTGAAGAAAGAATATACGATTGAGCAAGTTGTAACACGTTAATATAGTTTATATATATTACACATTAACTTCTAAATAGATAAAAATTGCTGTAAAGTAGATTTTTTTCTTTCTTTTTGTTGGATAAAAAAAACAGTCGTTTATTTTATTCATTCCGCTTTTTTTTCGAATTTTCTCTTTTTTTTTTCTCTCTCTCTCTCCCTTTCTCACTCTCTCACTATACCAGAAATATTCTATGCATTACAATCAAAGTACAGGCCTATATAATTATGACAAGAGAAGTAAGAAGTTTGTATGTCACAGAGAATGTTCTTAAAGAAATGTCTATATATAGAGACGCTGTATAATGTCCAGATGTCTGAAAATGTTACTAAGTGTATATTGTATATTTAAATATACTGAGTACTGGACTATATTTAAGTTTAATTGCTTTATGAATATTCATTATGTTAAAATATCTATGAAAAATTAGATATAATGAGAACAAAACAAGCAATACAATGATATCCAGGTTTGGAAATTTGAGATAGCGGTACTTGTTTATTTTTATTACAGTATTGAAAAGTTGTTTTAGAAAGATAGCAAAGGGAGAAAGAGAATATAAGAGGGAAAAGGTTGGAGTAGGATTAAGAGTGGTATGATAACAATAACGATTAATTAGCGTAAAGAATTGATAATTGTATCCGCAAGTAGGATAACGATAATGAAATTTGTACAAATACGTCAGCAGTCCGAAAGGAAAAAATGTTTCAAGTGCAGCTCATCCGAAAATCGATAAGACGGAACACCTGCTCACCGTCTCTCTTTTCAACTCATATACGACAAGCATGGAAACCTATAACTTTTACTTTTAAGAGAAGAAGACAAGAGTGAACTTAAGATTTTCATAATCTATGCTAAGAGAATAAAGCTATTTATAAGAGCAATATTCGAAATGCGTAAGACTACGTCTATAATAGTGCTGTGCTCTTAGAATATCTATATTCGTAAGAGATTTAAAGGAGAACTGATTTAGAAGTTCCGTTGAACCAATCTTCTTTTTTTCCTCTTGTTTGAAAAATAAGAAAAATGTTATAAATCTTTTACTAGAGAATCCTTTTACGGCTATTAATAACGCCAATATTGCTGAAACGAAACGTACCGAAACAAATAATTAAGTAATGACAAGAAGAAAGCAATCTTAAGGTTTCTCCAGATATTTCTCAGATTCCAATTCGTTTCTCTTTGCATTATTCAGCAATGTAATCAGTTCGAAGCGGGTATAATTTCATTACTTAGCGTCGTTCGCTTTTGGCTAGGAGTGCTTAATCGGTACATAATATCTTTTTCATTGATATGTTACATTTTCAAAAAATATCACAAAAATCTAACTTAATATTCCTATAGTGACAAGTATTTCATAAACGAATAAGGTCTATAACTAATCAATTAAGGGGAATACAAATACAAAGGGTGAAGAGAAATTAGAAAGAGATATGATGGGGAAAGAAGAAGAGTAGGCCTGGAAAGGAGAGGCAAATATGGTATTAGAATAGCAGGGAAATAGGACTAGATTCAAAGTGTATATGAAATAGGAGAAAAAGAAGAATAAAGAAGGAGAGAGAGAGAGAGAGAGAGAGAGAGAGAGAGATAGACAGACAGATACAAACACAGAGAAGAATAAAGAAAAAGAACTTTTTCTTGTTAATTTAAAAAATGAGATGGTAAAGTATTTGTTTATATATTTAGAATGTTTATATCTTTTTCTTAGATTTTTGATTGGTTGACCTTTAATGTCATATAATCTAAATACGTAAGCAGGTGGATTATCTCCAACTGAATAACTTTCTATTGTTTCGTTGGGTGTTAATTTGAAGTATATCTTTATTTTATACTCATCAGTTACAGTAGCATACAGAGTGTCTAATCCTAGTATAGAAATATAGAAATATATATGTATACATGAATATGTATATTCTGCACAGTATATATGTATTTTTAGTTTTTATATATATACATATATATATATATATATATATATATATGAATTAAACCCATAGTCCATGTCCTATTTGTTTCCCTATTTTAATTTGCATACAAATTAACTATGAATACATAATCTGGGAAGAAAATTCTCTTTCTTTCTTTCTTTCTTTCTTTCTTTCTCTCTCTTCCTCTCTCACGTCTATCAAAAGTAACAGAAACAAAGAAAGAGACTATGAAGGTAAGAAAGATGATAATATTGTAAACGTTGAAACAAATGTATAGAATGTTGTTATTACATAAAATACAGTTTAGATATAGACAATTATGCAAATACACTTTATATATATAGTACAAAATTGACCGTCTTTGATTTGTTTTGTAAGTTTCCATCATCCCTCTTATTATGTAATAAAATAGAAAGTAGGAATAGCACAAATGATATTTGTAAGAATGAAATTGTGAAATGTTTCCTTATTATGTAATTAGACGTCTTGTAATTCAGGTTAACCTTCGCTAAATTCTAATTAGTATTTAATCTTACTATCCATCACTATCTTTAAATAGAATTTGTAAAGAAACAATTACACTCAACGTTTTAGACATTTTTTCCAGGGATAACGTGAAAACCTAACATAATCCGTAATACGATCATACCTAATTTGCATAGTATCCTCTTTATGATTGATTACGATCGGCGATATGTCGGCGTCATCGGAGCGGAAATCGTTGATCATTGGCTAATATTACAGCTTCTCGTTTATATACAGTATATGTCTATACTTTTACTGAATAAGTACTTTTATAATGACAATGTATATGTATTGTTTGTAAAGGCGTCTCTAGAAGGCTAGCTCTCCAAAACAAAAGGAAAGAAGAGAGTCATTAGAATTACAGATGGAAAGAGAGAAAAAACATCCGGCGATGTTTGAAATGGTAGATGAATAATGCAGAGTTTTAGCCGGCTCGGCGCCAATTCTTTTCTTCCGACCGCCGTATAATGGAAACGTTCTCCTGCCTAATCAACGTCATCGTCGACCTTAATAGGCGTTCCATAGACGACGGTCACGTATTTTCTTGAGCGATAAATATCAATTTGAATGAAAGTGGTAGCTTATGAAAAAGTTTTATCTATCTGAAACATATGAAAATCGAATATCTGACTGAGAAATGCTTCTTTCCTTTAAAACCGTCTTTAGCGACGGTTATATGGCTTAAATCTGCACTTTCTCTAGTTCGACTAGTAGCTAATATAGTGAAAAAATGGATCATAAATGAAAGATAGCAGAGAGACTATTATCATAAAACTATAAATACTCAACATATTGTATAATCTATAAAACATTCAATGAAGCGATTTCTTGGTTCAATTATTATTATTATGATTGTACGTTCTTTTCGAGATATCAATATGAATTATTAAGAAATTTGGGTTATCTAGTCTTATTGTAGCAATTCTTAATGAAATTACACCAAGCTTAGGCTTATCTAAAAAAGAGATAAGCGTTGATGAGTTGGTGAATATATAAGTTTGACCTTAGAATATAGAAAATACTCGTAGAAAACCTTAAAAATCTTGTAACAAATTGAAAAAAACGAACTTAATCATATTATAATAATATAAGACATCATATACGATACATGTAAATAAATATATATATATATATATACTGTATATTTATCAATAGCTTACTTTTTCACTTAAAGGCTTTTTTATTAATGGAATTTTTCTTCTAGTTAAAAATTTAAATTCATTGCAACAGCCTATTAAGGGTTAAAGTCATAAAACAGATGGCCGATGGATTAAATAGCTAATTAAAAAGTATTACCTTTGGTCAAATTATCGCATACAAAATGAATAGGATTTTCAGGGTATTATTGATTAGAATAAACAAAAAAGGCTTAGTAAAAATGAATTATTATTTAAAGAAGAGTAATAAAGTTTTATTGATAGATTTCTTAAACAAGAAATTATATTTAAATAATGTATTTACAGGGAAAGAGGGGCAATGTAAAAGACGAGAGGAGTTGGATGGATAAGGAAAAAGTCCAGAATATGTACTTTGTAAAATGACACAGGCGGAAGAGAGAGAGAGAGAGAGAGAAGCAGCAGCAGTAGATGAAAAGAACTAATTTTTCGAGGGACAGGATTATATAATCTGACTAAATATTTTCTACGAAAATCAGTTTGTCAAAATAAACTGTGTTACGATCTGAAAACTCTATACGATAGAAACTATCTGTTTTTTTTCCGAGAACAAGGAAACATTGTCAAAAAATAGCGATTCCTAGATGAAAAATTGATATTTCTCTTTTTAAGAGAGCTCGCAGATTTACTTTACATAAAGTAAAAAAAAATGTATACTTTACCAAAAATAATAGCCGCGCAGAAGGATTGCAGTAGGCAGTACCGCAAACCAATCATTCGAACGCCCCGCAATACCGCAAAGGATTAACGGCGGATCCGAACGAGAATTCCGACATGTGTTCACTAGACTGCGGTTCATTGCTGCCAGCGACTTGCCGCGGCTAATGCATTAAAAAATTTCGCGTCACTTGCAGTCTCATATAGCGTTCGAATTTTCTTCATATTTTGCTGTAATATTCCATTCTTCTTTCATTAATAACGATATAATCTTCTCCCTTGTATACTGTAGAAAACAAATATTTATTATCTATTCAAATTTATGCATAAATTATAAATATATATATATATACTAATATATATATATATACAGATTTTTGTGACTCTTTATACATCAATACATTAGAAATGTTTCATGTATCGATTGATTATCGTAAATGTAAAATAGTATATTTTTAGACGTATTGCTGATATCAATTAATCTTGGATACGAACGTTACGACCTTAACGTCCTCACTTAAGGTATGGAGACGTAATTTTCCTACACATACATATACCAAGTGTGCACTGTATTGATCTAGAATCCGCCCAGCAACAGGCGTCGTTTGAGCGATGCTTTCTATGTCGGAAATTATCGGTTTTGACGCCTTTTATTATATTTGTATCGAAGATAAACATTAGAAAATTTTTGACAAGTTTCTCCCTAAAAGAATCTCTCATCAATCTTTTCATAAATCAGAAGACATTTAACAAATTGTTGCAGTTCAAGAGATAAAGGAGAAATGACAAGTCTATCCTATCATTAAAATTCAAATTGAACGATTACGTTTATTCAATATCCTTCTCTTTGTATTTTCTAAAATCATTTAGAGAAATACTAGAAACTTTATTCATTTAAATTATTATTTAAAAGTGACAACAAAGACAACAAAATAGACTTTTTCTTTACGTTTAAAAATGTTTTTATTAATTCTTATTTATATGACAAATTTTACCTTTAAAAAAAAAACCGTATCATCGATTTTTATTTCTTTTACTTTTCCTTCTTCACCTAAAATTTTTGTATTTTTTATGTTATTCCTACCTTTTTTATCTTTCGAAATATTACTAAAAAACCAATAATATTGTAAAATATCCAACAGTATATCATTATGTTTTTAGCCTGTAATAAAATACCAATTATGATAAGGAGAGATTGTACTCGGCTCCTTTCCTACTCTCTCTCTCTCTCTCTCTCTCTCTCTCTCTGTTCCTTCATTTATGCTTATGTAGACATTAGCTCACATATCTAGTTTTTTTTATAATGGTCTACTATTAGCTTTAAAACATTAAAACAACTTGAATCCAGATATCTGAACATAATTTATGGAATTGGACGGGAAAACCCTACTATGGTTTTCTATTGCAAAAAAAAATCAAGGAAAAAAGGGTAGGAAATAGGAGAAAGCGGAAATGAAAAACTATTGGAGAAAAATACCAGTATAAGAAAATAGCAGTTTCTAGAAAGCTACAAAGATTAAATATATCTGAGTGATAATTTACTTTCTTGCGACTTTTATTCTCATTCCACTAATTATGTTCGTATGAATAGGGTTTATACTGATAAATATATATTAGTTATTCCCATACAACTCTTTTTCCATCTCCTTTCTCCACTTCCCAATTTTCTAAAAGGGAAAAACTAAAGTTCAAAACAATTTGCTTGGTAGTAAAGAAAAGAGAAATGCTTTCTTTCTTTTTTTATAGAAAACCAGTAAAATTTCTTCTCTTATTCACCCCGTCATCTTGGAAAATGACAGGCTATAATAATGAACTTCCTCACTAACGAGTAAGTTATCAAAGACTTTAATCCATCCCATCAACACACACTTTCTCTTCTTGACGAAAAAAATGAAAACAAAATGTCTATTTACTAGAATTCGAAATATTCTACGGTTTATTTCTATATTATAATTAATTAATTAATAAAACACTGTATATTTCACAATAGTTATTTTGCACTTCTTCCTTTTAGAATCTCTGTTTCTAGTTCCTTTTCAATATTTCTTCCTTCTCTTTCTACTTATTTATACCGTTATCTTCCATCGTACTTGTGCTTTGACATTGTGAAATAATCTAAAGAACATTATACAAATAACCTGGATATTTTTAAATCTGCTATTCGTAATATTTTTCTTCATCTTTTAATAAAATTGAACGGAAATGAGTTTCTTTTCTTTCAATATTGAGAAAAAAAGAGAAAAGACAGCTGTAAAAGTATAAAGGAAACAACAAACTAGAGAGGGTCATCTGATAATTGTTAAATTATAATCTATCTAAACAGGCGTTGTAATTGCATAAGCAACTTCCATTTAAAGCTGCTCTGTTTTTTTTTTTAATTTATTTATAGTTGTGTCTATTCCCTTCTCAATAATTTTGCTTTCTATAAAGACAAACCAAAAGAAACAAAAATAACTGAGATTGACAAAGATGATAACGGTTATATAGTTAGTATCTAATCCGTTTTTTGAGAGACTGTAAGGTCATTTATTCCAATGGAAAAGGATCGCCTATCCCTTCTCTCTTACCCTCTTCAGTCTTAAACAAACAAGAGTCCAACTCTTTTTTTCCTATTTTTTCCTTTCGGACAAACAATAATATCGATTTTGTCCAACCTTGTTCATTAATAGAATAAACTGATTCGAAAAGGGCATTTCTTATCTACAACATAGAAAAGGCTGGGAGTAACTTTGTCTAAATTAGATTAATAAGCTCTATTTCGTTATAAATTAATGTTTCTCGAAAACGATTATAGCTGTTGTTCAAAAAATGTTCTTATCAGTTATGAATAGTAGAATTGAGTGTTATGACAAATAATCGCTGATTATAAAAATAAAAATGAATATGGCATTTTCTTTCGTTTGTATTTAACCTTAAAGAACAATAGAATAAGTGGCAGGATGGAAAATAACGGACAGTTTCAATTGGGGGAGGAGGGAGAGATGGAGAGAGAGAAAAAGAGCGAAGCGAAGTTCAAAAGTAGCCCTATATAGTTTATTCCAAATAATCAAAAAGGAAGATAAGAAAAAATGTAAAATCATCTATTTATCGTAAAATGAATGTCATATAAATCTATTGCGCAATTTAGTCCAATATTAAGTTTTTTTTATGTTGATTTTTTCCATATAGACTTAAGTACATAAACATATATCCTCTAATCCTTTTTCCTCCTTCTCTCTCTCTCTGTTTCTCTTTTCATCGTCCAGTCTAAAATTTTCATTAAAATTTCCACTTGTATATTGAAGATTTGTAAAAGTTTCTGATGGAATAAAAAATTCGTATTCCGTTGTGTTTACAAATAAGAATTGGAATAATTCAAACATTTACTTCTTTAATTGAATTAGATTGATTAGACGCTGAATATAATATGATTCTAACAAATGAATGAAAGTGCATCTTAAAAGTAAGATGGTATAACTAATTACGCAAATTTTAATTTCATTTATAAGATTATTGTCTTATTAAAAGAGATAAATTAACATTTATTCAATTAAAGACAGATGTAGGTGTATATACATATATATGTATTTGTCTTATCAAACGTTTTAATTTATAGCTATACGATTATTACAAGGCATAGTAAAATAATCTTTTGAAAGAGCTAAGGCCAATGTTATTCTCGGATTATTTGGCCTGTACCCTTTAAAAGTATTTTTGAGACGTCAAACAATCATTTGCTCTTAGACAATGATGATGGAAGATAATTCGGAAAAACAAGAAAGAATTCGCAAAATTCTTAAATTTATTGTTCCACCAGAAGACTATTCAAATCTAGGAATTCAACAGTCTCATTTCGATGATGTTAGAATACGTCGGAGAGGTAAAAAACAAAAGAAAACAATTCGTATAAAGATTATCAACTTTTTCTTTTTTTTTAAAAAAAAAGAAAAAGATTTTCCATTTTTATTTCTCCTAAAAAAAGTTTCAAAGTAAAATTTTTTTTTCTCAAATCGAATTCTAGATATGTTAAAACAACCAAGATTACTAGACTTTATTATAGATGAATTACGGAAAGGAGAGTGTTTAATATGGGTTGACAGGAATCCGAAAAACCCATTGACATTTGTAATTTCTGATTCAGGAGAAATTGCATCCAGATGGGGAAGGGTGAAAAAAAATAAAAAAATGACTTATGAAAAATTTTCAAGAGCGTTAAGGTTAGTTTTTCCCATTTTCTTTTGTCTTTTCTTAACCTCTTATATATGCCTATTTATAAATATATATATATATATAATGTAAAATTAGCGTACTATATTCAGTTTGTATAACTCTGAGCCTTTCGCCTAAGTAGTAATACGTTCTAAATAAGTAAGGATTGATACTTTCCATGAATAATTTAGAATAGAAAAGCAAACACATTCAAAAAAAAAACAAAATGGGGAAAAAAACTGAATTTACTATTTGTTATCAATCATGTAATAATCTATTAAACTCTGTTAAAGTATATAAATAGATAATTTTGCAAGATATGAACTATCTAAGAATTCTAATCCGATGAGAATTCCTTAGATACAATGATAATAACAAAAAAAGGCGGGTAGATAGGAAAAGAGAGAGAGAGAGAGAGATAGATAGGTAGGTAGAGGGAAAAGAGGAAAAGAATTAGATGGGTCATTGATAAAGATATAATATAACACTTAGTTAATATTAAAATAACAAAGAAAGTATTTAATATATATACACAAGAATCGTAAAATATAGCATAAAGATTAATTATGGACGGCTTCCTGCCATTAAACCATGATACAAATGTATGTATTTGCCTATTTACAGTTTTGTAAACGTTCAAAGAATATTCTAAAGTAAAAGTTAGCTTTGCAATATATTATTTTCCATTCGGTCTTTTATTCTCTTTCCTTCTTTTCCTCCTTCTCCTCTTCCCCCCTCCCCGTCTCTCTCTCTCTCTCTTTCTATCTCTCTTTCTCGCTCTCTTTCAATATGTTACAAATATATTATCTACATATTATCTTTTTATGATTTAGTTTATTTTTAAGGTTTAGTTAAGTACTTAAACCGTCTAGACCCTATGTTACTATAACCACACTAGGAATTTCCACAAAGCTTAAGAAAATTTCAACCAATAGATGGCGTGTGATACCGATAAGATTATAAATTATCTTTATTTGAACTACGAATCATAGATAACTAAAAAATTATGTTTTGATAAATCAAAAATTAGAGATTAATTTTTATCATAAAAAATTCTTTAAACTAACAGAACATACGGTGTAAACCATAACGGTTGTTTAGAGAAGCCAGACGACAAGAAAAGATTGAGCTATTCTATAAGATTGGATCTTTTAAAAGTACGGTATAAAGGAGTAATAAGGGAAAACGACTTGAAATATTTAAAATATATTCAGCATAAAGTATCTTCGAGTCTCTTAAGAAGTCTTTGAAATATTGAACGTGTTTTTTTTTCTCCTTTTACTTTTTCTGTGAAGAGAGACAGTCTATTGACAAAAAAACTTGAAACTTCTTTCCTCATCCTAGAGAGAGTTATATTATCAATGTAGAAACTTTCCGTATTGTTTGTTTATTCTATTTCATATTTTTTAACATTAATCTTAATTTTACGAAGAGATGTTCTAGTTATAAAGTGTATATAATTACTGTTATTTTTGGACAAGAGGCAAACTTTAACAATTTTTGCATAAAAGTTAAAAGGTCTGATTAAAGAAACTTTCTATTACATTTAAATAAATTGTAATAAGAGCCATGTTATTGCTATTTTAAAAGTTCTTCTTCTTGTTTGTCAAATTTTCACTTGTTTGTTTATATAAGCGGTTTTGTTTGCTTATATTTAATTAATTTTTTAACTATATATTCTTTCTGTTCACTTATATCATTTTGTTCATTTGATATAAACAAGTACACTACGATATTTACAGTATATTGTGTAAATGTAAACAAAAGTTCGTATATACATTAAAGTTACTTTTAGTTAATAAATTAAAGTTTCAATAGTTTTATTACTATCTTCTTTTATTTATTAAATAATTTTTTTTTTAAAAAAACAAACATTTAAAAAAAATTCTTTTTTTAAAAATAGTAAAACTTATAACCTTGACTCGACCTTTATATTATATAAATTCATTACTATTACTATAAGAGTATAACATACTGTAATATATATTATATACAGTATATATATATATATATACTGTATATTATTAGATATAGCGCATTTTTTTAAAAGTTGTTTTAAATTTTCAATTATGTTTAATAACAATTATCGTATTGTTAAAATTTTAATTTTGATTGAAAGATTATCGGCTAAATTGTATACACCAGAACAAATTTTCGAATCTAAACCTATTAAAGAGCAATATTATGAAGTAAACTATTATAGAGATATATGCTATAGTAGAACTAAGTACGAGTGTAAGAAAATCTTATGGGCAATGAGTAATGCAGACGATGAACTAATTAGAGAAACTGGTAATAATTATATCTATAATTAAAATCAATTTGTAATAGATAAATACCGTTGAAAGGCCTCCATTCGTACGCGAAACTCGGTAATATAGATTTTCCGGAAGCATCTAGAAAAAGATGGTACGATATTGAAAGAAATTTACCGAAAACGGTATGCTTAAATAGAATATCGGATGCCGAATGCTATAGGTGTAGTTTAGCAATTATGGCGAATGAATTTAGACCAATTTATAATCAGTGTTGTAAAGGAAGTATTAAGATAGTAAAATATTGTGAAAAGATAGGTTTTAATCCCAAATTAAGTGTCAAATAATACCTAAAACTATATAAATAGATTGTAAAGTTATTCTACGTGTCCAAAAACTAGATAATAAACGTTTGCTTATATATTATTTCATAAGGCATTATTTATAATATTTACTTAATTAATCGTTTAAAATCAATTGTTTTAATATCTACTATTAAAAAGGGATAAAAAGATACTATATACTATATATATATATATATATATATAAAGTATGTATAAAGTATAGGCTATATATATAGCTATTGACTTTCTTAATAAAGTGATTTAGATTTTAGATAGAAAATTCTACAGATTCTAAAGATATCCAACAAAAAAAGAACTTTAATAATCCCTTTATAAAAAGGAGGTAATCTTCAATATCTTTGTATTGGATAATAAAGTCTATTTGAATCGCGGGAGAAGTTTCGAGAGCTTCGACAGCTAGAAAATAAGTGGTTCCGGTTTTAATGTAACATAAAAGCTTATTTGTACTTTTTCTTTACCTTTGAAGGTACTTATTACGAAAGAGAGAAAATAAAGAGATCCGTCGCCTTTTTCCTTCTTCTTTCACTTCTCCTCCTCCTCCTCCGCCTCCGTCTCCTCCTCCTTTTGTAAAAATAACTCACTTTATATTTTCTCTATGATCTATCCTGAAAGGAAGAAATAATATCTTTTACCTGGTTTTATTTAGATATATACTACTGTTGTATTGCAGATTTGCAGAGCTCTTTAGATTGACAAAAAAAAGAATAATGGAGAGCTTAATGCGACTTTTTTAATCTATTAGAATTGGCCTCTATTTAATAGCTTTAATAATCTATTTATGTTGAATTGTGTAGGCCGGGGGCTGTTTTGAATAGTTTTTAATCTAGTCCTAGTATTTACTAGTCGTAAATCACACAGATGTGCTGAGAGAGTCGGGCTATTTTCATTCAGGATTTATATTTATAAACATTATCATTGATACTATTCTTAATTTGTAAGTAAGATTTCTTTACATAAATAAATAACTAATCTATAGTTTATATTCTGTATTATATATATATTTATGTATATATTTATTGACATATACAATAATATAATTGCTTACTTGTCGGACAAAGAAATAAGAATCTTTCACTATAAATCATGATCGATTGATAGTAGAAAACGATCAAGTTCAATCGCTTAACAAACTTTTACAGATTTTTCTTTTCTATAATAATCTATTGTTTGTTAATTTATTAATAATAGAATATGCTTCAAACAAAAAAGTTAGTCTTAATAATCGTTTATAACTGAACAATAGATAAAAAGGAAAAACAAAGAAAGAAAGAGAAATGAATTGATATTCATCTAGCTAACAACTGTTTTATCCATCAGATGGCAATAGCAGTCGCAAGTGATCGGAAATTAATTTTTAAGGTTGACTTAACAAAACGAATGTAGTGTATTTAGACATCAATTAGAGTCTGAAGAGAATGTAAATAGTTCACTATAGCTTTTAAGATATTTTTCTATTGTTTATTAATTAATATTTACCGCTCTCTATATCGCTTTTAATCAGCATAAAAGGACAAGTGAAGCAAGAAGAAAAATTAATTACAAAGTATTTTTTACTACATTTTTTGAACTTTGACCTTAGACAGAGCGTCCTTTTTTATCTCCTAAAAAGCTTTGGACGTTAGGGTATGAAAGGTTATTCTAAGAATTAGTAAACAAACTTTCTTTTTTTCTCTCTCTCTCTCTCTCTCTTTCTTTCTTTCAAGATTAGTAAATAATTAGCGCATAGCGAGTATTGGTAATACTTTTAATGGCAAAAAAGTTATTCTCTTTCAAGTACCAGTTTAATATTTAACCTATTAAATATTGTTCAATAGCGAAAGAAATAAATAGATAGATTTTTAGATGCATAGACAGAAGAGGGGCGAGAGCGGACATAGACTAACAAAAAGAGATTTAATGAAGTCGGAATAATGTTCTAGCTGTGATGCTTTAGCTACTAGCAGACAAAACGTTTTTTACGGCTTACAACACTAATACCTGTAGACTAATTGCAGTCTGTAATGACCATATCTATCAACTGCAAACACCGAATACAAAAGCCTTCCTTTAGAGTAGAAAGAGTTCTATTGTCGGCAGAATACAAAGCGAATTGCCTTGCGCGTTAAAAGTATGTATCAGGTACATTGTAATATAATAAATAAGCATAGACTCGGTTCGATGAATCGAAAAAGACATGGATATAAGAACAATAAGAGCTGAGAAATAGTATATTATATAGGACTATGGAAGGAAAAACGAAATCGATATGGAGTTTCATATCAATAATCAGTTCGTTTAGCGAAAGTCGTTAAGATTTTTTCCTGTTTGTCACATAACAGTACACTTATAAATAGCAGTTTATTTAGTAACAAATTCCATTTTTTTTTAAAGTCTATATAAGCTGTATATATAATAGATTGCTTATTCAACCTATAAAATAAAAGAACTGAAATAAAAGATGTCTTGTATAGATAGCAGTTTTAAGCCAATTATTTACTTTTTGTTTTCTTTTTTTTCGGTACATATTATAATAGGAAACGTTTGGTGATATTTTTTTCTGATTTAGAACAAAAATTAGGTGCACCTTTTTTTTTGACGCCCACGTGACTGCAAAAGTACATTTACCCGAGGCCACTTTTTGTTGGTAGCATTTGCCAGTTGCTTTTTGGTTTTTTTTTTCCTTCTTTTTTTTTACGATACTTTTCCTTTTTTATATCTTTTTCTGTCTATCAGTCTTTCTTCCTTCTTCACTCCTTTTCTCTCTCTCTCTCTCTCTCTCTCTTTCTCTACTCTTTAATTCTTTTCTTTTATCTTGATTTCTTTTCCTTCCCTAACTTCTTGACTATTTAATCTGTGTTTTTAAAAGGAACACTATCATGATTAACAATCTTTTGATATTTTCCTTTCTACTCTGCAAATTTTTTAAGTAAATCATCCAGTTTTTACCAATGGCTTAAATGGAAATCAGACTATAATCTGGAACTACTTTAGAAGAAATTTTATACGAATAAGGGTTGCGTTTTATCCATTTCCGAAACTGAATTCTCTTTCACTCCTTCAATCTCTTTCACTTACGCCCTCTTTCTCTCTCTCTGCTCAAACTTTATGGCTGTTAATGATAATTTTTTCACGCTCATAAATACTGCCCTTGCACACACAATATGTATATTATATATATAAATATATAAATATATATATATATATATATAGATATAGATATACATCCCCCTAAGATTTAACGTCTAAAGGAAAAGAGTACTAGAATTTTTTTTCTTTTATAGTCATTTACTGTAGTTTCTGAGGAAAGGTACTTTTGCCTATCTTGACGTCATCTACATAGGATTTCGGCGTTGTCGTAGTCGTATCATACAGAATGAGGTGTAAGTTGGAGACAAACTCGATGATTATTCATGGAAATAATTCAACTCAGCCATAAATAAAGCTGTAAATGATTTTCCTATAGCTTACGTAGCATATAGTATATATACTTTATATATGTCTGTGAAGCAGTTTACAATCAATCCTCCATATATATAGTAATTTCCGTATAATCCATAGATCTTTTAAAAATTATAGGCTTATTTAAAAAAAACTATTATTCCGTCAAGTGTACATTAGAAAAATAACTATATAAATACAAAAAAAGAACAGTAAAAGAAAAAGAGAAAGGAAGAAAGAAAAGGGAAAAAAAAGATTTTTTCCAGATCGTTTATCGATAGTGAAAGAGAAAAAATTGACATGACAGATAGATGGAAAAAAATATTCATATTAAAATATTCATATAATTTTAATATTGTTTTAAGCCTATTTTATATTTATAAACAAATTTAAAAACAAAAATTTATAACCAGTAAAATAAAATAAACAATAAGAATAATTGATAAATCGAATAGTTTACCTTGTGATTTAATATGAATACTATACTGTATATTATATATAGTATATAAAAAAAAATATGAATTTATTTATGTTTTTCACGATAATTCTTGAAATTTGTTTAGATTAAAAATAATATAAAAAGAATTTATTACTTTCCAGATGCTATATTGTTTGTAAATAGAAAAAAAATATCGATAAAAAAAATAACTTTTTTTTTTTATAAAAAAAAAGTATTCAATTTTATTATCATTATGATTATTATTATTATAAATATATTTTACCTTCATTTATACTGTAATTATTTTAACATTGATTAATTAATGTATATGGCTATTAATTTGGATAATTAGTCTAGAAAATATTATATAATAGAAAAATATATGGGTACAGATAGAAAAGATGCGAGTAGAAGAGCGTTGAAAGAGTTGGAAGAGATAGAGAATTTCAATTAATACAATAATATACAATATTCATTCATTCATTCATTTCTCCTCTTGTTTTTACTTTTAACAATAGCGTTGAATTTTGATATGGAAAAAATTGAAAAGTAGCATGTATTACAATTATTATTATTATCGTCATTATTTTCATTTTTTTGTTGCATTATTACTGCGATTATCATTGACTTTCTTTCTTTTATTGCGTGCGTGTGTGTGTGTCTATCGTTTCATTTTTTCCTTTTCTCCTTTCTTTCAATTTATTAAAACGGAAGAGAGAAAAGAAATTATTATGTATATAAAAAATATAAGGGTTATGGCGTTTTAATTATGACTTTTCCGGGTTATTTATTCCTATCAACATAAAAACAACTTCCAATAAATATCAGAAATATCAAAATATACCTAAACAGCCGCTAAATCCCTTGGGATTCACAAGCCGTTCCGGTAAAATATTACTGATATCTATTCCTTTCAAGCTTTTATGCATAACGTTTAACTAGGAACAGAGCGATAAATAGAGTGATATATTAGTAAAATAATGTATACAGTATAATTTGTAGAATAAATTAATATTTAAACATAGAACATAGTAAATATCTTTATATTTAATGAACATGAAGTATCCAGATATAGTTTAGATTTTATATAAATAATACGTATGTATTAAAGGTATACCTAGCAAAATTATTCTCCTTTCCAGCCGCTTACATTACACAATATATTCAAGTTCAAGTGCACTTTATAGTGTATTAATGATTGTACTTTCTTATACATATTCAATGAACATACGAGATTATTCTCACCATAGGAGCAACAACGC